GGTTCGAATTTTAGCTTACTGTTCCAAATACCTTTATTTTGAAAACCGGAAGTAAATACGCTGTTTCTCCGCATTTACCATAATGCTGAGAATACTTGTACACTCCAAATTTAAGTGCGGCTGATTTGACCACGGAGATCGGACTCACGGCTGGATTGACGCAGTCTACTAGCCTACTGTTTCTTCTGCACAGCACCGTCCTGTAAATGACAACATCCGGTCTCAGAATATGAAACAACAGGCCTTTTTTCTGTTTCTGTTTTCTAGTGATTTTATTTTTTGTTATATGAAATAGAAAATGAAAATCGAATAATTTTTTAAATTTCGCTCATCCCTTTCTGACCATGAAAAAGAAAAACGCCTTGTATTTCAATTTTAATTTTTGTATTTTAAAACGAAAATCAAATAACCACTCATTTTCTGTTTTTTAATACCCGTTTCTGAAAGGAAAATCCAATGACCAAAACATACACGGACCCTTTAATTATATGGAATTCAGACAGTGTGTTGAGGTGTGTGACATCAGTAAACTGTGTTCAGTAACACGTCCATAATGTCAGTAATTGAAGACATTGTTCTTATTGTCCAGCTCTGTATTCAAACATTTCAAATTATACATCATTTCACAAAGTCTTTGATTCAGTGAGAATGTTTCTGAATATGTGAGCTTTAATGAATTTCTTTCTATCAGGATCCATCAGAGACCAGACTGTCCTGAACCTGAACCCAGCTGTGTGTCCATGAAGAGTGATCACTCTAAGGTTCTTCCTATACACTTCAAAGATGGCCGCCACTCTGTTGATCAAAGGTGAGGATTTCTAACTGATGGTGAAAATAAAATTATGTGTTTTTATCAGACTCTCAGTTGTGAAATCTCTATTTTTAAATGTTTTAAAATGTCTTTTAATGGACGGTGATGGTTTGTGTCTGATCAGCTCAATTTACAACAGCCTCAGTTTCACAGTGAACAAATAGTTGCAGCAGTTTATAGAAACTCACTGCTTTGACACCACGTCTGTTCCTCTTTTTATCCTAATTGGACCGATATGGTCACTCCACTCCATCATTTCCCCGCCTATACTGCACACTGCACTGAATACAGCTTTAAAATACACAGTGAAACATGTCTAAATCAAACACTGACTTTATAGAAATCCTAACCAAGAACTCCCTGGGTACAAAAACACTGTGTACAGTCGGTGTATTCAGTCACTGGTTCTGTCTCAGTGTGTTGTGGGTGCAGTGCAGAACTGATCCTGTTTTTCTATCAGGAGGAAAAAACCTGAACCCAGCTGTGTGTCCATGAAGAGTGACTGCTCTATGGGTCATCTTATAGAGTTCAAAGATGGCCGCCACTCTGTTGATCAAAGGTGAGGATTTCAAACTGATGGTAAAATAAAATGATGTGTTTTTATCAGACTCTCAGTTGTGAGATCTCCAGTTTTTAAACCTTTACTGACTCAGATGAAGTTCTCTGAGCACCAACACTCTCTTTCAGCAGCAGCTGCCTCACACTCACACAGTCAAACACATTCACACTGGGAGCTGCCCAGTACAACCAGTCTGATACAAGCAGACACTGAGCAGCTCCACTGGAGCAGCTGGAGGCTCTAGGTGCCTTGCTCCAGGGCACTTCAGCAGTGTACAGTGAGGGAGGGAGAGCTATATGGAGGGGTTGGTGAGAGCTGTTGGGACTGAACCAAACTGAGCTGTTGATTCTCAGTGGGATCAGCAGGACTAATAAACCTTTACCACTACAGGGAGTCATCAGATTCACTGTTCACATCCAAATATCACTTCATGGACCTTTACCTTGTGTTTGTCTCTGTGTGGACAGACATAATGTGAGCTCATTCTTCATGGTTCCTCCACAGAGTGGACCAGGAGAGCTCAGAGGTTCCCAGTGGTCAGTCTGCCCAGCAGCATCAAACACACCTGGACTCCATATTTATGGTCTGTACATGGACAACAACTACTTTTACATCTATTGTGTTCACAATAATCTCCATGCTGCACTTTTTAGACCAGTGGATTGTCAGTCTGTCCAACATGGATCTGATGTTTGCTTCCATGATTTGACTTTGATTGAGTCATTCATATAATATTCTGTTCCAGCTGCTGGAGGACAACATTGTCACTTTTGTGAAGAACGAGCTGAAGAACATCCAGAAGGTTCTGAGTCCAGATTACCCAGAATGCTCAGAGAGTCAGAGGGAGGATGAGGAGGTGTTGGATGGTGAGGATGAAGAGCAGAGGAGGAGCAGCAGAGAGGCATTACTAAAGATCTCAGTGCACTTCCTGAGGAGAATGAAGCAGGAGGAGCTGGCTGACTGTCTGCAGAGCAGTAAGAGGATTTCTCTAAAGATTTAACTCTCTGGAAAAAATGAGACATTTACTGATGTCTCAACAGACGGACCAAAACATATTCACATACTCATTCTTTCAAGCCCAAATGGGTCGCAACTCACAAATTAAAATGCATAACAATGCCATAATAATTCATTGTATTAAAAATACCAAAAATAATCATATTTTATTTAAATATAAAAATAGAGACCACTCCTTTTCTTCTGGCTGATGTGTTGCTAACTTCTGTTTCAATAGTTTATAAATGTAAATGTTATGGCAATTTGTGATGTATTTTTTTAGAGGAAGGTTTCACACCGCCACCTGCCTGCACGAGGGTTCACGGAAAACGTGCATTAAATAGTGGCTGCCGCCAGGTGTGTGCCACCAGCAGTTTAACACAGTGAAATGCGTCAGAGCAAAATCTGTGTGCTTGGATGTGGGCAACAACTACTTCCCCTCATTGAAATGACTGGTGGCAATAAGTTAGTTCCATAACTTTTGGTCTCAGTGAGAAACAAAATAGATATTTTCTATCTGAGCTGAACATTTTTCTGCTTTAGGGGAATGAAATTGTCATATTTTGTTTATCAATCACTTAATGATCATATTTTCTGTCTTCATTAAGAACATCTTGTTGGAGTTTGTCAGTGTGAACTTAAATCTAACCTGAAGAAGAAGTTCCAGTGTGTGTTTGAGGGGATTGCTAAAGCAGGAAACCCAACCCTTCTGAACCAGATCTACACAGAGCTCTACATCACAGAGGGAGGGACTGCAGAGGTCAATGATGAACATGAGGTCAGACAGATTGAAACAGCATCCAGGAAACCAGACAGACTAGAAACAACAATCAGACAAGAAGACATCTTTAAACCCTCACCTGGAAGAGATGAACCAATCAGAACAGTGATGACAAAGGGAGTGGCTGGCATTGGGAAAACAGCCTTAACACAGAAGTTCACTGTGGACTGGGCTGAAGACAAAGCCAACCAGGACATACAGTTCACATTTCTATTCACTTTCAGAGAGCTGAATGTGCTGAAAGAGAAAAAGTACAGCTTGGTGGAACTTGTTCATCACTTCTTTACTGAAACCAAAGAAGCAGGAATCTGCAGGTTTGAAGAGTTCCAGGTTGTGTTCATCTTTGACGGTCTGGATGAGTGTCGACTTCCTCTGGACTTCCACAACACTGAGATCCTGACTGATGTTACAGAGTCCACCTCAGTGGGTGTGCTGCTGACAAACCTCATCAGGGGGAATCTGCTTCCCCTCCGCTAGCCTCTGGATAACCACACGACCTGCAGCAGCCAATCAGATCCCTCCTGAGTGTGTTGACATTGTGACAGAGGTCAGAGGGTTCACTGACCCACAGAAGGAGGACTACTTCAGGAAGAGGTTCAGAGATCAGGAGCAGGCCAGCAGAATCATCTCCCACATCAAGACATCACGAAGCGTCCACATCATGTGCCACATCCCAGTCTTCTGCTGGATCACTGCTACAGTTCTGGAGGATGTGTTGAAGACCAGAGAGGGAGGAGAGCTGCCCAAGACCCTGACTGAGATGTACATCCACTTCTTGGTGGTTCAGTCCAAAGTGAAGACCATCAAGTATGATGGAGGAGCTGAGACAGATCCACACTGGAATAAAAACAGCAAGAAGATGATTGAGTCTCTGGGAAAACTGGCTTTTGAGCAGCTGCAGAAAGGCAACCTGATCTTCTATGAATCAGACCTGACAGAGTGTGGCATCGATATCAGAGCAGCCTCAGTGTACTCAGGAGTGTTCACACAGATCTTTAAAGAGGAGAAAGGACTGTACCAGTACAAGGTCTTTTGCTTTGTCCATCTGAGTGTTCAGGAGTTCCTGGCCGCTCTTCATGTCCATCAGACATTCATCAGCTCTGGAGTCAATCTGCTGGCAGAAGAACAAACAACATCCCGGTTGTCTGAATTAATTAAAGACAAAGGGAATCTAAAATATCTCCACCAGAGTGCTGTGGACAAGGCCTTAGAGAGTCAACAAGGACACCTGGACTTGTTTCTCCGCTTCCTCCTGGGTCTTTCACTGCCGACCAATCAGAATCTCCTACGAGGTCTGCTGACACAGACAGGAAGTAGCTCACAGACCAATCAGGAAACAGTCCAGTACATCAAGAAGAAGATCAGTGAGAATCTCTCTGCAGAGAGAAGCATCAATCTGTTCCACTGTCTGAATGAACTGAATGATCGTTCTCTAGTGGAGGAGATCCAACAGTCCCTGAGTTCAGGACGTCTCTCCACAGATAAACTGTCTCCTGCTCAATGGTCAGCTCTGGTCTTCATCTTACTGTCATCAGAAAAAGATCTGGACGTGTTTGACCTGAAGAAATACTCTGCTTCAGAGGAGGCTCTTCTGAGGCTGCTGCCAGTGGTCAAAGCCTCCAACAAAGCTCTGTAAGTACAGAAATAGTTGGATGTCTGTATTATCACTTAAATACTCTGCTATCTTTTCGACTTAGAGATTATAAAGACATTATATATCACCAACATTGGGAACTCCTCACTAGCTGATATCATTTTTACAGAACTAATTTAAAGTGTTTTTGGTTTTGGCTGAGTGATAAAGTGCTGGTCACAAATGTTATTTTTCTTATTGTTGATCATTGTCTCTACAGACTGAGTGGCTGTAACCTCTCAGAGAGAAGCTGTGAAGCTCTGTCCTCAGTTCTCAGCTCCCAGTCCTCTAGTCTGAGAGAGCTGGACCTGAGTAACAACAACCTGCAGGATTCAGGACTGAAGCTGCTTTCTGTTGGACTGAAGAGTCCACACTGTAAACTGGAAACTCTCAGGTCAGAATTTGTCAACCTGTTCAACTGATAACCACTTTAAACCTGAATTATGTTGATGGTTACAATTGTAATCTTCCTAACATTGTCTCAAATCATTGTTTGGTTTATTTAGTTTGAGTCTCTTTCCTTGAACATGTTTATTATGTAATGTGTTGTTTTGTGTGTTTGCAGGATGTCAGGCTGTCTGATCACAGAGGAAGGTTGTGCTTCTCTGGTCTCAGCTCTGAGCTCCAACCCCTCCCATCTGAGAGAGCTGGACCTGAGTAACAACATCCTGCAGGATTCAGGACTGAAGCTCCTTTCTGTTGGACTGAAGAGTCCACACTGTAAACTGGAAACTCTCAGGTCAGAATTTGTCAACCTGTTCAACTGATAACCACTTTAAACCTGAATTATGTTGATGGATACAATTGTAATCTTCCTAACATTGTTTTGTTTATTTAGTTTGAGTCTCTTTCCTTGAACATGTTTATTATGTAATGTGTTTGTAGCACCCCAACACTCAGTAAATGCTTAAGTTAAAGCAACTCACCTTGGACTTAAATGATGGGGTGTTGGGGTTCGATTTATTAAGGTAGCTACCACAAAGGTTTACCTGTTTTGTGTGAAACTTTTTATAGCCTAATACTTTACCAACAACTTTGTTAGACTAAGCAGTGGCTCTATTCACACGTACTCTACACTATTTTAAATAACTGACCCCAGACAACTCTTTCAATTAAATTAAATAATAGTTAACTAACCAGTTGATTTCCAAATAATATTTACTTTGTTAGTTTAACAGATAAACAAAAATGAAATAACACAATTACTCAAATTGGACTTCTTTAAAATAAAAATATTATAGTTGTAAACAAAATACCCTTTATCAAAAATAGACACTTATAATAAGCAAAATAGAATTGGCAATATCAAAATACTATTCAAAATTCAAATAATTCCAGGTCTCCGGTAAAATTCCTAGTTCTTACCCCTTAATACGATTTCTCTATACTTATTAAACTCAGATCAAATATGCTACTTAACTGAACTCTAAACAAAACAGTGCCCCCCCCCACACACACACACGCACAGACACAGTCACGCACGCACACACACACACACACACACACACACACACACACACACACACACACACACACAGACACAGACACAAAAACAAAAAAAGGCCTGTGTGTTGCTCGGTGCGATGAGGGGGGGAAAACCTTATCCTCAGTTCACACAGACAGTTTCCACCTCACCATTGACAACTCCACCCTGTCTCCATCCCCCCACAGTCGCAACCTCGGAGTCATCTTTGACACTAACCTCTCCTTTGAACATCACATAAACCTAATCACGAGAACTGCCTTCTTTCATCTCAAGAACATTGCCCGTCTTCGCCCATCACTCTCCTTCTCTGCTGCTGAAACCCTCATCCACGCCTTCATCACCTCCAGAATCGACTACTGCAACAGCATCCTCTATGGCACACCATCCAAAACTCTAAATAAGCTACAATACATCCAAAACTCCGCTGCACGTATGCTCACCCACACCCGCACCCGTGATCACATCACTCCCGTCCTCCAGACCCTCCACTGGCTCCCAGTTCCACAGCGCATTCAGTTCAAAATCCTCCTCCTTACACACAAAGCCCTCCATAACCAGGCTCCTTCCTACCTCACTGACCTGCTCCATCGCCACAATCCATCCCGCAGCCTCCGCTCATCTGAAGCAAACCTCCTGACTCCTCCACCCCGGACCAAGCACCGAACCTGGGGCGACAGAGCGTTCTCTGTAGCTGCCCCCTCCCTCTGGAACTCTCTCCCCAAACCCATCCGTGACTGTACCGACCTTCCAACATTCAAATCACTGACAAAAACTCACCTTTTTAAAATTGCTTTTAATGTTTAGCTAAGTCTGATGTGTTTTTAATGTTTTACTATTTGATGTTGTTTGGCTGCTTTTATGTTTTTTTTTTTTTTTTTTTTTTTATGTAAAGTGTCTTTGAGTATTTAGAAAAGCGCTTATAAATAAAATGTATTATTTATGAATTAACAGTCACATAGAAAATCCAACTCACAGTCTGGAATAAGTCCTGGAGAAACAGTTAATGAAGAGATGAAGATAAAAGCCAACGGCAGCAGAAGTAAAGTCCTCCTCAGGAAGCACGAAACAGTCCTTCCCGTTCAGCAATGGCGTCCTCTTGGCTCGATTCTCCCGCCCCTTTTTTGTTCACTCCCTTACCTACGGCCAATTACCAACAGGTGACATTGAGTGATAACTACAGCAACCAATCAAATGAAACAGCATGAACCAATGACACAAATCTGAAAATTCATGTTTAGTTTACCACACACTTTTCTTCAGCTACTATACAGAACAGTTTAATGTAACTACTTAATGAACTATTTACACTCTATTTATTATGAATTTATGTTAATCTATCGGTTAACATTTCATCTTTCACTGCTTTTAACCTAAATTACTTTCAGTTTATTTGCATTACTGAATTATTTAATTAATTCACTGAAACAATTATTTGTATTACAAATTAACTTGTTTTAACCCCGGTACTTTTACACCGGACTACATGTTGTTCTGTGTGTTTGCAGGCTGTCAGGCTGTCTGATCACAGAGGAAGGTTGTGCTTCTCTGGTCTCAGCTCTGAGCTCCAACCCCTCCCATCTGAGAGAGCTGGACCTGAGTAACAACAACCTGCAGGATTCAGGACTGAAGCTGCTTTCTGTTGGACTGAAGAGTCCACACTGTAAACTGGAAACTCTCAGGTCAGGATTCGTCAACCTGTTCAACTGATAACCACTTTAAACCTGAATTATGTTGATGGATACAATTGTAATCTTCCTAACATTGTCTCAAATCATTGTTTTGTTTATTTAGTTTGAGTCTCTTTCCTTGAACATGTTTATTATGTAATGTGTTGTTTTGTGTGTTTGCAGGCTGTCAGGCTGTCTGATCACAGAGGAAGGTTTTGCTTCTCTGGTCTCAGCTCTGAGCTCCAACCCCTCCCATCTGAGAGAGCTGGACCTGAGTAACAACAACCTGCAGGATTCAGGACTGAAGCTTCTTTCTTTTGGACTGGAGAGTCCACACTGTAAACTGAAAACTCTCAGGTCAGGATTCGTCAACCTGTTCAACTGATAACCACTTTAAACCTGAATTATGTTGATGGGTACAATTGTAATCTTCCTAACATTGTCTCAAATCATTGTTTTGTATATTTAGTTTGAGTCTCTTTCCTTGAACATTTTTGATATGTAATGTGTTGTTTTGTGTGTTTGCAGGCTGTCAGGCTGTCTGATCACAGAGGAAGGTTGTGCTTCTCTGGTCTCAGCTCTGAGCTCCAACCCCTCCCATCTGAGAGAGCTGGACCTGAGTTACAATCATCCAGGAGACTCAGCAACAAAGCTGTCTGCTGCACTGGAGGATCCACACTGGAGACTGGACACTCTCAGGTATGAGGCGGATCAATACAGTAGTAGTAGTCAGGTGACAGAGGAAAGGTGATGAAATTTCTGTTTTTCTGGACCGATGTCTTGTTTCGACATTGGAAAATAGGACAGTGGTTTATCCTGATGGGTTGGTGAGCATCATGGCGGGTTGATATTTGTCAATGTTGTCACGCTGCAGGTTTGTGGGCTCATATCATAAATAGTTTGGGATATTTTGATGGATGTCATCTGCCATCAGCGTGTGTTACCTTTTAGTCCAGAAAAACTAAAGGCGTCACCAAAACTACAATTCAGTTCAGTTCAGTTCAATTTTATTTGTATGTCACCAATTCATAACAGAAGTTATCTCAGGACAGTTTTCAAATAGAGCAGGTCTAGACCGAACTCCTTATAACATTATTTACAGAGACCCAATAGTTCCCACCATGAGCAAGACCTTGGAGACAGTGGCAAGGAAAAACTTCCTTTTCTGCCCTGACAAGAGAGAGAGAGAGAGAGAGAGAGACACTAGAAATGACTGATGATGAACATGAAGATGATGACAACGACAACAACGATGGACAATAATAATAGTAACTATAATAATGATTATAATAGTAATAATCATCATAATAATAATAATATCAGTAATTTTGAGGCTCCACCAGGATCGATGAGAATCTGCGAGACGAGAAAGCACAAGAACTCCGGGGAAGAAGTGAAGTTAGTAACTTGCATTAATGGGACATGAATGAGTGCAGAAAGAGAGAGGAAGAGAGGAGCTCAGTGCATCATGGGAAATCCCCCGATAGTCTAGGCCTATAGCAGCATAACTAAGGGATGGTTCAGGACTCACCTGATATATATATATACTGGAATTTGAATTTTTTGGTTTGTTCTTTGTCAGGTGTGTTTTTATTTAACCACAAGATGGCACTTAAATTAGTAAAGCAAACACAGGTAACAATACAGGTAACACAGATGATGGCCTGATGACTGAATGATGTCATTCTATAGGATGCCTTGTGATGTATGAAAATGTGCAAAAAGTGGTTTTCAACCCAGACAGTATTCATGTCCAAGGCCCTGATGAAGGTATAAATAGAAACGTTGGCTTTGATTCAGCATAAATTAAGAAGTTTATTTAAATCAAACAGTTAAGACTTAGAATCATAAATGGTTAAGATGCTTCTTCATAAATTAACTTAAATAAATAAATATACATAAACAATTGTAACATAAACCAAACAAATCTTAACTCCAAACAAAGTATATACTATAAAGTAATGTCATGTAAACCTTCAAACTCTCATGAACAATAGAGGATTCTAATAATAGTAACAAAGTGCAACAGAGGTAGCTCGTTAAATATAAATAATAATATCAATAGCTTCTAGTGGAAGTAAATGCAGAGAAATATTATATTTAGTCGGCTCTTACCAATTCACCTCCCATGTTAAACTGTTTAAAGGTAATCAATGTAAACATTCTGTTACAAATATAATACTGATAATAATAATAGATCATCAATAAGTGAAAATAATGAGCTGTAGCCATCGGCCAATAAGAAGAAGCTCCACTGAACTGAAAGACTATCAGCTGATTAATAATAAGTGCTCCATGTGAAGATGTAAGTCCATTTGTAGAGAATAAGCTCTGTGTATGAGAGCGATGTAATGTCCATGTTTCCATGCTGCTCTGACCCCCCCTCCTCCTTTCAGGGTGGAGCCTGCTGGAGTCCGATGGTTGAGACCAGGTCTGAGGAAGTGTAAGTGTGAAAACAAAGCAGCACACATTCAACCATCTTCACACTGTGACATCACTCATTCACAGCTCTGATGTCATCATCAAAGTGTCAATCAATGATCAGATGATAGATCAATAACTGCAGCTGTATTGTGTCTTGTTCTCTCCATCAGATTCCTGTGAACTCACAGTCGACACAAACACAGTGAACAGAAAGATCAAACTGTCTGACAACAACAGGAAGATGATTTATGTGAAGAAGGATCAGTCATATCCTGATCATCCAGACAGATTTGACTACTGGCATCAGCTGCTGTGTAGAAATGGTCTGACTGGTCGCTGTTACTGGGAGGTCGAGTGGAGAGGAAGAGTTTATATATCAGTGAGTTACAGAGGAATCAGGAGGAGAGGAAACAGTACAGACTGTGTGTTTGGAAGGAATGATCAGTCCTGGAGTCTGGACTGCTCTGATGATGGTCGTTACTATATCTGTCACAATAACAGAAAAACACCCATCTCCTCCTCCTCCCTCCTCCTCCTCCTCCTCCTCCTCCTCTGGTAGAGTAGCAGTGTATGTGGACTGTCCTGCTGGCACTCTGTCCTTCTACACAGTCTCCTCTGACACACTGATCCACCTCCACACCTTCAACACCACATTCACTGAACCTCTTTATCCTGGGTTCTGGTTCTGGTTCTGGTTCGGTCTAGTTCCTCAGTGTCTCTGTGTCCTCTGTAGGAGGGAGAGAGAAACTTTCTCACTGCTGACCAGATAGTTCAGTCTGTACAGGATCACACACAGCTGATGTTAGTTAGTACCAACCTGATGTGTTTACTGTAATAGAGGAGGAAGAGGAGGCTGAAGGAAGAGAAGAGCAAAGGATGCTGGGATGAAGGGATCATGTGTGAGGGTAATGTGCAGCCTGCAGACGTAGAGATGAAAGAAATGATAGAAAGAACTGATCTTCTTCTATAACTCTGAGAAAAATGAACATTTTTAGGATCAAATGTGGCTGCTTGTTTTTCAAATCTTCTTCTTTTTGAAAGCACAGTTAGAGGGAAAGTGTTTTTATGACTCAAATATTAAAGTGTGAACAAATATTCAACTTTGAGTCTAAAACTGAACTTTGTTGCCTTAAAACTTTTGTTTCTGTGAAGAAAAAATGTGTTCAAATGTCAAACAAGAGTCTTTCAGGATCAAATTCAGCATCTGTGTAAAAATAGTTCCAAGGTGTAAAGAGTGGCTTTGATTTGAACAAACTAAATTCATCATCTTTGGTCATCGTGGAACAAATGTACAAACTTTGATAAGTCAGGTTGAAATCAAAAGAAATCAAAGTTTTGGGATGATTCTAGAAAATAAATGATGCTGGAAACCACATCTAAATGATGTCAAAGCAAAACTGTCCAAATGGATCCAACACTGTATAAAATGAAGGATTAGTTAAATCCAGCTTCATTCTCCACTTTGTATTGTTCACTTCTACTTCCATACATCACTGACTGTGTGCTCGTTTGGGGAAACTCATATAAAACAAACACTAATCAGATTTTTACATTTGAACAGAGAGACATAAGAAGAGTAAACCAAACTACTGATCAAGAACCAATAACAATAATTAACTGATAACTAGTAAAGGTTTGTTTCACCAACTTCCGCCCCTCACTATGATTGACAGGAGGTTTTGGGGTGCTTTTGGCGAGCAGGGAGAGGTGTACGTGACACAGAGAGAGAGAGAGAGGACCTCCGAGCCTCAATGTGGAACTTGAAGTAGACGCTCCGTGTAATAACGTTGAGCTTCATAAGAGTTGAGAAGCAGTAAGAAGTGATAACGATTACTGAGGATGAGCAGTTGCCAGCTGAAAGTGAAACGGGTTTCCTTCTCAGCAAATTAGTTTGCAGGGATTCTGCATCTTCTGCATATGTTTTACAGTTACATCACAGCCATTTATCCAAGTTACATCACACCAGTATGCTGTTGTTTTTAATGCTGTCCCACTAAAAGGTCCTGCAGACAAACTCACTGTCCACATCTGTTGAACAATAGTCCTCGTTCAGAGACATTTTTAAATGTTCGCCATAACAAAACACTCGTTCAATAATTCTGTGTGTGTCCAGCCAACGTTATGCAAGTTAAACATTTTCTGCACATTACAACAATGACTTGAAAAGAAAGTCACCCGCTGTGACTTTATCTCTACTGTATGACGCAACAATTCTATGTGGAAGCAGGTTACCTCCATGTTAAATGATTTACATGCAGACGTTTTACGAAACAATGTTGCAAATATATTAAAATTTAAGAAGAAAAACTGCAATTTGTGACCTTTTTGTGTAACTAATAACACTACTAATGGCTCAGTTCTGTTTACTTGGTGCCTTTCTTTTTTTTAAGCCACCGGTACACCTGAATGGAACCCGTCCATGATTAATGTTACTGAGTTACACCTGTGTTTGTGAGGAAGATCTGTTTGTTTCCATGTTGTTGTTGTTGTTGTTTTTGTAAGTTCCACTTCACTTGTACAAAATAAAAATATTAATTGAACATAACTTGTAAATGTAGTTTTTATCCACTTTGTTTTGTTTTGGGGCCGCAGGGGGGCAGCAGAGCTCACAGGTTATTGTTTACAGCGGAAGTGACGTAATACAGTTCTTATGTTGCCTTCTAGGACTGTAGGAAATAGGAAGTTTGCCATTTAGGAGCCAACTAAGAATGAAAAGGACAAGGTAAGTGCAACTTTTTAAACTTTACAAGAAAAAGTACTGCATATAGAGTAGCTTAATGCACTTAAACCTTTTGTAATTATGTATTTTATCAATGGACATCATTTTTATTTTAGGGACAGTTTGCCTTAAAGCTATATTGACTGTCAATTAAAGTTGTTTTTATTATTTTTTTAGTGCTTGGTTTTAACAAAACTCAATGCAATATTAACGTTATTTGACCAAGCAGTAACATGTTTATGCAACATCTTTTAATGTAGTTTTGCCATTTAATGTAAAATAAATGAATTTGACATGGATTAAGTATTTTGGTTTTAAAAAAAAATACTCTTGGAGTAATAGAAAGAGAAAAACTTACCTCATATATATTCAGACTGTTTATATTTATATTAACAAAAAGTACTTCTGATTCTTTGAACTAGTTAACATAGTCCCAAAATTCTGCTTTTACGAAGGGAATGTCTGTTATTTATATTTTACAACTAAGTGAATATCCCTGAAAGAGGTGTGGAACTTTCCCTCCCTAATTTCCCTCGGGATAAATAAAGCTTCTTGAATCTTGAATCTTGAAAATCTTGAACTTTTATTTTTTTTTAAATTGTAGAACAGAAAATTCTGAGCCGGGTCAGGGACGTGAAGGCATCAGCAGCAGCTCACACAGTGGAGCCGGGCTCATCATACAGGTATGTCCACATTTAACTCACATTAACTGTAATATCATGAGTATTATTAATTAATAAGGTTCCATATGGTGACATTTGTGTTGGAGTAACGTTATGTAGCAGCTCAGCTGGTTTACAGGTAAAGAAACGGGGGAAAAACTCTCCGTAAACAACGTTAGAAGTTATTTTGTTAGCTTAGCCAGAATGAGACCGAACCTCATTAAAAAAAGTTGAAAGTTGAAAGTTTTCTTGGCTGTTTGTAAATGTGCGTATCTGTCAGGACCTAGTTTATAATTCTCTTTATATTATTTGAAGCCACTCTTTAATTCGGCGAGGAGAGAATTCACAATACATACTTTAATTTTTTTTTTTAAATACTTGTGTGTGTGTATATATAATAACCCTTTCGCTTTCTAATCCATTGGAGGGTGTTTTAAAATCCACTTAAAGTGTTGCGTAATGCTCAGCTAACTGTTGCCCTTTGCCAAATGAGTCAGAATCTGTCTGTTAACAGATGTTATGTGCAGAAAGTAAAGTTTTTAAACAGAACTAGCTTCCTCCTGCAGACTAGTTAAACTAATGGACAAACCATAATGGACACTGTAACGGGGCTGATTAGAGGGGTCGCTTGATTTGAGTCACATTGCCTGCATGTGGGCGGGGTAGCTTTGTGGTAAAATCACGTTTTTTGCAATGTCCCTTTATTGTTGCCTTTCTTTTCCTTTGTTTTCTGCCTAGGTGGGACGATGGCAGGCCTGTGGAGAGCCTACCAAGCACTGATGACCAAATACCCCTGGACAGTGCAGATAGTGACTGCTGGTAGGGTTGAACTCTTTTCTCCTCTGAAGATGCAAATGTAACTTTTTTTAGAAGACAGATTAATTAAGAGATGCAGAAACTCACTTAAACTCACTGTTTGGTTCAGATAAAGTGAGTGTAAGTGATGAAAAAAAGAAAAGGGAGGAGGGGTCAAAATGTTCAACTTCTGGTCACATTTGATGAGCTTTGCTCCGGATCTCAGTTTCTGAGTCAACAGAGAGAAAGGTCTTTGAACTGATTCACCAAGATCATGCAACCTGCAACGAACAAACATAATCAATATTAATGTAAATGTAATAAATAGAGTTAAACAGAAACCCTTCAAATTTCAGGACTTCATAGCTTTTCCTAAATAAATTAAATTAAAATATTTATAGCTGTTAACTGGTGAGCTTTTGTCAATAAAGTCACTATATATATATATATATATATATATATATATATATATATATATATATATATACTTGTGTCATCAGAATCATTTAAAAAGAATCCTACACTAACTTTAAGAACTTTAAGAAGAGTAAATAACCAATCAATTAATAAGAAAAACAAATAATTAATAGACTTATCGATGATGTAACTGATTGTTGCAGCACTACTGATCAGTAGAAATCAATGGGAGCCGATTAATAGTTTAGCCAGTTTCATAATGCGCAACATTATGTATGACCTTTGACCCTTCATGAACTCTTTTGTCCACATTTCCTAAAGTCAGTGAAATATACTGACTACATGTGAACATGCTATTACTGCAAGTCTTCTTCTAATGTCCTAATATCTGAGCAACAGTTTAATGTTCATGTGTCTATAATCTATAATCTATAATCTATAATCTAAATATCCAGTGCTGTAGCCTGAGCCTTTGTAGTACAGTGTAATCACCACTAGATGGAGACAATGCTCAGCAGTTGTTTGAAGGATGTTTCTGTCTCTGAATAATGTAAACACTGTAAGACTTAATATTATCAGCACTAGTGGAGTGTAATTAATTACTCAATTACTGTACTCAAGTACTATTTTTGACATACTTATAATTAACTTGAGTATTTCCATTTTATGCCACTTTATACGTCTTCGTTATTTGACACTTATAGTTACTTTTTACATTAAAACATGTATGAACCCGTCTGCACATTGATTAACTACAGCGTTAAAATGCTCCTAAAGTATTTCTACTTTTACTTAAGTAAAGGATCAGAGTACTAGTTTCAGTCCTTGCATCTTATATTTAAATCAATTTAAGAATTAAAACGAAAGTTTAAATACAGTTTCAACTGCAGAAAAAGCTCTATATACTGAAATTCAGACTTATTAAGCTACTTTTTTCCTGTTTTAAAGGTAAAACATTTTGGGTGGCTCGTTAATACTTTTTGTAACATTTGGGTGTTTTTTTTCCAGCAAAACTCGAGGCTGTATTGTAATGAATCGGCCACATCACTCCTCAAATTAGAATAGACGTGTCATTGAAATAGAAAACAGAGTTCAACTAACTAAAACAACAAACTAAATGACATTTTATTACAACAGGGGTGAAACCTTTCGAGTTATCTAACATTACCTTGAATCCAGCATCATCTAAGAGTGTTACTATGCATTTATATTTACATTACAAGTTCAGTCTTCTCTCTTCTTGCTCTAATGCCAGAGTGTGTGTGTGTGTGTGTGTGTGTGTGTGTGTGTGTGTGTGTGTGTGTGTGTGTGTGTGTCCACCTTGTCAGCCTAACTACCTTTATTAGTTCCCCTATGACATTTTAAGGAAAGGTTACCTCTCGTTCAGTTCAGTCTGTATTATTACACTCTGCTGTCAACATTTTGTTTGTGAGTTTTATTTTAAAGATTATTTTTGGGGGCATTTTCTGCCTTTTTATTGGGTAGGGACAGGAAACAGGGGAGTGAGAGGAGGTATAACATGTAACAAAGGTCGCCAGCTGGAATCAGACGGTTGTAACTGTTGGGCGGTGTGGTAAAGTATGTGACCAGCAGTCGGTGACATTATGTGGGGTTCAGAGCTTTTTCCACCAGCTGAACGAGTAAATGTACACGAAATGTTATCTTGAAGTGAGTTCAATTCACAGTTTTGGTTTTGTTTAGTGCACCAAGTAGACTTCAGGTTTGGTTTCACAGCACACTTTCACACTCATCACCCTTGTGTCCAGCAGCAGCAGCAGCAGCAGCTCTTCTCGGGAAACCAGCTCTAAAAACCCGACTGTGTTCTGCCTGTTCAGCACCAAACTGCAGGCAGACACAGCTAGCAGCTCGCTGGTGAACATAGAGAGTCAGATATTTCCCTCAGGAGACCAAACCAGAGCTAAAAGGACACGACTCCAAATGAATGCTTAAGTTCTGTGTCAAAGGTTCAGTGACGTTATATCATTGCTGTGTGTCTGTTGGCTTGTTGCAGAGTTCTTCCGCCTCCTAGTAGCCAAAATAAAATCAATTATTGCAGCTTTAAACGTGTTAAAACCACAGGTGTAGGAGAGTCCCATCAACAAAAAACAACAACAACAACAATGCCTTATGTTCTGGGATGACACACTAAATGTGAATAAGCTGAATTGAGACATCGTGCTGAATATACTTTTATTTGCACAGCAGACCTTTTGACTTGTTATAATAATAAATGCACAAGTGAAACATATTTCATTAACAATGTTCCACCAGGTGACACCAGGGCCCTTTTTAAACTACCTCACCTAAATCAAACACAATGCTTTTCTTTTACTTTTACTGCTATGAGGCGTCAAAGCGTTGCAGTAACTGACGTTTCCCCACTTGGCTGCCTTGTATTTACGGTCTATTTATGATACGATGTACAATACAAAAGTCTGTTGTAGCTGCAGTGAAATATCATCCTTGTTTGTACAGTCATCCACAGGAATAATATCACCTCTGTCACACACTGTCTGTCTCCTGTTTGTCCTCCAGGGTCTTTAGTGGGTGTCGGTGATGTCATCTCCCAACAGCTGATTGAGAGAAGAGGATTGGCTCATCACAACGTGCGGCGGACGGCCAAGATGATGAGTATTGGTTTCTTCTTCGTGGTGAGTAGTGTCCTCTGGGCTCTTTTTATATGTGTCTGTTTAAGTGTGGCAAGTTGTGTGATGATTTGCTGGATCTTATTTCTGCCATATTTGTCCAAATATTCACCAAACAAAGTAAATAACAGTGTTGCTGTGCTCCTCACAGCAGCAACACCATGAAAATGACTTAAATTTGACAGATAACAAGTGAAATTACCTCTAATTATTGACTGATTTATTGCCTAAATAAAGCTTCCAGTGTTAAACTGAATACTGAAATGAAAGGATACAGCAGATACAGTATGATTACTCATTGAAAATCTTTAAATATTTGCTTTTTATGTCTATTCCGCTATTTAACGTGAGAAAAATGAGTATATTCGTTTTAAACGTTACATTCAGTGTCATCAAAAATAATATTTGTACATATATAAGTGACCATTCAAACTGTGTGTGGGTGATTATCCATGTTTACAGTGTTTCTTCATGCCTTTTGTTCCACCAATCACTTCTTGTGACAGCCGCACAATTCGCCTCTAAAGTCATCACCACGACGTAGACGAAGTTTATTTATATTTCCATAATCGTCTTACGTTCCTCCAATGGGCTGCGTCGTCGTTATGAATTATAGAGAGGAGGAGACGTATAGACGCTCGTCTCGAAGGGGCAGCTCTTCAAACGCACACAGGAGTCACGTTACACCTAAGACATGTTTGCTCATTCATCTAGAAAGACACAACTCTTCCTCACATTAATAATATATTAAAGTCCTCCTCATTTCTACAGAAGTAGATGCATTTTTAAGGATTTTAATGGGTAAATTATGCTTTTTTTAAACTTATATAATATATCAGACACACATTATTCTTCCAATCAGATCAATCTGTATATATGTCTTAATGCATGTCTGGAGGGGATCTTTAAGTTTGGTTGTTTAATTCAGTTAATCAGCAGTCAGATACTAATGTTTAATGAGTTTTTCTTTTTGTAATGTGCAATGAGTTTTTCAGAGGAAGTTTTAAGAATAATATAAGAGAAGAAGCCGCATTCATCGTGTCATCTGTTTTACAACAAAGGGTCCAGTAATCGGCACCTGGTACAAAGTCTTGGACAGGCTGGTGGTTGGAGGAACTAAAAGTGCTGCCATGAAGAAAATGCTGGTTGATCAGGTGATTGAAACATCTTCATCTCTTCTACTTCTGCTACCTGTTGTTGTCGGCTAAAGACAAGGCTGTTAACAAACAAGTGGAAACAAGCTGAATGATTGACCCCTACTACTGTGTGTGAGTGTATTTCTGTCTTCCGCTCAGCCTCGGCTCGTTAATAGTGGCAAACAGTGGATGAATCCCGACCACAGAGATACAATTTCCTCATATCAGGCTGGAAGACTTTGTCGTCTTGACAGGAGGAAACTCGAATTGGAACAAAGCTGTTGAGCTGTTAATGTGAGCGACAGTGTGAGAGCCGAACCCTTCTGTCCTAAATTCACTCACTGAATCTGTTGCACTGTATTTTTAATGCTATACATGATGCCAATGAGACTCCACACTGTGCCGTTCTGGTCTGTCCCAGATGAAAGCTGACACTCTTAAGAGAAATGTCATAATCTTCATCGATCAATTAATAAATTAAAAAAGATTAGTCTTAGATTGTACCATTGTACCATTTAGAGCTGTGTCCAAAGACACGCTGCCTACATTTTGTTCAAATTTAACTGAAATAACTGATGTGACTGAACACAATCAACATTATACCACTGATGAAATATGTCTATATTATGTACCTCAAACTCACAGGTGTAGACCGTACTCTAAACTAAAATTATTGACAGAGACCCAACAGTTCCCACGATGAGCAAGCACTTGGTGACAGTGGCAAGGAAAAACTTCCTTTTTACAAGGCACAATCTTCAAGCAGAGCCCGGCTCTAGGTGGGCGGCCGTCTGCCTCGACCGGTTGGGGTTAGAGAGAGAGAGAGAGAGAGATACACAGCAGTAACAAATATAATAGTAGAAATATGACTGATATTGATGACGTTGATGGTGAGAACAGTCATAACAAAGATGAATAATGAATAGTAATGAAGATAATAATAATATGACTAAAAATGATGGTCATGACAATGGTAAACACACTTTCCTCCTGCGCCTGTCTCCCAGCATTTTTATTTATTCATTTTTCTACATTTTGTAATAAATATTGTACAATATGACACAGATTTCAATATTTATTCGACCCATCTTGAGGCGTGACATGGAATCAACTTGTAGGATCCTTAATGCAGAAGCTACAGGCTCATTTAAACATTTGATTGACTCATTTATTCTGTCAGAATCGTAACTTTTTATGGCATTAATTAAACCCTAGCAGGTACCAAGTGCTTTAGAAAGGGCAACATAAAGTAATTTTAAGATTAAGACGAGAATAAAATATGCGACTGTATATATGTATCAGAGAGAGAAAGACTTATACTTATCACTAATATTGAGTAAACATAATCAGGTAAAAGTTGTATCATTCAATGCAAAGACAGTAAAAGCTTTAATTCAGCTTTATTTTGTGTAACTCTTCATCAGAAGATGTAAAAACAAAAGCAGCATTAGTTTTCTTCACTCTGCCCTCTGGTGTTTGAATCGGTCAAACTGCAGAAAGAACAACTGCAGGTTCAACTAAAACCGCCACAGAACAAGACTTCAGAGCTTTCAGTGCGTCCCCCTTACTAAAATATTTACCGGAGCAAAAGGGGTCCAGTCCTGCGCTTGAATAGTTTATTGGTCGCACTGTACGCTCTGCTTCAGTAATAACTCATGTGCCATTTGGTGACTTGAAAGATTTAAGGTGATGCAGCTGCAGCGTCGGTCTGCGTCAGAGCTGGATAACAGATGGAGGGCAAGTGGATGCTTTTTTATGTAAGTTTCATATACGCGAGAAGCAGTTTCACTTCACTGTAAACAGCTGAGCAGAGATCAGGGATTTTATTCGAGCGTCCTCGGGGGTGTAAAATAGACGTAAAGTGCAGAAAATCCACCGTACAGTAAAGATGAGCCTTCATATTCTGACGCTACAGGCACATAAAATGTTTATATTCTTCGTCCTGATCCTCAAAATGAGAGTTTTTGTTGCGTTTGGTTTAAGATCAAAACAAAAGTTACAAAGGTTTTTAAAACAGAATTCACTTAAAATGCTGTGATGTAATGAAGTTCAGCTTCACTTGTGAACAGTGAGCCCTTTTTTTTTTTAATTCAGAAGAGAATCTAAAGACCTAAAGTTATATTCAATAAAATTAAAATCTATACCAATAATTAAATGGACAGTTTTCACAAATCCCCCAAAAACGCTTTCCAAATAAAAACACAAGTAAGCTATAATAATATAATAAATAAATACTATAAATGAATAATCTCACACCTTCTGTTCTCACTTAAAGCTTAAACAGTTTAGATGTTCTTATATTTACTATAAACTGTTGAATTGGGTTTTCAGTAGCGAGTATTTAAATCCCACTGAGGTGTTTTTAATTTGTTTCTCACTTTGTTTTCTCACAAATGTTTGAATGAAATCACTTCCCCAGCTGAAGTTTGCTCTCTTTTCTTCTTTCTGTGTCTTTTGTAGTTGTGCTTTGCTCCGGGTTTCCTGGGAGCTTTTCTCTCTATCTCCGGAGCGCTGAACGGACTGACGGTGGAGGAGAACATCGGCAAGCTCAAGAGGGTGAGTTCACTTCAATTCGCCGCCACATCTCGGTGGATCGCCGACACTGTTGCCCCCTCAGTGTCCTCACAGCGGGAAGGTTGTGGGTGTGAACCCTCTCTCCTTCTGTGGGGAGTTTGTCCCCCCAACATGATCTCCAAAGTTCCTGCAGCAGTTAGGTGGACAGCACACTCTTACAGTATGTGCTGTCTTCCTGCCTTCCACCAGTGTATGCTGGGAAAGGCTCCAGTCCCCTCTACACCCTGAAATAATAATAATAAAATGGTGTAATTCCATTTTTTATTGTTATTCTTGCAACAGTGTTCCTGTGTTGAGTGAGCCCATCTGTATCAGAGTGATGGTGGAATGTAACAAAGTACATTTACTCAAGTACAAATCCAAGGTACTTGTACTTTACTTGAGTATGCCACTTTATACCGTTTGGGGTGAGAAAACTCTCCTACTTCTTGATCTGAACTCATGAACACTCGACTTTTTAGAGATATGAGCTTCTCGCGACGCTGCAAACACGTGATGATCTTATAGACTCTGATGCATCGCTGTAGATTACACTACCCAACAGTTTATAAAGTAGATAAAATGAGCTCAACCTTAAACATGTACAGCAGTAAAATGCAACATACACAGTAATGCAGCAGTAGTATTAATCCAAAAACATGAAATATAAAAGTAAAACACTGACAGAGACCATTTTACTGCACTCTGAATACTATTTTTAACACTTTTACTTACGTAAGACTTTGAATTTTACTTGGAGTGTAGTATTTTTACAGCATGGTATTAGTAAAAAGGATCTGATACTTCTTCCGCCACTAAAAATAAACCGAAGGTCATGATGTAGGTTAGTTGAACCTGAAAAACTCTCACACTTGAGGTAAAAGTTCAGTGTTTGACCTGATTCGTCCTCGGCTCATTTTTCATTTATGAATGTTGAATTAAAGGCACATCGAGGAGGACGAGTATACTCTGTTAGAACCTGATGGATGAGCAGCAAACATCATTGAATAATAAACGAATGCAAATTAAAATGAACTGTTTTAAACTTAAGTTAAGGTAAATCAAGAGTAATAACATAGAAGATACATACATCCATTTCCATTGAACTCTTTTCTTCATGTCGGTTGGTTTTTCAGCTGCAGTATTCACAAATCAAGTCATTTCTGGCTCCTTTTTAGCCTGTAAAAACACATATTTGTCATTTCAAACTGGCTAGAGAACAGGTAAATGAGAGTACACAGAGAGGAAGTTCGTAGGTACAGTCTCTGACCTCCAACACTCACCTCTCATTATTATTAGAAACCATTTCCTGTGATGGAGGAAGAGACGAGAGAGGCAGGGAGGGACTGTGGAAATAGCTGGAGTGACTCATACCTTCATATATATATATATATATATATATATATATATATATATATATATATATATATATATATATACACGTGTTTGTGTGTGTGTGTGTGTGTGTGTGTGTGTGTGTGTGTGTGTGTTTGTATGCCAGGTCAGAGCTAACTGTCATCTTGTGCCAGCTGCTCAAACGTCCGTCACTGCCTTGCTTACCCAACATGCGGCTGGTCATCATCAATTATTTACAAAAGGAGGCGCGTGGACCCGAAAGGCCAACCCCGGGTAAATGTCAGAAAGGACAGAAAATAAATGACAAATGCGCTCATTACGACGAGGCCCTGGCACTGAGGAAATGTGAGATGGAAATTAATGGAGCCGTCAACCGAACAGCCACTCTGATTGTTAAAGCCACGCAGGTCTAACTCAGACTCACCTGTTCGCCGTCTTTTTACCTTCGACAGCACAAAATCCTGAACTCCCCGGCCGATGCTTGCATTGTGTCTACTTCATACTAGTTCTAAGTTGTGTGTTTGTTATATACTGTATGTACGAAATTCACTGCTACTAAAAGGTGCAGGAATGGGAGCTACGACCTACCAGACTCAATTGACAAAACTAGGAATTTTACTTCACAGATAACCGTAAAAAAAAAACTTGTTTAAATTGGATAAAAACTAAATGAAACTCACAAAAACTGTCTTAGTTTTTCCACAGTGTTTCCAACAATAATCCAAACTCATTTGGTCAAAATAAACTCTTAATTCACCAAGTTAGATGTGAAAATGGGAAGCTACACTGGCAGCAACATAAGCTAACCTGTTAAAGTTTTAGTTTTTGCCACTGACTGGCTCAGTTTGTTATTCTAAATGTCTGACAACATTATGGAGCAGATCTCTACTGAGATAAACCTCTTTGTTAAAGAGTAAGATGCTTTTTATTTAACTAGAAACAGCTTTTATATCTCTATCACTTTCCACCAGACTCGCAATTTTACCTCCCATCCTCCAGAAACAAAATGTTAGTCTTTCCACTGTTCCAAATCTGATTGTAGAGGAGAACACACAGATGAGGGGTCTTTCTTCCAAGACTATAAATTGTGTCATAGACTTTCTTGCAGTTGGTGCTCAAGTATTCAAAGTACTTCAGTATTTATGTAATACTTAAATCTACAGTTTTTCCACACTTTAACTCATTGCTGCATTGTGGGACAATAGTGGACAGTCAAAAGTCGTATAGTGCGTATACTGACATTTTATTTCCTTTTGGTTAGTTTTCCACTGAGAAAATTAGAAAATATTTGTCAATTAATCGATGGAAAGAATGTGATGCCATTTCTCTCTTTTTGACATTTAATAGACTCAACGATTTAGAAATGAATCAAGAAAATAAACAGCTGCTGAAGTGATAATGAACTTAATTGTTAGTGAGCCCTAATACACACTTCATGCTCACAGTCTGGTTAGAATCAGGATTGTAGAACAATATTGGGACACAGCTTTGGAAATAAAATAAAATAAATTGCAGGTTGTGGTCAGACAGTTGTAGAAAAACAAAAAATATATCATTAAAACTTCGTCACACGTCTTCCTGATCATAAAAGACACTGAAGCGGGTTCATATCTTGTAAAGTAACTGTGGAAAAAAAACAATTCAACCAGCTTAGAAACCCCCCGAAAGAGCGGAGAACCGATCCATCCTCTCCAGACTGTGGGAGGAAGGATTCTGACGTGTCTCTGACGCAGCGATCAGCGCTGGTAATTTCACCTCAGGTGGCGAAGTAGCTTGTTTGACCATAATTAGAAAAACTGTTTCACCCTGAAAAACAAAATCAAGCAGAAAAAAAAAAAAGATTGTAACTGGAACATTGGCTTGTTGTTTTTATACGTCGAGACATGTTGAGGTGACCTTTAAATAGACGACAGGGATTTTTTTGGGGTTAGATTGTGTGTGTATGTGTAAGAGAGAGAGAGGGGGAGTTGTTTGTGTGTAAACGACACACACTTTTCATATTTACTGCGGAGTTTAAATGTTTGTTTCATCATTCAGTAAAAAATTATATAAATTTTGGTCTTAAAAAAATCTAGATTACACACATTTTCACTTATTTCAGCACATTTCTGATTATTTTCACAGCAATATCGGCACATTTTCCAATATTTAATGCGCCGCATTAACAGCCCAGAAGGGACAAACCAAACACTGGCTCTAGAAGGGGGTGTTCATGTTTTCGAGTATTCACTAGCCACCGTAGTTTCTCCTTTGCGCTTAGAAGTGGAAGGTGAAACGAGGAGATTCCCAAACAACTCCTCCTAAACTGGATCTTTAATTAAACGTATTAATCATCGTAAAGATTTATCCTCTCATACCTCAAAAGGTCTACAATGTACTCTATCTATAAGAGATGTGGATCATTATCAGTTACTCAACAGTTACTTGGCCTGCTGCTGATATTTTTGGGCTATAAAACATCCATCCTGCGTTGTTTTGGAATGAAACTCTTCACCAACTGGAGTTTCACCACATCACCATTTCTCACTCCGTCCCCCCACCGGCTGTTTCCACTGTTCAGTGATGGAAAATGTTGGAGGGCTGAACCTGATGCTACCTGAGTAGGAGGCCAGAAGTTTCTTTTAAAGATGTTAAATATCTTTTAAAAGAAACACCAAAATATTTCTATCATTTGTGTCGGTATGTGCCGGTTTTTATCCTGCAATGCAGTAGACACTGAAATGTCCCCAAATGAATGATAAACTTTAACATTTATGTTATTATTATCTTATTATTCCAAGGTGGAATCTGCATTTTAGAGCTTCATTTAAAGAGAGCAACTTTTACTTAGGTAACGTCATGTTTCATGCATGAATAATAGATAGATAGATAGATAGATAGATAGATAGATAGATAGATAGATAGATAATAACTGTGTTTTACCTTTGTTCACAGGACTACACGGATGCCCTGATCTCAAATTACTATGTAAGTTTTCCCTGTATCATTTACCATTTTATTGACATCTGTTTATGAAGTAAAGATCTGTACATTGTGTTAAAATGAACCTGTTGATTGAAATTATTTTCACTTGACCTCAAATGAGTAAATCGTCCCCTGAATGTTATCTGTTGTTGTTTCAGCTCTGGCCGCCAGTCCAGATCGCCAATTTCTACTTCATTCCTCTCCACCACAGGTCAGAGTTTATGGTTTATTAGTATTCAAACACTCAGCTGTATTGATCACATGTAAGGTTTGTGCAAAGAATGAGAATCTAAATTGGTTAAACTGAGTTTCTGCTCATCCTCAGAGGAAGTGTTGAAAAGCCTGGTACTGTCTCAAAGCCTTTCGGGGGGTTTAATGTGGCTGAAAATGATTTTAGGACGGGATGAGGATGTACTTTTAATGTAGGGAAATTAGGTTCGGACTCAGTTCCACAAAAGATTTTAAAAAAAAACCACATACCTGCATACAAACGTCGACATCTCAACAACACACAGCTTCTATTTAACCGTTTGTGTACATACACACCTTCTGACAATGGCGACATATTGCATAACCCCCATGGCCAACACTCCACACTACCTGTTTGAGTTGAGAATCATAGGCAGGAAAATAATGTTTCAGCCTGCTCTGGTTAAATCTGGAGGTCAGTTTTAGAGGGAAAATGTAATATATTAATAATATAATAATAATATATGTTATGAGTTCTGATATGACTGTTCACACTGAGGTCAAATTGCAACAAATCAAACCTGAACATGATTTGGACCACATATGAAAGTGACCTGAATCAGGTTCACACTGTCGTAAAAACATCCTATTTGAGTCACATATGAGCTCAGAAATCAGATTCAGGTCACTGTGGCGCGGCTTAGAGGCATGTGTGTTGTAAATCTGAAAGTCCTACACTGTTTCAATTGTGAAAATCTCTTAAATGTATCAAGAACTAGACTTATAATTGTCTTTTAAAAGCGTTAAATTTCAGACACTCTCCAGATTAAACACATAAAATGTCGTCCTGCTTGTAGGTTGGCTGTCGTCCAGGTTGTCGCTGTTGGCTGGAACTCCTACCTGACCTGGAAGGCCAATAAGATGTGACCGATGATCACAAGTCCGGCCCGTGTTGATGATGATGATGATGATTTTACACTCATTTGTTGTATGTGTGTGTGTGTGTGTGTGTGTGTGTGTGACATGGGCAGTTCTGGTCTAACTTACTTTATGCTACTTAGTCTTCTGATATTTCCAATGTGTAAAACTGTGACTGACTCACTCATAAAGGTCGGGAGAAAGTGCTTGTCTACTCTGAATGACAAATTCACACTTGAAAGTCAAACTTGCGTTTGCAGAAATGTCTGTGAAAGTTTAGTTATTTATGGAAATAGGATTTGGCAGGGGTGCCGCAGTGTAGCCACACATACGCACAAACACTCATACATTAACACCTACTGGTTGCAAAAGGAAACTTTTCTAATTATTTAATGTATTGTTAATCACTTTAAATAATTGTGTTGAAGGATACATTTTTATAGGTTAATGGTAGCATGTTTACTCTTATTATGAAGGAAATTTCCACCTCAGGTTCTCAGTAATAATTCATTGTAATTTACATATTTGGTTTATTCACTTCACCTCATATCTGTACTTCCGCTCCAGCAACTGTTTGCCTACATTTCCCAAAATGCCTTTCTAACAATCCTCTTGAAAAAGGGCAAGCAAATGTTTTTTTTAGATTTATGATGAATAGATAAATGTACATAAAGTGAGTGATATGAAAGCAAACACTCTTTACAGAAGTAATACCAAGTCTCTTTCAGCTGCAGGATGCAATGCATTGTGGTCTATTGAGGCTTCTGTGGGTGAAGTAACTAGCATCATTTGTCTGTCTGTCTATCATGGCTCTGGAAAGATGTGCTTGTTGACGTAATGTTTGAATAGTTTGACTTTTTTGGGGGAAATATGTTTATTTGTTAGTTAGATGAAGCCACTCTCGTGTGTGTACAGTGAATATAAGGCTACAGTCAGCAGCGGGTTAGCTTAGCATAAAGACTGGAAAGGGAAGAAACAATTAGCTCTTGCTCTGTCTGACGCAAATGTCATTTATTTCTCATAACTTATTTCAAACTGTAATATTATTACTGAAATGTATTATTAATTAGTTACACTACTAGTTACTGGGGAAAGTAATATTATTAGTAGTATTGAATTATTGGCCAACACTCATCTAAAATCCACATATTAACATCTTGTTTGTTTAATCATTCAAAAAACCAAAGTGTGTGTGTGTGTGTGTGTGTGTGTGTGCGTGTGTGTGTGTGTGTGCTTTTCACCTGGCCAAGAAATAGTCCGTAACCTCTGTAAAGCTGCACTGTGTCATTCACACACTTTGGACGGATTAAACCAAATATAAAGTGTTAATTGGTGAGCTTCAGAGGTGCTGTTAGGTGGATTTTGTTACCTTTGGACAGACCTGTTCCACTCTTTGTGCTAAGCTAGATAATTTGCTGCTTACTAATAATAACTTGCTATTTACCGTCTGGACTTGAGTGCTTTCATATAACTCTCAATAACAAATCAAACTATTCCTTCAAACAGTCAGAATTGTTGAATTATCAAGTCCAACTGCATTGTACAGTAATTAGTCCATTGGTGCGTCGACAATCTCCGTTTGGGTTTTTCCTTTTATTCTTCAATGTACATTATAATCTTTATACTCAGAATGTGCACATTTGTAATAACAAAAGCCGTCTCTGGCATATGAGACAATAAAGTTTTACCCGAGGTGATGTCAGTGGTGCGTTTGACCTCGCTAACTTTTGTGAACCAACATAGCTTTGGCTGGGTGGGGTTTGTTTGGAGGGAGATGTGGAGGCTGCTGAGCTCGGCTGTCAACCAAATTAACTGCACACATTTTTTTTCTCCACACAAACACTCTTGGGCTATATCGGGGAAAAGCAAGCGGAAAACGTCTGACGAATCCATTGAAAATCCGCCAAATAGCCTCTTCCCCCGAGGTATATGAGCCTCTCCCCAGAAAGCTGGAATCCATTTTTTGATTCAGCACCAGGTAATTAAATAAAGATACAGTACATATCTTTGTTAGCACTCTCACCTGTACATGGGGACATGGGATGGAGCTGACATCCTGTTTAAAATGTTCAGTGTTCAGCTTGAAGTCGTCACAGACTGAGTGTTTAAATGGCTTTTTAAACTCAGGTAATCATACTAATATTTCTTAGTGAGAATCTACTGATTACCAGTTATGTGTGCTGATTTTTGTACATAAATGTTGAGTTTCTCCCTCTGAATTCTGCTCTTGCCAGAACAAGAAGGGTCATGAAAAGGCCACCATTGGACATTAAAGTGTGTATTTTTTGGTTTGAAACTAAAAAATAATGGATTCTTCTCAACAGAGTAAACTTATACTAACTGCATCTGGTCTTAAATATATGAATATACCTCAAGGGCAATATGCTTCTCCTTTAAAGACCCTCAAAACTTGGCTTCGAGTATTAGGTGTTTCTCTATGACCATTGCATAGTGAGCATTTAATGTTAAAATATGGAAGAAAACAGCCTTTGTTAATATTTATTATGACTCTAACACTCTTTGCCATAAGTGTGTGTGCTTTTATTGAGTGAGTTGATTGACAGGGTCCTGACCAAATGACCCCACACCAAATTATTTAAACACCAAATTCTAAACCAAAATCCAGAAAACTCTCATGTGAAATAACCTGAAAGTGTCTAATTTTGGCAGAAAATGTTGCCATCACGTCAAACCCAAGGTTTATAATAAGAAGTTAATTGGAAATAAATTGGTTTTAAAGGACCAGTGTTTAGTGGCTTCTAGCTGTTAACTTTGAGATTGCAACTAACTGAACACTGCTCGCATCTGTATTTGACAACCTGGGAATGACAACGGGCTGTTCATCTCACGAAAGACTCTATCTAGACCCAGTATGTGGTTTGTCTGTCCAGGGCTACTGTAGAAACATGCTGGACTCCTTGAAAGGTGAGCCGCTGCCTTTTATAAAGACGTCTCATTCTAAGGTAACAAAAACACAACGATTGTTATTTCCAGGTGATTATACACTAATGAAAACATACCTGTGAATATTATATTAAACTTCTGCCAATAGATCCTCCTAAATGTTACACACTGGACCTTTTTTAAGAGCATTTATATAAAATAGTTAATATATTAGTGGGTGTGTACGTTTGCCAAGTGCTTGAGGATATTCCTGGTATTAGAATTCACCCATAATCTTCTCAATTAGAGAATGTACACAAAAGGTTCTTGTAATTTTACTTCTATTATCTCCCCTCATACAGAGCACAGAGTGTAGTTTGACACTTTATCTCTAAATCAACAACCTCGGTCCACCCATGTGGCTTCCTGGGGGGTCAGAAACTCTGGTCTAATCAGCATAAAATATATTGTTATCTGTGTTATGTGTCCGACCAGTAGAGTCTCTAAACAGTCAGATCAGGACCAGGGACAGCGCCTAGATTCAGTCACTAAGTGTTTAAAGAGATTTTTCTTTAAAGCAAAAACTCCAGAGTTTAAATTATTGATTGATTGGATTCTGGATGGAAGTGATGTACGTTGCCTTTAATTAGCTCATATTGAGGTAAAAAGAATATTAACACTGATTTATTGTCATTTTCCTCTTGTTTCATCACTTTGGCTTTAAAGGATCTACAGGCACAAACTTGAATCCTTCATTTGCCACTTTAATTAAGTTAAACCTGTTATGTTGACTGTGAAACAAAGTAGAGTTACCAAATATCCTCATTTAATTTAATTCAATTCAAATTCAAAATACCTCATCAGTCCTTGTGTGTGTGTGTGTGTGGGGGGGGGGAATTTGATGGAAGCAAGTCTGAACACACAAATCACAGTTAATTCACATTCATAAAAACAATCTAGAAACATAAATATGATGGATGGATAAGAGTTGAAATACACAAAGGTTACACATTAAGTTAGGATCCCTGCAAACCTAAAGCACAACTTTCTCAAGGAATCACAAGGGACCACACCCCCCTCCCCTCAAGGCCCCCATCGGAGCCCCTGGCCCCTGTATCCTCCTCATGTACCCATGGGAGGTCCCTCATCCCAACCCTCATATGCACCTGGAAATATGCCCCCCCTTTGTGTTTCTGTCGATCGCAGCATCCCCCAGCTGTTCCCCCGGGACTATGTTGCCTTGTCGTCTCGACAGTTGTCCAGTTTCCAAACCGGTCTCTGTGCTTGCATTGACGTCAAAGGAGCAGGCTGGATGTATAAAACCCTCCGTCCTCTCCAGTCGCCGCTCACAGGGACTTTTCAGACTCTGCTCCGCCCTGAGAGAGAGATCCCACCGGCCGACCACAAAGTTCAGCTGCTGCACCTGCAGAGAATAAAGTGAGTACTGCAGCTTCTCTCCTTTTTTTACTCTTGTTTTCAATTTAAGTTGAATTTAACGAATTTGTGCAAGCGGGAACATAAAATGTGGAAAAACAACCGTGCATGCAGATCATCGTCAACCTGGGACCTTCAGATATATACAGTCTTTGTTATCTTCTAATTCTATTAAACTCTGCTAATATGGGAGATACATTTAGTCATTTTTGTGCTTTTTAGTCAAGTTTAAACTTGATTAAAAATGTGCTTATTTATTCTATTTAAGTTGCCTGTGTGATTGACATATGTTTAAGATAAATATCATATAGTTTCAACCTATAAATAGACCCAGATCCAATGTTACATCTACTAGAATTACTGACCGGCTACAGTGGAAATAAAATTCAAAATCATTACTTCTTTCTCTCTCAGCTTAAAGCAGTTTGACTTTACTATGTACTCTCATTCATACATGAGGAAGTAAATTTACCACAAAGATTTACATCAGTCCAAAAAAAGGGCAAAAAAAAGGTGTTTAATGTCAGTCTGGATGCCACCTTAATAAATACCTTTTACTTGCAGGACATGAAGCCAGTGCCCCTGCTCCTGCTCCTCTCCTCGGTCCTCCTCTCATCGCACCTCCGCCCCGCCGCCGGCAGACCGCGCATCCTCCCCGGCTGGCTGGATGGCAGCGGCCGCCTCCAGACGCAGCAACTGGACGAAGTGCTCCTCAGAGCGGCCGCCGCCGGGGACAGCACCGCCTCAGATCTCCTGGGCGACAGCATCCTGAGGTTTCTCCAAAGAAGGAACCCGGAGCCTCTGCGCCTCCTCCCACCAGAAGAGGAGAGCGAGGATGAGGCGGTGAGGACAGCGGCGGTGCAGCTGTTGAAACGGAGCGAAGATCCGCCGCTGTCCATCGACCTGACCTTCCACCTGCTGAGGAATATGATCCAGATGGCCAAGATGGAGAGCCAGAGGGAGCAGGCTCAGCTCAACCGCAAAGTCCTCGACGAGGTCGGGAAGTAAAGCTCTATTATCTTATTTTTTTTAAATGCCTCATTAAAACAGCCCAACCGCTGTCTTAAGTATTCAAGACCTCTGACATTAGTTGTTGTTTGTGCGCCTGCCTTCTTCTCCACATCATTTTACGCACAGATGGTGCCAAATTACGCATCACAGCAGCCGCGAGTAAAATGTAAATTCTTAAGTGTTATTTAAAGACTTTGTTGGAAAACATGGAAACGGACTTCCCACACCCCCTCCGCCGTCCCCCCTGGCTTCCCCCCTCACCCCTCACCCCTCCTCACACACACTCCTCTCCGCACTGGACTTTTGGGAAACTGTCGGGTCTCACTGGATTTCAGAGTTTAACATTGGGACACATTTAATCCGGATACGAGCAGCGCTGTTCTTTGTCATTTGTCTCTCTGATCAAATGTTTTAAAGCTGTGAAGGGGAAATGACAGATCACAAGTTACTAAAATTCTCAAACTCAGTATTTACAGAGTTTGTACTCCTTTGCTAAATGTCAGTCTGACTTTATTGAACTCTTTCTCGTCAGCAGATTGGGTGACCTCGGTGTTAAAATGCTTGTGTGGAACATTTTAATGATGCTCATGATATTTACCCCCTTTTAAAGATTAATTGCTTAGGCTGCAGCTACATGAGTCTAATGTCAGGTGCATTATGGGTGCCACCATGCAACTGAATTGGTGCTGTGTAGAAACCATCTAAGATATTAGGAATATTAGTGCTGATTGAACTCCAGTTTATGACCGCAATAAGATTATTAAAGAACAAAATACTCACTTACTATCTTTATATTACCTATTTAAGGCTAATCCTTCCTGTTTGCCGTCCAAATCCTCTCACTAGTTCATGTAAATGTCATATTCCTACACTACTAAAACAAAGGGGTTATTATGTGAAGTCATGAGATAGAAACATTCAAAACTCCTCTCTGTGGATATCCAACTGTCCTCTGTTATTAATTAATATCCTGGGATTGATGGGATTGGTTTGAAAATGGATCTGAGGTGGAAGGAAGGAGAAAACGCACTTTATGTTGATTTGTTTGTCGCCTCTTACCTTCATCCTCTGTTCTGTCTCTTTTTAGTTTGAGCGGGAGCACTATCACCTGTACTGTATCAACTGTAGCATGCTAATCTACAAAAAAAAGTAAGAAAAAAAGCTTTATTTTACCGTAAACATTCACGTCTGACACGGATCACATTGTATTTGTTTTAGCAAAGGAAGAGAAAGCTTTTTTGCCATTTATATTTTGTAATAAAAAAGTTTGAAGTAAAACACAGCTTTCGATTCTGTTATTGTGCTGATTATAAATGTGTTGATCGATGATAAAAATACAACTTTTTGTGACTGTCTGAAGTGTCTTCAGATGTTTTCCCATTTGTAATAAGATCATTCCCAAACACAATGATGAAAATGAAAATACTGGAAGCAGAAAATGTACGTAAATGGGCAATTTTTGTCCAGCTCGAGATGCAGTCAAATGATTGTAACAATGGTCATCCGTCAGTTGTGCGTTTGTCCATCAAACAACACTTTCAGAGCAAAATCTCAACACCTACTGGCCAGGTTTCATTGAAAGTTTAGATATTTATGTCCTCCAGAGGATGATTCCTAATAATGAGAACCTTCTTTGTAGTGCCACCATCAGGTCAGGGACTGAAAACAAAACACAAATGGTTTCATTTCCCCAAATCTGTTTTTTGTTGACTCGATGATGCTCCTCTAGAGCCACCATCATATTCCCAGTGTACGCACAAAATATTAAACTGTAACAATGTAATTTACCTAACAGATCGACGCTCCTCAGAGAAGAAACATATTTAAATTTGGACACTTTGTGAGCTGTCCTCATGCACCACTCTCAGGACAAGCTGAGCTCCCCAACCTTTTCGATTTTAATGACCTCCGTGGACTTTTCTTTAACGCCACCCACATGACAAACTGTATTTACATTCAGATACTATTGCCAAATGCAAGGAAGCAATGTGTATCTTTTGATTTGCATTCTCCAGACCTGAAACTAAATTTAACCCACATATTCAGTAGAGGAATGGGCTGATGTTTCTATCCTGTAATCACTTCATGTGGATGTGATACAGAAGTTAAATCAAACCAAACTGCTTAATTAGATGCGTCGCTGAGCTGTAGAACATTGATAAAATGCGTTAACTGTAACGACATCTGAGTGTACAATTTATCATCACTTTCAACTGTCTGTTGACTCTTATCACTTCAACAGAAAAGCATTAAGTCTGAAGGCTGAGACATGATGGGAGTGACAGTTAATGGTGTCTTGTTCAAGTTGCTGAAACAGATAAGAGAGAGAGAGAGAGAAAGAGAGAGAGGGAGAAGAAACAAACACAGAAGTCAAAATGGCCTCTGGGTCCTTGTTTCTATGACTCAGTCTAAACTGTGGGTGTGTTGGTGATTCTTCTGCCTTATCACCCCTCTCTCTCTCTCTCTCTCTCTCTCTCTGTGTGTGTGTGTGTGTGTTGGTTCAGTGTATACATCACTTTGTAGATCAAAGCGATGACAAACTTGTGTGTGTGTCACCGTACTTCTAGCTCTACAGGACTCAGAAACAAGAGCGAAGAGATTCTCAACGCTACGACTTCTAACATGACGTCACTAACACGACGCAAAATCAATCACTACGACACAATTGAACAAACAATTACACTGAAAAACTGTAGAATTACTAATTTTCATGCTTGAAGGTAAATACTGTAATTTAGATTGAGACATTCATGTCGTTTTTTTTTAATTCTAGACTGCGTTTTTAAACCCAGTTTTACAAAATCCCAGGAGGCAAAAGACTTTCACGATAAGCATTACAATGTCTTCATAATTAAATAATGAAGAATTAGATTTAAAATGTATATATTTAATCAAATAAAAACTCAACAGTGGTTTTAGCATATATTTGTGCTTTAATTGATTAAGGTGTATTTATTGTTCAGTGGCCACAATCAAAAAAGACTATTGGAACATTACCAAGTGTCACACTTTACCAGCAGATCAGACATAGATGCACTTTTTCTTCATAACTTTTATCAAATACTTGTTATAGTTGTGCTTTAATGACATTTTTACAAATCACCACAACATATTGACAGATGATGAGCTAGTGTATTTACAAAACCCACAAACTACATCAGAGTTATCAAAGTGTACAATAAAACAAACACCTCTGCAGCGGGCGTCATAACAGTTATTATCATCATAACTGCAGTTTCAGGAAGATACAAAAAGAAAAGTTATTACAGGAATAAAAGATGCTACAGAAGAAATAAAAACATAACTATGAAAAATAAAAGCGGTATATTAAAAGAAACATAGGAATTAAAAGCATTTTGTGACTGTATCTTCTTATTAAAACATTTATTTAGAAGTACGTATCCTTGCATAGTTGGGAATTTGTTCCAGAGTCAAATGGCCCCTTACCACAAAAGCCAAAAATTACATTTTGACCTAGAAACAACCAATCTGGGTTCCACGAGAGAGAAACAGATCAATAATACATTTTGGAGCTAAGCCTAAAAAGTTAAAAGTATTTTTTTTAAAATCAATGCCATGGCTAGGACAGAAGAAACATGATCATTTATCTGTGTGAGTGAAGAATCATTCTGAACCGGTGGAGAGAGCCTTGACTGATACTGGTGTCAAATATAGGTGAGGGAAAAAAAGACAAAAAGCATCCACTTCTCTTTGTGAATCAGCAGATCACCTCTGATACAACTTTTATATCCTCAACCTGTCCATCACACCCAATGCCCTTACATCCACCACCTGACTCCTTACATACCTCAGGGTTCCTCATGGCTCTTATAAAAATTACAAAAATTACATTGGTTTCTTTATTGTCAATAAATCTCATGAAAAATAAATTCTTTGAGCTAAAATACTAACTAAATAATACTCACATGCTGATGTTCAGCAAGTATAATGTTTACCATTTTAGTTTAGCATGCTTACATTTGGTAATTAGCACTAAGCACAAAGTATAACTGAGGCACAAATGTCATTAGTTTTACAGACATTTCATCAAAAGTATTGGAGAAAGTCTTTACCTTATGATGGTGCTAGATGAAAAGTGAAGGTGATCACCAAAGTTTTTACAATACATCAAGAGGGGAAGATGAATATCTGAAACAAACTTTATTTCTAATAAACCCGCCGATCCCTTAAGGGTTACCATGCCAGTGTCACATTTTGTCTCGCCTAGGTCTTAAAAGTGTATGAAAGTAAAGTCTGTACGTCTGTATGTATTTACAGCAGCCTCCTCGGTGAAAGTCTTGTGGATTTTTTTTAAAGTTATCTCCATAACGTAACTTACAATCTTTTTCTAAACATCACCAACTGTTTTTTCTTGTCTGAACCTAACCAAACGGCGACCTCAAGCTTTATTTGAGAGTGTAACCAGATGTTGAGTATTTATTTGTGCTAACTTGACCGCAGAATGTGTTTAAAACGTCACACTGACACAATGGACTGAAGTGTGTATTAAACACTTTGACGTGATACTGGAGCAATCGAGCCAATATTTAGAGACATTTGATTAAAATCCAAAAAGTCCGACGATCACCAGAGTCGTTACAGGATTCATCATCTTGGAGAACTGTGAACATCTGAACCAAAGATGGCAATCCATCCAATAGTTGCTGAGATATTTCCGTCAGAACCAGAGTAGTGGACGGACCGGCGTTGCCCTCCCTAGAGCTACTGTTACTCAAACAGGAATAAATAGTGCATTTGTTAGGGACTATTTTCAGCCATGGATTAATAATACGCATTTGGTGCTCAAGTGAGATTTTGCAGCAGCGTTGCTCATTGGTGCGTTTTTAATAGTTTCTGGACAACAATGGAGCTCCATGACACACAGGAATAAGATATACCAGGCTTTAGATACACAAACAATACACAGGCGATTGGTTGACAATAAGAGAAATGCAGAATATCACAAGCCTCATTGTTTAACCAAGAACTGCCAGTAGCCCAAACCTTAACCACAGAGGTGGCTGATCATAAAATGTTCATTATGGAAGGATTACTTCCTTGTCTCACATACACAACAACACACAATCCATCAAGCAGTCTTCGAGAACCCCCCCCAAAGAAGGCAAGTCATTTGCAGTAACACCTACAGTAATAGGCTTATCTGCCCACTCTTCTAGTTGTACATCCTGCTCACTTGTATTGTCATTCTCCTGCGTTTATGCATTAAAAAACAAGAAGTTCAAGGACAGTTTCAGCTGCAAACTCTCTCTCTCTCTGCTCTCAAAGAAACCATTTATATCTTATTGACTTTAATCCCCGCCCTGTTTTTTTTTCTTTTTCATTCACTTAACGTCTGAAAAGAATTAAGAAACTGACTAAATGCAAAAAAAGCCTTTACAAAGTATTGTGACAGGAAGCTATATCAGGGCTGTAAATCCTGAAGAAGACGACACACATGAACAAAATCTTTTTACTTTCCCTCCCACAACACAGAATGCAGTGCTAAATCCACTGTATACATTTCCTGTGAGCTATACATAGAGAGATATATCTACACACAATACACTGGCTTTTTTTTACTGAACAAAAGGCAACAATGTGGGAGGCAAAAATCTGGCTAAGTCAGTCCTCCTGCATCTGGGCTGCTGCAGGAGGAAACAGATGGATAATGTATATAAAGGTAAGATTTTGATCATTTATGGGGAGTTTTTTTCCTCCCCATGTTGTCTTTGTTGTCCCATGTTCGTCGTGGCTGAATTCACTCTTGAACACTGTGTGGATTTCTTCCGGAGGATTATGGTAAACCTCTATTTCCGTCTCTGTTTTACATTTCCCTCAGGACTGCAGTAAAGGACCTCGGGTAAAGAAACAAAAGACCAAATATCATGAGATCGGTGTCATCATCCCACGTCTAAACAATCAGCAGTGACTCTCCAGCTGCTCGGGCCTAATGTACCCACGCCGCACAAATACAGCACGGAGGAGGACGCTTGTTGTTGTTGCCTTTTGTCTGAGTCAGCATGAATACACTGATGCTGTCCTCTTTCCTGAGTGGATGAGGGGAATCCTTCACTCTCTCTGCGGCTCTCTTTTTACGTAAGTGGTCTTGTTAGAGATGATTTTTCACACATCCCTTCTGTACGATACACAGTGAGCTGCCGCCGCCGCCGCCGCTGACTTCAGACTGTGCACATTTTCCAAATATTACAGTTAATCAGCAGAGCAACAAGAACATCCATGAACAGGCTCTGACACATTTGCACTACTTCAGTTTGAGAGGCGTCAGTACAGAGCTTTCTACAGTGAGTATAGAAACTTCTGCAGGATGTTAATTGAAATACTTATGTAGCATTTCATGAAGTTCATGCTTATAAGACACTAGCAGAGAATCTATAATGTACCATGTATTTATACTGTTTATATACAGCATGGGAAATCTTATGGCATTATTCATGGGAGCTGTTTTCTTCACTGTTAAACAACAACTATTGTAGAAGTTGATAAGGTTTAAGTCACGTTACATTTATTCATGTTTGCTGAATTATCTGGCTCTTTAGCTGCTAACCAGCTGGTTTTTTTTAGAGCTTTTTCACTAAAAACGACGCTATGAAAGCTGTTAGAGTGAACTAAAACAGTAAAGTTGTGGCCTGGACGGCTAAACAATCAGCTGAAACTGGTTATAAAGCTTGGTAAAGCCAAGGGGAGGCGCGGGTTCTCTTTCACATTGTGTTGACATTCTCACATCAAAATATCGATTATAGCAGCTTTAATTATTCTGTCCATCGGTGTTTGTTTAGTTATATCCACTGATTAGATTTCTCCTCAAGTTGGAGGTTTGCGGGAAACAAAGTTAGGCTGCTTATATTGCTTATAATATTTTTTTAAAAGCCTTGTTTGAACTCCTTGGATCAATATGGTATTGTGGTACAGTCTCAGGCTGCCTTATAGAGGTGGAAATTACAAGTCACCTTTCTAATTTGAATCATTCTGTCCAAGATTCAAGGCCACTGCAGAGATAAGGAAATCAATTATTTCTATATTATATTTAGATTAAGGCTAATTAAGGACTGTAGTTACAGTGAAATACTATAATTTACTTTTAATTTAGGTATATATATTTATTTATTTTTATATGTCTATGACATAAGTTTCCAAGTTTGTGAATTTTTCTTCTGCAAAATGAGGAAAAGTTTTATTTCAATTAGTTGTAACCTCCTCCTGTCTCTGTTCAAAGATGGTCTGTACGATGTGAATGCAAACTCTGATGAAGACCATGAGATGAACTTGAAATCTCCAGAAAAAGTTAGTAAGTGAACCTTTTTTTTGTGTCAAACTGTAGATTTCTCACCAGAAACAGTCCATCTATAATTCAGGATTAAATTAACAAATAAAATCTTCCCTCATTAGTTGTAGTCTAATGTGTGAGACGGGGTTACAGGTACACTCCTGCGAGCGCCTTACTTCCTGTCCAGCTGATGACTGAGCACTGGAAGCTGAATAACTAATGTGAGGAGTCTGACACTTTCTAAACCAAAATCAAACACACCACAAAGCCTTGGCCAAGCAAAACCTTAATCAATACGTCAATAAAGGTCGACAGGGAGCTTCAGAACAGAAACAAACACCTTGTATTTTTACTCAAATTTAACCTTTAAAAAGTCCAAATCTAAAACTTAAGTCACTGAAAACAAGAGCTACCTGTTTTGGTCTTAATATCTGGAAAAGAAGTCAAGTTCTGACTCTTCTCCAGCGTCTTCAGGGTCTTCGTCTCCATCATCCCCCACACCTAAAGACACACACACAGAGAGTACATAAACTTGCTTTTAACTTAAAGGTTATATATATGTTATTTAGAACATTTATACAGCAGCAAGCAACTATTTGTTTGTTACGATGTTTTGATGATACGTGAGGTAAAATTGCCGTTTTTGTCCATTGACTCACGGGTGTTTTTGGTGAAACTAAACGTCTATCTCGGTAGGGAGTTTTTTCCTTAATGTTGTCAGACAATTAGAATAATAATTTGAGTCTGTCAGTGGCAGAAACTAGGATAACCTTACTATTCTCTCACCTATCTCAGTGAATTAAAGGTTTATTTCGACCAAACCAGAGTTTGATTGTTGAATAGACAAAAAAAAAGGCAGTTTTGTTGAGTTTAATTTTGTTTCTGTCCCATTTAAAGTGTGTTTTATGATAATCTGTGAGGTACAATGACTGATTTTGTCAACGGAGTCTGGTGGGTCATTTGCGTGAAATTTGTTATTTTATTTATTTATATATTGTGTGGTTTTAAACATGTTTTTACTTTTAACAGAGTCATCTATTACATCTGACTTTTTACCTCACCTTTATTTAAATTGTTTCATTTTCTATCAAACCTAATTGTTTTTTCAATGCATATACCACACAGAAGAAATCATAAAATCAAAAGAAGACGTATGACAGAATTAAAGTGGGGGGAAAAGACTAAATATAAACAGTATGAATGAGTACATGTACGTGTTAACACCAAAAAGAGGAAAATAGGGCTGCAAATAATAATCAACCCCATAATCAACCAGTCTATACACCTTCTTAACTAATCAATTAATAAAGTAGTCAAAAAATGTCTGTCATTATCTTATTGATTAGGATATTTCAGTTTAACATGCACACGTCCCCCCACCCTTATATTATCTGTTAATCTCTAACCAACATGATAACACTTTACTTTTGAACTGTACCACTGCGCATACCGGAGCAGAAGTCGATGTTCATCAGCATGACGGCGAGGTCGTCGGTGTCGATGACAAAGTGGCTCATGCTCTCATAACCGAGCTCTGGAAGCTCCGCGTTAGAGGCCCTGGCTGTCTCTGCCATTCTGTCAGCACACACACACACACACACACACACAGGTTTTCAAAATAAGACTCAGGCATTTAAGTTAAAAACTCCTCACAGTGTAACAGTTTGACTCTGTTGTGATAGTCATTAGAAATTTAACTTCTCCATAAACTTTGATGTCAAAGGTCCAGTGTGCAACATTTAGGAGGAATTATAATATTCATAGGATTGTTTTCATTAGTGAATAATCGCCTGAAAATAAGAATCGTTGTGTTTTTCGGTACCTTAGAATGAGACGTTTTTATCTACAGAGGGTGCGAGTCCTCTTCTACTGAGTCCGTCATGTTGACCCGCCATGTTTCTACAGCAGCTCAGAATGGACAAACTAAACACTGACTATAAATAGGGTCATTTGCAGCCACCGTAGTTTCTCTACATGATTAAAACAGGAGGATGAGGCGAGGGTGCTGCAATCAGACACCACTTGGAATGTAACGATATATATCGCAAGACAAGTAAATCGTGATACAAATATGTGACGATTCAAGTTATATGAAAGAAATGAAAAATGAATTGCGATACTCTTTCTGAACTTTTGACTTTGTACGACGATTTTCCTAATTTGATAAAGAAAATCTAAGAGATGAAATGTATAAAGGAATATTTTTTATTGTCATAATTTGTCTTCAATCGTATTTTGTTTTTTTTTTAAAAAAGGTAAGAAAATAATATTGTGGATCGTAGTCGAGTGTGCCATTAAATCTACACAATGGACCTTTAAATAAGCAAATAAAAACTAACCTTTAACAAATTCAGATATACAGTAAAAGAAAACTGTGGCTGTAACGTCACAGATCAATTTAATTTATATGTCTAGGTGAAACACATTTTTTCCTGTATAATGTTGGAAAAATCCGACACTCACACGGTCCGACATTATGACTTTGTCACTTTGTTTAAAGCCTTTTACACAATATAACACATACTCATACTTTCACTCATTTTTAGGCTTCTAATCTGCAACCTGTGTAGTATTGATACATTCAACAATCAATATTTAATCAGGCAAACTTCCATTTCAAAGGTTATTGATGTTGATTCTAAATACACGGCCAATATTGGCTCCATCCATCAGCAAACCAAACACACACACACACACACACACACACACACTCAGTGAACTCCGTCTCATCCCCATGTGGCCGGTCGGTGACGACAGCATTCAGAGCAGATTTGTTTGGTTTTTCGATCTCTTGGCAACAGGCTGATCATCTGCTACATAATGTATACGAAATGACTAAATGTCTGACACAGAGCTGAGGACTGTTAGCACAAAGTGTCTCACTGTATGCTACACTCATGCTAATGGTATCCTCAACATAAACAGAAGTCTAATGATTAGTGCTCCATATGGATTTTGGGGACTTTCTTTTCCTCTTGTTTATGAGTTTATTCTTAAGATCTGGACACATTTGAGTATTTTTTTTTTTTTTGCCAGGATTTAAGATTTCTGTTAAAATAAAATAGCTGATTAATACATTAAACTTGTTTGGAATACAAAACAGATTTAGTTTACCTTTTTAAATAGACAATGGCATTTAGACCTAAATATAAATATCCCCCTTAGCGTACAGTTTTCAGTCCTTTATAAAAAAAAAAAGTTTAATTAAAACATTTGCCCTAATTTGCTTTGTTATATATATATATGTGATGCAGTAACAGTTAAATCTGTCAAAACCCTTATGGTTGGAAAACTTCCATGAATATTTAAATAACTGTTAGTTTATTTGCAGCATAATATTATTATAATGACTTTCAGCCAATTAATTGATGGACAAATGAGGACTGATGGGAAACACAATGTACTACATGACCTCTGCGGTGGCAGAAGAAGTATTCATATGATTTACTTAATGGGGAGCTCCATAGATTTTACTCACTTTTTAATCAGTTTACTAGACTTCAGGAGTCCAACTAAGCCTGTAAAATCAGTTTTATGATGTTTCCCCTGAAGAAGTAATGAGAAAATATCATCATTTAAACCCGTAAAAATTTAACTTTTTAACTGGTTAAAAACAGAAAGTCTGTATTATAAACTCAACGTCTGAAAGACATAAAAGACTAACAAAGGATGCTATTATATTGCATTATGGGAAATGTAGGGTCTGCTTTGGTTCTTACAACTTTAAAATAAAAAATCTGTATTTTGTAATTTTACTTTATTAAAATTCAGTATTAAATCAGTGGATTACTTTTGTAATGTGTTGTACTCTTAATAACATATGGCTCCTAATATTAACATAAGATAACTGGTGCCTTAATATTTAAGCTTTATTTTAATGGTTGGTTGATTTGGAGCTAATTTTAACTACTTTATATGCTCTTATTAGGTAGTTTTACCCTATAAAAACCAGGGTTCATACAAAGTCTGTTTGTCCGTTATGTTTTTAATGTCAGCTATATGCTTGAATTTGAATATACTGACTGAAAAGTGATTGATTTTCAACATATTCTGGTTGTTTCATCACAATCAGTCATATAAACTAACGATTGTTTAATACTTGAAATGAAACGATAGGTTTTTTTAATGTGCAAAGAAATGTGTTTTAACTACAGATGTTAAAACGCACAATATTTCTCTCTGACATGTGGTGAAATAGAAGTATAAGGTAGTAAGTAAATAGACTCAGTAATTATTAAACTCAGTCACTACATGCAGTTGATGAGTTTCACTACAAACACTCGACTTACTTTTCCAGTATGACGTTGGCGCTCTGTGAGAGTGAAGAAGATAGACAGAAAGGAGGAGAGGGACAAAGTTAATCACATTGTGCTTCAGTTGTCTGTGCCAACGACATCTGTCAGAAGTGTTTGTCAGACAACGTCAGCGCGTCAAATAAAAACATGATTTTAAGAAAAATACGGCCGGCTGCCAGATTGGCCTCATGGTGTTTACTACCTGCCTCCACTGACTCTATCTCCTTTAACACCTGCTTTGGCAGAGAATGTGGCTGAACATAAAACAGCGACACCTGAGGCTCATACTTTCTCTCTCACACACACACACTGGCACACACACACACACACACACACACACACACACACACACACACACACACACTCTCCTCACAGGAGACAAGAGTGACGCAGAGAGCAGTGAGGATGCTGAATTTAAGTAACAACTTGTTGTCTCTTCAGGGACGACTGGGACCGAGGTTGGATCGTCTAACTGTCTGCCCTCAACTTTATAACTTTTGTCACGTTTCACTCAAACCCCTTAAATGACGTCAAAAGGTTTGTTTGTAACAAATGTATCCGAGGACATTCGTATTACCATTTCTGAGTAACTCGTGTCCTGAAAATACAAATTATGCAACTGATGATTATTTTCTATTAATCCATGTCAGGAAACCTTCAGAGCCCATTGCTACACCTTTAAAATGCTTATTTTGATCACAAGCAGTCCAAAATCCAAAATATATTAATTTCATGTGATATAAAATAGAGAAAAACAGCAAATCCTAACATGAGATGCTTGGACATTGTGGATGATTGCTTGATAAATGACTTAAATGACAAATCAATTATCATAACCGTTGTCAGTTAATTTTCTGTTGATTGATTATTTGACTGATAACATGAGCACGAAAACCAATATGTGACTAACCTGACTGAAACCTTTATTGACAATACCATGAGCCTAGAAATAAATTAAGTTTGACTCAAAGGCACAATTAAAATGTCGTGCCTTATAATTCCCAACTTTATGAATTTCCTGTTGTTAGGCAGGACAAATAATGTAGGCAGATACAGTTTGAAAGTTCAGAGATGCTTTTTACATCATTTTGAGCAAATTCTGACTCTTCAAAGTTCAAGTTCAAAAGTTAATCAATTCCAGGAACAGCATTTAGTCCACAGGACAATACAATTCTCTACGTAACTCCCGGTCTTTAAGTTTAACTCTTTAATTTAAAATGAGTCTCCAGTTGTAAAGATTTAGAGGTCAGTGGATATAATGTACGTGTGCATGTGTTTCCTCCATTAAAACATGTATGTGCATGTGATCAATTGGTTGATCGATAGAGTGTACTGGAGAGACTGACCTGCTCTTCATTATCCCTGCAGCTGTATGAATTAATCATGTGTTTGTGGTGTCTGTGACGATAGTGTCTGTGTCTTAAGGTATGCAGGACCAGAGACCCAGCAGTCCTCAGGGGGGACGCTGCGCCTGACATGGATGCTCCCGTTCCCTTCCTCGCCCTGCAGCTGTGCACATAAGCCCCTTGATCATAAGCAGATATGGCCTGGGGACTACTGAACACGGACCATTCTGGGAAAAATATCGATGGGTGGTGGCAGGAAACTTTAAATGGAGTGGAGGAGGAGTGAAGTGTGAGGTGAGTTTGTTTAAATAAAGAAAAAAACACTACTGCTGAGGTTTATTTCGTGTCAACTGTATGTTCAGCATGAATGAAATGTTAAGCATATAAGAGGATTAGATGTTATTGATCATACAGTTAATTAACATTAGAAAGTCTAAAATTTAAAAAGCTTTCAAAATTGAGAGTTTGGACCCTTTAAAAGAGGAAAAAAACAAATTTCTGCTTCACAAAATAATGTGTATTTTCTCTGACTGTCCTCCAATAAATTGTTTCTTTATCTAATTTTGGGAATTAAAGAATAATTTTAACCTCTTCAGGAGTTTGGGAAATGATCATAAAATACAAATTTTGTAGCCTTGATGTATGCTTCTGCTATCCCTTAACATTTTTCTCATTATCATACTGGGCTTTGTGTTATGTTAACAAATTATGGTTTTCATTATTTTGAAAAAAAATCACTTTCTCCTCCAGATCATCACTTTAATCATTTTTAAAATGTTTAAATGTAACTTTATTAATTCAGCTATTAAATTTGCTGTGAGTTTTATAATTTAAGACAAAAGTTTGTCCCAGAGTTTCTGTAAATGTACTTAATGCTGTTTCATAACACCTTTCTGCCCCAAAAATATATGTGGGGAAAACACAGAATTTAAATTTTTTGGTGAATTTTTCACATTTAAAGATTCAGAGTCTAAAAACTGTTGGAATAAACCTTTTAAAATACTAACAAATATTAACCAGCTGATGTGACGTGTTACCCACCTGTATAAACAAAGGCATGTGTGGCTCTTCCATGGACTGGATGGCCGACTCCACCAGCGTTACTGCGGCCTCCAGGTCGTCACCGTGCCGACGCATGAGAGAGCGAATGTGTTTGAGTTTGTCGTCCTGTTGTTTGGTGATGAGCCCCACCAGCTCCTGCTTCCGCTCCTCCAAGATGGCCACCAGACCGCCAAAATGGGTGGCCAGCAGTTCCCTCTGCCGCTGCCCGTTATCCTGAGGCGACAAAGAAGATTACTCAGTATTTATAGGACGAAAAGTAGTGAAACACTACAATACAAAGAACACCTGCTGCCTGATTTAGACATCATATCCCAACTTGTGCAGTGTGTGTGTGTGTGTGTGTGTGTGTGTGTGTGTGTGTGTGTGTGTGTGTCTAACCTCTATAGTGTGGCAGATTGCTTCCATCTGACAGATGACTTCCTGGATGTGGTCGTTACTGGCGACCAGGATCGCGATGCCGTCACTCAGCTCTGTCTGCAAACATTCACAAAATCACTCACTTCAATTCAATCCAACCAGCATTCCTCTGAGAATAACTGAAACGTAAGGAAATCAGTGGGTTAATATTGTTTTCACCGTATCAATAAATGGCCCAGCGAGGCGTCATGTCCTCACATTTGTGTCTAAGCTGATTGTTCCTCTTGGTCAAAAGAGATTTTCCACCAATTTGAGTTTAAAAACAGGTTTTTTTCCTCACTTCCACCAAGTTAATTCAGGTGTAACCCTGATTTTTTGGACTCTTTTGGATGCCAACATGTAAAGATAGAACAACCACCATCCACTCTCTCTGGATTCACATCAGCCTTTCGACTCTACTGTTAGATTCACAACTGTCCAACAGAAAACAGCAGATAAAAACTTAAATTACCCTGAGGCAGGTGATCCCTATAGGGGTTGCCACTGCGGGTCTTCTGTCTACATCTTGTTGGCAAATTGGGCCCTGTCTAACCCACCAATGACATCTCATGATCCACATATTTGATTTGACATAAGCTTTTCATGTCAGATGCCCTTTATGACGCAATCCTCCGGGGCTTGTGCATCCCCAGTGGATGGGGAGAAACACGGTTCAGTGTCTTGCCACACTTCGACGTGAGGAGGTGGGGATCAAACTGTAAACCCTGTGATCAGTAGACGACCCGCTCTATAACCTGAACCACAACCCTCCCATCAACATTACATTATACATTGATTATTGTTAGACAATCTTTATCAATAACTCTTGACTCATATTTACAGTGCGGGACACGTATCAGCTCACCTATAGATGGCGCTACAGCAACATGATGAATTTAAAATAGCCATAAGTTAGTGATGATGTGTCTGAATAACTCCTAATGTTACTGTAAAAGTTTTGTTTTTATCCACAAATCAAGACCGTTTTCAACTTCTTAAGTTTTTCTTTGCCGCCGTCGCCGAGTGCTTTCTCATGGTGGGAACTGTTGGGTCTCTGTAAATAACTTTAAAATGAGTACGGTCTCTATTTTCTAACTTTTTGTTATGAATTGGCATTAAATAAATAAAACTGAATTAAACTGAAAACCAATCAGCATTCTTGTCTGTGTGTGTTTTTCTATGCAGAACCAGATTTCTAAACATTTTCTGTAATTAAAAAGACACATTTAGAGAGAACTGTGCAGTGTTGGCGGAGGAATGCACTCTGAGTACTTTCTAGTTAGTAAGCCTGTCACCACCTAAAGCACAACAACATGAGTCACCAGCATGCATCTGTTTAGACTATCATATGACATCATGTACATTTTGATAGTTTGTTCCAGCTTCTGCACAGTCCTGGTGCGATTTTAAAGTGTCATTAGTGCATCAAACGTTCTCACCTCCATCGGCCCCGAATGAAATCAGCGACTTTTTTTGTTTTTCGGATTAACCTTTGCATAAGGATGGAGGATCAACAACTTTCCTCAACCTCATCTAAATTTCAGATGAGTGAATCAGAGACGGAGTGAGAGATGGAGAGGCCGGCACTGAAATGTCAACAAAGCCAACTGCTCAATAACATGCCGGACGCTGCTGCTGCCATCTGCATGACAACACTGCTGCACTTTGTCTTTGTGTGACTTTGCGTGTCCACACGTGTGAACAAATGAGTTAATACAAAAGTTATATATTTGATGTGTGTGTTTGATTCTGCAATAAAACAGAAACGTCTTTGGATGACTCGATAACCAGGTGCAGTGGTGGAGAGTACATTTACTCAAGTATTATACTATAATAATACTAATTACATTGCAGATTTTAAATGATATTGTATTATAAAATACAATGCATGAGTAACTCTACTGCATCCAGCCTCAATATAAAGAAACATCTTACATGTTACTGCATCAATAATCTATAAGTGAAATATATAATAATGTGACAAAGACAAAGCCCAGTTTAGTTTCATAGTGAGTACTGAGTATTTGTAAATTGTGATATTTCTATTTTTTCTACTTGTTCCACCAATGAGGATGTGTGTGCAGGTGTGTCCTGATCCCAGTGGTTTACCTACAGTAGTTATTTTCACTGAGTGGTAGGTCAGTGTGCATATTGGTTTGTGCTGGTGTTTTGCTGAAGATTGGAAAGAGACACTGGGAATCCAAACAGAAAAGGAAAGAGAGAAGGATTTAAAAATAGAAACAGAAAGAAGGGAGACAAAGGCCATCGTCTCTTATAAAAAGTTGCCCACCCACACACACTTTTAGAGTTTAGACTATTGTATACACTCTTGATGGTCCTTTGACCTTTAAACAAGCTTCAGTTGGGAGCTCTGCTTCTCCAACAACCTGCCAGCTCACTTCCAGCACACTGCACCAACTACTGTTCGTCTCTGGAGGAATCTTTTGGTTACTACTTTGTTACTTTGCCTGAAAGTGGAGTGAAGTTAAGTGTAGTAGAAATAATAATTATAATAATGATTTTATTTATGAAGCACTTTTAAAGCTTAAGCAATCCATGTAAGGTCTCCTGTATAACATACAAAAAAATAGGAATATGATGATAATCAAGCAGCACTGAGCCCATACATTAACAGATGGAAGTGCAAAGTAAATAAAATAGGATCGTTTATAAATCAGTGAAATGTAGATAAAAACCTCATATAAAGCAGATTAGATTTAAGTAAAGGAAAAGAACCACATATGTAAACAAATAAGATGCAAATATTAGAGTTGATCTCATATAAGGTGGATAGAAAGCCAATAAAAGAACAAACTCTTGAATTCAAAATAGATAAAAGTACAAAATATATGGAAGTGCATATAAAAATACTAAAATGAAGTGAGGCAGAGAGCAGTAATGTGAAGTAATGTGAAGTGATGTGGAGTGATGTGGAGTGATGTGGAGTGGGGTGATGTAAAAAGTGAAGTGGCATTAAAAAGTGAAGTGGAAACAGGGAAACAACCGGTTAGACCTTGTTTTAATTAATGCAGAATTGATTCTTTACCTTCTGCCTCATATAGACGCTGCTGAGCGGCGCGACATCGCAGTCTTTGTGTTTCCCGAACACTTTGCACATGGAGCAGGTCGGCATCTGGCAAGAGAGGCAGTAGATGTTGATCTTCTCCTCTTCGTGTTCTTCACACATGAGCTGCTGCTGATGCTGCTCCGGCTTCATGTCCACAAGCCTGGGAGGTCAAATTAAGTAGTACACAGTGAACTGATATATTTTAAACTGATTGGTGCACAGAATGTGACATATCAATCCTATAAAAAGAGCTGAAGAACTGTTTTGACTTTGGAAGAAAACAGTGTGTTGATGTAGGATCCACTCATTCATAAAAAGAAGCTGATTGACAACATTATGTTTTCAGGGCCTCCAACCTCTGTAACCACATCATCATTAGACAAACACCTATGAAATCAATGTTCATATTGCATTTTTAATCTTATCATATTGACATAACGTGAGAACATTTTCAAGGCTACGTTTCCATCTTATTTTGTTTATTTTTAATCACCAGAGAGTTCAATTTCAAATTAAAAGTGTCGTAACTACTAGGTGCAGACACATTTCTTAAAGCACCTAAACAAACTCAAGTGAGGAAGAACCCAGAAGTTCATCCGTTGTTTAATTTACCACCTAATCCAGAACTATTATTCTTCTTTGCTACTAGCAATCATTTTAATGCACTAATAATGTGCTTGAAATGCCTTAAAGGAAGACTTAAAGGGAAAACCTGGCAAAGTTTGAATCAGATTTCCATGTTCTAGTGGCACAGTAGTCCACAAGACTTGGCAACACTGTCGGTATTGTTAAACCAGCTTAGTTAACTTCTGTTATTGCTGACGTATTTTGACGTCAGTGGATGATGGAAGAACTACGCCAAGAGTTTGGCTGAGATAACAAGTTGTTTCTTTGCCACCTTGGAAGCGAGAGGGTGTCACTACTCACGATGGCTCAGTCGGCCCATTTGTGTATCTGATGTATCCAAAGTACATAATAAGGACAACATAACTGACATTTTTTGAGTAGTTTTCAACAATTTTCCTCTCCAAATGTATAATATTCACACAAACTGTCCCACCAAGTTTGCATTTCCATCCTAAAAAGCAACGCCTGTAACGGAAGCAAACATTCATGCAATAAACAGTCCCTTTGTTCTCTGACGTAGGTGTCTCTGACAGAAATGATGATTAAGTAATGAGAATTTTTTTCCCACACATGAAAAAATGATGAGACACTACAAGTTACAAAACATTTGTGAACCTCACTGTGAACAATCACATCTATTTTAGCCCACACAGATAATGAGGGGAGTCCTGTCCTTCTGTCTCTAATGAATGCCAACATCTCTCTTCTTTACCAGTGACTCATTGAGCTTCTATTTTTGAGTGAAAGTGGCAAATCTACACTGAGTACAACTTAAATATCACTGCAGAGTTCTAGTGTAAGTGTGTGCGCTTATAAAACAGAACTGAAGAGGCTTCTGTTGGAACAATGAACTTTTTAAACAACAAAATCTACTTTAAAGCATTAGTTAGTTAGTTGACTGATAAAAACCAAAATAACAAAATTCAGGCTAATAATGATTTGTAAGAGTGAATTGGTTTGGCTTAGATGCTTTGTTAAAGTTATTAATTATGAAGTAGTTTCACAAAGCAGGTAAAACTGCAACTCTACTGCAACTCCCTGCAGTCACAACTCAGCAAAACACCAAAAAGGTCACAGAAAGTCAGCTCCCACCAAGAGATGTTATGATTTAGAAGCTCTGAGTTGAGATGAGATGTTGAATTATGTCAAATTAAATTTGTGTCCATCTCTACTGATGACTGGACCCCAGTCACTGCAGCTCCGTCTCTTCCACCAGTTACTAAAACCCTGTCCATTTATTTATTTTATCCTGCACTCTAACAAAACTCTAAAGGACCAGTGTGTAGGATTTAGTAGCATCTAGCTGTTAAGTTCCAGATTGCAACTTACTGAGCACTGAACACTGAACGGGCGTATTTGCAGCCAGTGTTTGGTTTGTCCGCTCTGGACTCCGCGGAAGGTGACTCGCACTGTCTGTAGATAAAAACTGCTCATTCTAAAGTAACAAAAACAATTCCTATATTCGGGTAATTATATACATATATATTCCATTTCTGCCAGTAGATCTTCCTAAATGTTACACACCGGACTAGAAGAACTACTGTTTTCCAGTGTTCCTGATAAAAACTCACCATATTACTCACTTCACTGGCTTCTGATCAAATACAGAATTGAGTTCAAAGCATTGCTCACTGTTTACAAATCATTTTATGGTCTAGCGCCTCAGACACTGGTCACACGGTCTCATAACCGTACCCAGGATCAGAAGTTAATCTGGTGAAGGTGCATTCAGTCATTAAGGGCCCACTCTCTGCAACAAAGATCAGATGGAGCACGACTGTGGTGTCGTTTAAAAGCGAGCTTAAGACCTTTCTGTTCTCTTAGACTCTGTATGGCCAGCTAGTGCCTCCATCTCTCTGTCTGTCTACCTGTCTCCCACTCTCTGGGTATGTTTATGTTGGTTGGTGGGCAGGGGATGAATAACTCTATAATATATGTACATTTTATTTTATCTTGTTCATATTTGCTGTGTCTAAAGCACATTGAGCTTGCCATGCACTGTATAAATACACTTTTAAAATGATGTATAAACTAATTAATTCTATACGTTTTTTTGTTGTTTTTCTTGGACGTTCTTCTCCTTTCTAGTATGTTTTCCATGCACACACATTATGTTTATAACTTGCAGTCGACAACCACTGCATCAAAATGCAAATACAAGAAATGGTATTCATCACCTGAGGGTGAAAACAGAAAGTGTGCACGTGTTTCAAAGCTGGAAATACTTCACAGCGATGTTGAACAATAAATAAATATATAGTGAATAAAAATGAGGGAAAACTGAGGAGAAAATAACCCCCAGGGTGTTGCACTCAAGTATCAGTTTGTCAGTATGAATTATTGTGAATCACAGCGTTAATGTCTGTTTCTCCACTGCAGTCAGAAACCTGTGGACAGTAAAGGAATACAACACTGCTCTCTACTGGTGTTCGCTCATATTACAACAATGGTACTTCAGATTCTATATAAAGACTTCTTCTTGATAAACTTGTTGGTACATGTGACACAAATACTGACAACTTGGAAGAAGAAAAAATCCATAATTCTATGGTTGAACTTCAAAAGTATTTTAAAAATTAATTGAATTATTTATTTGATATATAAAGCTCTTATTAGAAAGGCAATACATCTCTTCCATGCTTGCCTATAAAATCTGCTTTTAGTTTTTATTTCTTAATACTTTTTACAAAGCACTTTAAGGATAAATGCTCTTGTTCCCCTTGATGAATTTAAATCCATGATTGAAAATTACTGAACCTCTATTTGCACTTGTTATATCTTGTATGAACTGCTTTTATAGATGTTTTAATGACTTGTTTTCTTTTATCTTGTATTTTCTATTAGTGTTTTAATTAATTAATTGTTTTCTTAAACTTTTTATTTGAATATCTTGTATATTTTCCGTCATTTTAAAATGTTACTTGACATCATTGTAAAGCCCTCAATGAGTAAAAGTATGTAGTTATATATACAAACATAAGCAGATATATAAATCTGCTTACAACTACATTTTAGTATGTTATAAAATGTTTATTAAAGTTTATATAGTGCTTATAAATTCTGAATATGGGGTCCCTCCTGTACACTCACTCACCTGGAGGACTCCTGCTGTCTGTAGAGGTCTATGATGTTCTCCACCAGCAGGTTCCTCTGCAGACCGTAGACTCCATGGCGGTCCAGCACCACCTCATGGCGGCACGACGGGCAGCGAAACCGGCTGCCACTGACAGCCATGCTGGAGGAGCCGCGGGACTGCCACAGAGGGTTCGCTGACTGGATAAAGAGAGGAGGGAGTGAAACAGTATAAATATCCACCATCTTCTTTACTATTCCCAAAGATATTCAGTGGAGATTTGTCAGAGCTGATGATCAGAACTGGAGCACTATTTAATGGTTGAACATTGTGATGTAACATCTCATTAGTTGAGACAATGTCCACTGGTTGGAGATACTTTAAGCAACTTTCACTTAAACAAGAAAGTTAGAAACATCTCATGAAAATAAAACATGTTTTCAAAGTCATTGATATAACTGTAAATGTATTAAGTACTCATCTAGGTACTTGTTATCAGCAAGTAACAAAACGTAAATACTTGTATTTGATCTTAAACAAGTGATATGAGTGCATCCCTTTCACAGAGTCATAAAGATAAAACACAGCACGCATACAAGCCACAGCCTGTTCACCCTGCTGCCGACTGCCAAGAGATACAGAAGTATCCGCGGTCGTACCACCAGACCTCAGAGCAACTTCCTCCCTCAACAGAAATACTTTTATTTCTATAACTTATTATTTATTCACCCCAATGTTTGTATATAACTTTTGTTTTTTAGTAGAATGAAGGCAACTGAATCTCATCATACAATGTTGTAAAATAAATCGAACTTCTAACTAATCTAATCTTTCTGTGATTTACCAGGAAACATGGCCGACCACGTTGGACCTGGATTAACGTGCGTGACGCCACTGTTTCACGTGACAGCCCCAACAACATCATTACCCTTCGGTTTCGTCATGTTCATAGCTGCTGATAGCTGATACTAATCCCAGCGTAAGGCGACATTTTGTGACATGTGGTTCCTTCTCTTTGGTGAGTGCGAATGTTGTTGATGCTGAAAACCAATAAATACGTATATTCAACATGCAGCTGTATTTGCTCACTGCGAACAAACGTTAAAGTCTAATCACCTTAGTGACAAACTGATGCTAAATATATAGTCTTTATCGTCCCGGGAGGGACATTTGTCTTCACAGCCCACACATGTTCATGTCTTACAAGAACAACATACAATTACAGAAAACAAATATGGTTAATTACAATTGTTATGTGTTTTTAGCCATATTTTAACAGAAATATCAGTTTGGAATACACTGAGGACATAGCTGGAGAGGATGGGTATGGATTATGTGACATTTTGATCCATTTATTCTGCTGTGAAAGTAGATTCCTGTTGGATTTGGCTTTGATTACCATATTTTGAACTATTAATTGAACTATTACCTCAGTTTGAAATAATGGTGCTTGAAATTGAAAATTGCTGGCATGAAAATAAACACACCCAATCTGACCTGGAAGATGTCGTTGGCACACTTGCGGCAGAGGTTGTGCTGGCAGGGCAGGATGACCACGGGTTTGGAGAACATCTCCAGACAGACCGGGCAGATCAGCTGCTTCTCCAGGTTCTCCATGGTGGCTCCTCTGCCAGCACCGGGCCCAGAACTGCCCGCCGACGGAGGCTTGAAGCCGAGCGCAAAGCTCATCACCTCCAGGGGCGGTGAGTTAAAGGTCAGAGAAGGCAGGAGGAGGGATAACAAGCAGAGAAACACAAAGTTCTAGCTCTTTCTTCTTGAATTCAATATCCATACAGGTCTGTGTAGATCACTCTTGACTTGTTCAACCCTCAAAAGATAGTTAGATATGTTTTTAAGTCGTATTTTCTCTCGGTCTTCTGTTCTAAAGTCTCTTTCCCCAGCTGTCCATCCCTTTACCCCTCTGCCAGCCTGTCTAACCCCCATGTAAAGACCCTCCCATGCCCCCTGTCCCAATCCCACAGCAGCCAGACTGTTGACTGTTGATATTTTTAGCTCTTCAGTTTGTTCTGGCTTTGGTTACTGTGTAAACCGCGTTCCACAGCCGGACCCCTGAAAAGTCCAGGCGTGGCAGAGGATCATGACAGTGGTCAGTGCCGGGGTTCAAATGATAATGTTTTCATGAAGCCTGATACTTAAGAGGGGATCCGGGTGGCATAAAGCGACCTTTGGCCGCCATGTTTGAGGTCATTAGCACTTCGGCATAAACAGCGGGCTCCATTTCTCAACTTAGACTTCTGTTTGTCCCCACAGTATCCAGCACACACAGATTTTAGTGGAGTGGAAACACTGATACAACTCACTGGTTTTGCATTGTTTAGCTAGCTAGCTTAGGTAGTCTTGTTAGCATCTCCTTTAGCCTTTGTGAAAAGTCAATGTAAGTCTAATATTTGCTTATCTCTGTTGATGTTGGTTAAGTTTCCTAAACATATACAGACATATTGTTCTCAAAGCGTTGCATTTAGCTAGCTGTAGTAGCCTAGCTCTCGTCAACAAACAATCGCTCTCGTTAGCATTCATGTAGCCAACATTTTGACTCATGTAACTTGAACCTATAGAGTTATATATACCGCAAAACTTCCAATAAAAGCAGGGTCCCTAATAGACACAGGTCTCTTTTAAAAGCCTGCGGTGGCTACACGTTTTGACAAATAAACGCAGGTCTCCAATAGAGGCCTGGTCTGGATTTTATAGAAATGATCTCGATGTATAAAACCTCTTAAAAGCCACCGGGTCGCCCACTTGAGCGAGTTTTAAGTTGTTTTAATCTCCTACACAAATATAAATGTTTAAACTTCTGTCAATATGTACATAATGAACATCGTGCAGATCAGTTAGATTCTTCACGATTCAATCTTTCACTATATTTTACGAAAACTATCAACAACAAAGTTTAACGTTAATTCATTCTGACTTACCGGGAACACGGTAAACAAGAGAGAAGGAAAAAAACCTCTGAAGCATCATAATCATCATGTTAGTTGTCAAATTTGCTGAACAAAACTCAAGAGAAGCTGCAGTTAGTTTAGTTTAGTTTTGTGCTAAAGGAATTATAAGGCCTGTCCCAAATAAAGGCCTGTCCCAAATAAAGGCAGGGGGAGTTCAGTGATTTAAGCAAATAAACGCCCGGGCTATTATTAGAAGTTTTACGGTAGTTATATAGAGTTAATATTGCAAAAAACATTTAAATATTTTGTGTTTCCTACCATTACAACCTTACTCTCAAGTATGTAGTTCTAAATCTTTCCTGACTGTCAACAGAGAGAGCGATATCAACAATACCGCCATTAGAGCCCCCTCATAAATATATTACAACTTATTATTAGACATTAGGGCTTAATTCATGAAATCTATACGTCTATCTTTTAATATTTAATACCCACTGGGACGCTGCTAAATTTAAAAGGTGAAGTGAGTTTGATTGAGTCATCGAGCCAGAAGAAGCAGTGTGAAATTAAAACAGAGAAAGAGAGCCTGTCAGTAACCAGATCTCATTGTACGGCTGAACTACAATTCAACGCCATACTGAGAACTTGTATCTGAATCAAGCACGCCCTCTACTGTTACATTTAGGGGATTTTAATAACCTGTGAGGAGGAGTTTTTGTTCTACAGCTACAGAGAAACTACACATGGTGGATATTTTAAGGTTTATTCTGTAAATTAGTGCCTGTCACTACCTCTATATGTGACCATTTTTAAGGGAAAAGCACAACAAAAAACTTCTGTTAACTTCTGTGTTGATGACTGAAATAGGATAATTTTAAAAGAAGCAAGAATAAAATTTAAATGGTTAAATTGGTAAATGTGTAAATAATACCTTTATAATAAAACATCTGTAGGAGTGTGGGGTTGCATTGGAGGAATATGGACCTCAACATTTCCTGATCACTAGATATCATGATTAAATGACCTGCAAAGCTCAAAGAGTATTTACCTTATTTATTTATTTATTTTTTATTATATGTAAATAGAAAAAGAGCCATCTTGAATCTGAATCGCTGCCAAAAATCTTATTCCTAAAATTCCTTGAGAGACACCAAAAACAAATCTTGTTTTCTGGCTTCTGGCCAAACTTTTGACCAAATTTCCTTAAAAAAACATCTTTTGCTGAGAAACAAACAAACAGATGGGACATATATGTACACGAATTACATAACCTAGATGACAGAGCGAATGAATGAATGAATGAATGGATTGATGAATAAAGAGATGCAGGGCTGAAATAAATGGAATTAAATAAACAGAATTACAACAATCTAAACTGAATTACATAGATCCTTTCATTTTAAACAAATTTAAATAAAAACATAAGGACATAAGGCTAGTCGTCTCCACAGTAGGACCCAGTGACACTCTCTCCCTACTGTCCCCGACCTCTGACCTCTGTCAGCTCTCTGATAAAGCAAGAGGATGTAGCAGCGAGGTCCTAGCGACCAAACACACGAGGTATTTGCTAATCAACAGAATAGAGTCGGCTAAGTAGACTAAGCTATTAATGGGATTACTAGACTATTTATAGGCTGGGGAGTGGAAGGGCTGCTGCAGAGTAAGCTAAACATACCAACACAAAGCTTTATTCACGCTTCTCTTCTACCAGCGCTCATCATCGCGCATCAGTGCCACAAAAATGTTTCTTATTGTCAACAACTAATGTATTACTAATAAGTATTATATGTGTATTAAAGCCTGATATGTCACAACTGTCAACTTTTAAAACACATGAACACACACTGTAGTTTCTTTTGAATCAATCCCACATACACCCTCCTGCTGCTGCAAATACTCACTAGGACAACCAAATGTGTGTTAATCCGCAGCTGAAAATAGTCCCTAACAAATCCACTATTTCTTTATATAAAACATTTGAGAAAAACTGGAGTAACCAGCGGTTTAAGGAAATTACTGAGGCTTTAAAAAGGATTAAAGCATACATTTGTGAGCTGAAGATTTACATCTTCAGTTGGAACAAATGGGCTTGCAACTGAATGCAACACAGGTTAACACACTGCTGGTTTTAGTGTTTTCATGGGATGTTTTGGCAAAAGAAAAATACAGAATAACGCCCAAATCATCCTTTAATCTTTAAGTGTAAATGCAGTAAAATGCTGTTAATTTAAAGCAAATACAAGACAAACTAACAGACAGGAAGTTATAAAATCCCCCTTTTTTATTAGGTTGAATTTCATAATAACTCATTTACAGATCGTCCACAGGGAACCACAACAGTGAGTGACACATTCCCCGCCCCCCCCCCCAAAAAAACCCCAAAACAACAATATCTACATTGATAAACCGCCCTCGTCGTGTTGTTCTACTCTGTACGTTTTAAGATTTTCTCGCCACTCTGTAGAGAAATACAGCATTTGTGGGAGATTGTCTCACTGGTCAACTGAGAATAATGAGAACACACACACACACACACACACACACACACACACACACACACACACACACACACACACACACACACACACACACACACACACACACACACAGACACACACAGACACACCCCCATCTGTCCTTGGAAGAACGTAACAGGTTAGCATAGAGCTTTAAAGTCTGCGTTCATCATTTAAAACCCAAGTTGACCAACAAGTTGACCTCCAACCACCAACAACCCTTTTAGTATTATTAATTTCAAATTAAGGTATTTCTATGTGACAAATAAAAAAAAAAATTATAAATGTATGTACACCGTTTAAAACAGACATTAATTCATAAAACATGTCCATTAACAATAAGGAATTCTGTCAGTTATTTTTCTGTTTTATGAGTTATTTACAACAATTACAAAAATAATAAATAATATGTCTTCTTTCAGTGCTCCATGGCCTCATCGCTTTTACATCGAAGTGATTTGATTTGAGAAGATCTGAAGAAAGACAAACAAATAATTATTCCTGAAATGTTTCGGGACATTTAAAATGAGCAGGTTTTGGCTTTCGATGGTTAAAAACTTCAGATGAAATGATGATGACCTTCGAGTTTGCGGACAGACGCTCTGAGGAATACGAACCGACGTGTGATCCATCAAAGACAGAGCCGAAATAAAGAGATGGAGATATTTGTGTGAGCTGGTTTATGAACAGTTTGTAATTCACAAAAATGAAACAAAGAGCTTCGCTGCTGGTCCTAACGCGTATGTCTACATTAGTGTATTGCAGTTCACCAGACGATATCGAGCAGTTTCAGCAGCTGAGAGAGTTTAACTGTTGTCTTGTGTCTTTTGCTTTTTCAACAGTGCATTTTAAGCCTCAGCCTGACACACAGACACACTATGGCCTCTATTTATTGTGGGAGAAAAACAAAGGAATACCCTTTAAAATTTCACCCTGCCACCAGAAAGAGAGAACATTCACCTAGAAGCAACAGCACTCGGCAGTAGACGATAATTCTCCACATCAACCCATTGGCATTAAAAAAAAAACTCAATTCAAATGCATCTGATTTAAAAAGGAATAGTTCAACATTTTTGAGTCTTGGATGAGAAGATCGATGCCACTCTCGTGTCTGTACGGAAAATATGGAGCTACAGCCAGCGGATGTCAGCTTAGCTTAGCACAAAGACTAGAAACGGAGGGGAAATGCACTTACCTGCACCTCTAAAGCTCAATAATGAACTAGTCATATCCTGTTAGTTTTAATCACTACACAAAGTTTTTTTATTAGTATTTCTTAGCCAGGAACAGTGGCACAGTAACTCTCTTAAAGAACGTGAATAAGTATATTTCCCAAAGTGTCGAAGTATTCCTTTAGTGGCGTTTAATGAACCCTAGTATACGCAGACTTGGCTTAACCGTTTTAAACTGTACTGTAGGAAGACGTGTCCACCCCGTCAGGTCAGAGGACACACACACACACACACAGACACACACACACACACACACACAAGTTAACAAAACAAAAATGCTGACTACAAAACAGTAATAAGCAATTAATGACAATGTATGTGAGATAAGTGGCACAAATGCTCGCCAAAATTATTAATAGTCATGTTCTAAAAGTAAAGTGCGTTAAATCTATCAAAGCACCTGTGTGGTAAGTTATTAAACATGAAAACTTGAGGAGGAAAGTTGCACTTTGCTTTGCTATTACAGGAATTACCAACTAGATCAAACATTACTTAATCCCGTTCCAATGACATAGACAGTTGGCAGGCTGGGCCACAACGAGGTTGACTTCTGACTTCACATGGAGCACAGCAATGATTAATGAGAGCAGCTAACTAATTAGATATAATTAAAACGGAGAGGAAAACGTCTCTCGGTAGAGAAGAGACTTAACGCAGCCAATTACCGCTCTCAATATTCCAATCAAAAACCACTAAATTTAGTACCTTGCTGCACCAACTTAAATCCTGAACAAAGATGTCAAGATGTTGAAGATGTCACTTCTGGCTCAGGGAAACTGGGACGGCCATTTTTAACTGATTTCTGACATTATAGATGAATTATTAGCTGCAGCCTTAACAATGAGCGTGCAGACAACATTGCTCTGATGGGCGAATGCTCCTTTCTAATTTGACTAAAATCCAAAAACAGTCAAATGTAGTTGAGTACAGCTGAAACAACAACACTGATCCAGATTCACTAAAGGTTTGCACAGGTAGGGAGGAGAAGAATAAATCAGCTTATGAGAGCAGAGAATGATCATGTATGTGTATATCAGATTATATTTATATGCTATAGAAGACACGACAGCTACAGAATACTCTTGCGCACGTACACGCAGCATCGAAATGTTGAGTCAAGACTTGTCTGTTGAGTCACAATTACTGTTCAAGGCACATCACAGTCACCATCGAGTCAGGGAGCAGGGGAGAGGACAGAACAGTGAAAAGTACATTTATGGTGAAAACAGATGCAGGACTTCGTGGATTAAATCCTCCAGGTGAAAGAAAAGTGCCTGAAATTTGCAGTAAAGAGGGCTGATTGCTTGCTCAGTGCTTGACCACAGATTAATTACTCAACAAAACATTTGGTGACTTCAAAAGTCACTCGCAATGCAGTCTTAGTGAATCTGGACCTGAGTTTATAGATTATCAAGTAACTTTAAAGTCGGTTGGTTTATGTTCTTTTGGAAGTAGGAGGTGCAATAAAAAGATTTATAACCTGAACAGAGGCTTAAAAAAAAACAAACACAAAAACAAGGATAACCACATGAAATGGCGACAGACCCGCTTCACAATGTGCATAGACCCAAATGCATATCATACAAACAACTTTGACAAACTGAACTGTGGCTTTGAGGGCAAAAGGCATTTCCAGACACCTCAACCCGGAGTCGTCATCGGGTCGGTAGGCTACATGGAGCTGTTGCCTTTGGTCTTCCAAAGAGTCAAACTGCGACTGTGCAGCTCCGACAAAACGTAATTAAATAACGATTATTTTCCAACATCGAAAGCTGTGTTTCTTTTGTCCATTTTTAGTCATTAGATTATGCTGAGGGGGTTGTATTTTTTTTATTTTTTTAGCAAGATGGGTGGCACACGATGACATACGGGCTGGTACAAGAGTGTGTTTGTATATATTGTAGTCTGCATGTCTGTACGGTTAGGCTAGGCAGTTCTGTCATGTTTTGTGGTTATTGGGGTTGTGTACTGTAATCCAGTGCTGTACAGTGTGGGGGGGGGGAGACGACATGCATCCGGAAAAAACATGCATGCACGTTGGGGGAGGAGAGCCTCGACTCTACTCCAGATCCATGCTCCAACTCTTCAGCTCCAGGTTTTTGGCTCAGACATTTAACATCACAATGTCTCACGTCTACTCGTGTCACATCTCTTCTGTTCGCTCTCCTCCGTCCCCCCCCCCCCTTTCACGTTCGTGCGATCATGTGATAAGTAGTAGTGTCCCGATTGAAAGCTTTGCTCTGCGATGCGGCCGCGTCCTCTCGCCTCCTTTCGAAAGATGTTTTTTGGGGTTTTTTTGTGTCACCACACTTGGCATCAAGAGCTTATTTCAAAGGATGAACGTTAGAGGGAGGTAATGCAACATTTAACTGAATGAGATTGTTTGTTAAAGCGAGACTGAAGGAGGAGGAGGAAGAGGGGAAAGAAGAACACAAAAAAAAGGTCCTCCACAGTCACAACGTGCTGGCGTCAGATGATGTGTATACGTCACAAGTGGCATCCAAATCCATACTGGAGTTATTTCACCCAAAACGCTTCTTTTCAAAACAAGTTAAAGGAGCGGGAGGGGGGGAAATGTAAAAAAAGTGCTCCTGTTGCTGACCAGCGGAGTCCAGAATGGAGGGAGACTGGGAGGGTTGGGACAGGGAGTAAATAGAAAAGATAATTCCAGTCCTGATCTGGATAGTGGATTAATAAAGAGGACCACCTTTCCATGTTGTTTTTGTCCTCATATCGCACTGTTTTTGCCATCTTGCTGCCCAGTGTCACATCCTTACTGGTTGTAATGGGATGACAGGAACGGATTAGTGAGGAGTCCAGGCATGTCGCCAAGGCCTAGCTCTGGATGACTGAACTGCTTGCAAGATCTCATCTAGCCCAGGCTAGGCTAACATATGAGGCAAGTTGGATGGAGAAAGGAGACTAAAATTTTCTGTGAGAGTTTTCAGAGCCCAGCAGTTTAATTGAATATTTCTCCATCACTTGAGTTCCATGGAGGGGGAGGGGGGCAAGAGGCCCACCTTACAGGAGTTGTCCAGTGGGTTGATCAGGTAGGTTGAGAGGTCAGGATTGGAGGTGCGGGCCTGGGCTGGCTGGTGGCTTCGGGCTGGCTGATCTCTACGTCGCTGGCAGCGGTCGAATGTGGCTGGATCGTAATAGGGGCTCGAAAGGCTAAAAGAGGGAGAGAGGCAGAGGTCAAACGGAGATAAACGGCAACGGTGAGGAAACAGTGTGACACAAACAGGCTGATTTCTAACATGTATAACTACAACTGGATTAAACAGAGCATCTTCTGTCTGTTTGATGCATATGGACAAGTAAAACTACAAGCACAGTATCGTACCCACCTGCTTCCGCTAGTTGAGGCTCATCCACACCGTCACTTTCCTGTGAGAGAGGAGGAGCACAAAGTTCAATGCAAAGTTTACATCGAATTTCTCCTTCTAATATTTTTCTGCAGATGCCAGAGAGCCAATTTTTAAAACCTTTACAATTTACAGTTGAACACTTAAGCTGTTTCTAAATCAGAAATAGTCGGGTTTCACAGTTTTTATTTGTGTTGTTTGAAATAATTTTAAATCAGCAAAAAAAAAAAAAGAGCAAAAATGGGACATAAATGAAATTATTGTTTTGTATTAAACTAGATAAGGACATGCAGTGCAAAGAACTTTGAATATCTGACATATACAATATTGAATTAATGACATATGTTTAATTGAATGGCTTCTGCAGTGTTCTACATTTACATGATGAAGCTAAGATTTTCCTCTCCATCATCACATACCATCTAACAAACACAAGTACAAGATGACGTCTTAAGATATACATACCAGTACAATATAACAAGACTGAAGCAACAATAACGAACTCAGCCATGCCTATTTTCTGATGGCAGTTCAAGCAAACAGTACAGTGAGTTCACGTAACACTGACAACAAGCACACGGACAGCATGAAACAACATGCAGGTACGAGGCGATGATGATGAGCGGTGCAGTAAATGTGTGCGGCGGCGGTTAACTGGACAGCACGGGCAGTTTGTTATGGATGGGCGAAGAAGCAGTGATGGTACAGCCAGGCAGACAGCTGACAAGCACGGACGAGCAAACACCAAGAAGACAACTTGTCACATTAGACAAAACGGATGAACGGACGAGGCGGCACAGAAATCAGACGAGGCGGCTCTTACGAGTCATTTCGACTCTGGTAAGGTCTCTCCGGGGTTTTCTTCCCCCGCTGGACTGGTCGGCGACTGGGGCTCAGCTGGAGGCATTGGCATTGGCATTGGCATTGGCAGGGGGATGGGCTGACTCTGGCCTTCTGGGCTTTCTGGACCCAAATTAGATGTGGGCTGGCCTATGATTACTGTGTAACCTGTTGGATTGGAGCATGAAAACACGAATCCTGCAGCGTGAGAGCATGTTAAATTTCACTGCAGAAAGCCACGGGTTGGTTATAGTTTTAGTTTCTACAGCAATTTTCCTGCAAATGCTGCTTCAACATAAAAAAAAAAATAAGTTAGTCAAGGTACTGTGGTGGGTTTTAAAGTGGGAGTATGTAGTGTTTGAGAAGAAATACTTACATTCTTACAAGGGAAAACGTTTAATTCACAACAAATAAAATGCACCTTTACTTAAATTACTGAAACTGTCTTTACAACATCTGGGAATTTGTCTCACTTTTAAACAGCATGTGGAGAAACTGGCACAAAATAAAGCACGTTTCTGTCAACCATCGTGTCTGTGCACGGCTATGAAGGCATCCTTTATCTCACGCTACCTTAAAACCAACTTGACGTCGTTCATCAGTGCGCTTTGTGTTTCATCCCGGGCGATGAACATCGTCCTCACGCGCCAAATCAGATCTCAGGACTGTTAAACTCCAGTTACCCGTCGGGGAAATACCGGGGTTTGGGGGACACGACCTTCCACTACTTCACACCTTATAAATGGAATTAATTACAGAGGATATTTAGGGATGTCTGCGACGGATGCTTTATGTGCTTTTGTTTTTTTATTTGTATAGCGCCAAAAGTTGACTGAGGACACTTTAGTACTCCTTAAGATATGAAAGTTATGTATATGTACTTTGTATGTTATGCACTTTTGTTTGTCTGGTTATACATCTGTACACCCATATGTTTGCTAATATTGGCAAACCTATAGACTCGTAGAATATGTACTACTGTGACTTTATGACTCTTCTCTACTTGAGCTGGGATTACAACACGGGGGGGGGGGTGGGTAAGGGCAACCTGGTAGCTTACATTTACCAAGGCTGAGTCCTTGCTGCAGTGGCCGTGGGTTCGAGTCTGACCTGTGGCCCTTTGCTGCATGTTTATCCCCCCTCTCTCTCTCCCTTTCCTGTCTATCTGAAGATGCCCTGTCCAATAAAGACAACCAAGCCCTCAAGAAAGAAGAAGAAGAAAAAAAAGATTACAATACAGGAATTGTGACAGTGGCTACTGTTCCTTAAAAAAAAAAATCCTTAAATTGACGCAGACATTTTATTTCCAACGCAGTTGAATTATCGTGGCGTGTCTCAGGAAGCTACAGACTATTATGGTAAACAGTCGAAAACCTCAGTGAGCCATCAGCCTCCCAGATTTTAACACAGTCGGGTACCGAGAAAATTTTGTGTTTGTTTCTAGTCCACAACTGTAGAAGAACAACAGCAACAACTACAGACGGCTCTAAAACGTTCCATCATTTCACTGTATACTCCATTAGTGCCTGAAGGAAGGAAGAAGTTGAGTTATGACAGACCAACATTATAGTACTTTTAATTTTATTTATTTATTTTATTAGCCAGAAGTATAACATGTCCTTATATTTGTCCTTATATGCACTTTCTGTGCATTGTGTTCTCTTCACAGTACACGTTGTAACGTAATAACATTTATTTCATGTGATTTTGTCAATGTTTTTGTTTAATAATAGGAAAAAGTTCTTAATTTTAGTCCTGTATAATTGTACATGACAACAGCTGCACAATGCTTAATGGATCAAGAATGAGGTACATTAAATTCACTACAGTCAGAGGACCTCTTATGCCCTGCCTCTGTTAATCTATAATCCAATGTGAATGTTATTTGGATAATGGGAGGTTGTCAATTTGCTTGCCTTGTGGGAGCCCACACTCACAAAGCTAAATTATGCAACACAGTATGTTTCAACCCACGTACAAAAAACCCAAGTGGTACGTTAAGTGTACAGCAGTAATTAGAGCCTAAACCACAACTATGTGAAACACCCGCTCACCTCCATCCTGCTCTGCTTTGATTTGGGCCTCCAGGTCTTCAGGGTCGACATACTGGTAGTTTTCATCATCGTCAGGTGGTTTACACTTCCCACAGCAGAAACAGCAGCAGCAGCAACAGCAGCAGCAGGTGAACAACGTACAGCACAGTACCAGACCCTGCGGGAATGAACGAGCAAACAGAGAAACTTTTAAAACAATGCTCAGCTATATGACAGCAGAAAAAGGTGGGACCTAACAGTGAATTTAATCCTCTAAAAACAGATCAGTTTTGTATAGTAAACTGTCCTGGTATATTTAGGACTCAGGGAAGTGTGAGAGCTACATGGAAAAAAGTAAATGGTACTTTATAAACTTAATATATGACAGTAATAAAAGTCTGTGACCCAGGATAAGAGAGAACATAAACTTAGGAGTAAGTTTTTCGAATTTGCAGAACACATTTTAGAGGAAAAGAACCCATTATGTGCAGGGGGCACAAAAAGACAGAAGCTTCCTACAGTGAAATATATAACCACTATAAACTATGGCTGAACGATGGTTTCTACTGGTAGCCTGTGGCATTGAACTGCATTAGATTGTACAGGTGTTTTCTTATTGCTGTGTTAACAAACTAAGGCTCTGCAACGTCTTGCCAAACCGACATTTGGAAATGTGCGATCTAGTGAGCCAACAATAGTTTCTACAGTAGAATGGACCAATAGTAAGTGTTAGGGTTAAAGAGTAAGGGTTCAAAGATACGGTTTCTGGGACAATAGAGAGATTTATCAATACAAATCGCCCCGGCACAAGCTCTACACTACGTCACATTCATGCTTACACACATAAATCACAGATAGTGCTGCCAACTTGTTTTTAGCCTCTTTTCTGACCCTCTTAGCGGCTTCATTTCTAAAAAAACACCTAGCAACAAAATTAAGCAACTTATTCAGACCATCAGGGAAAAAAGGCAAGGATGTATGTTTCTATATTAAAATATATCGTACTGTAATTCACTCCCAAGCATGCTGCTCAGAGTAATTGCAGACTTTTTCCAACAGCTCAGGAATCTCTCCCTCTCCTCTTGTGCCGTGCGCAGGCAGGTAGGCAGGTAGCAGACGTGGTGGCGCACGTTTGACCTTTTCTCTCACTCTTTGCGTGTTTGCATAGCTTATATGTAAACAGTTCTATTTCAGCTTGCAAATATTTAAAAGAGTTTGTTTGATATTCTCCTTCCCTTTGTAGAATTCTTTCATGTACTTTTCACCTTCAAATATCCCATGTCCCCTGTAGTGAGTCTGTAGGCCTATTAGTATTATTTGGCTAAATAATAATTATAATGTTCAAGTGCTTGTATGTAAATTTCAGTTTGCAGTGATGCATTTATTGATCAAACTGTGAGAAATTAGTGACCTCAATTTTTTTATTTTGATATAAGTGAAGGGAACAACTAGAAATTCCACTGTGGAGCAGAGCGAGCCGATGAAGTGACGCGAGTTACTGAAACATTTTATTTTGAGCCCTGTGTGTAGTATATAAAAAAAGCCCTTAACCTTCAGTGACTTTACTAAAAAAAAGCCCTCAAAACAGCCAAATGTATCACAACCAAAGCACCAACCTTAAACCACCATTTGGACATGAGGAAGTAATATTTGACGCTCTCCTCTCCGAACTGCTCGGACACGTAAAGGCCCATGGAGCCATACTCGTCGTAGATCTTCCTCTTGGTCTCATCATTCAGAATAGAGTTGGCGTTGTTAATCTCCTTGAACTTCTCCGCTGCCTCCGGGTTGTCTGGGTTCTTATCCGGGTGGTACTTCAACGCTAGCTTCCTGAACAGGAGAGAAGAGCACGCGGGGAATCAAATAACGCAACGTGAAGCAGAGGAAAATGTGAAAAAAGCTTAAGTGAAGGAAGGATGGAGAGAGGGAGGGATCAGGCTGACGACACAGGTAATTTTTAATGCTATGTACTATTTGCACTTGTTGTGCTGTATTTTCTTTAGGTACGTAGCAGAACTGCATCACCCACAGACAGAAATATGCTCTTTAGCAACATGACTGGTGGAGTTACGTCTCTGAACAGCACTTGAGTAATCTGACCACTTATGAGGGGGGGGAATTTGCCAACACAATCAGGAACAGGATTACACAAATTAAAGCAAAGGATTTAGGAAATACCTAAAGTAATAATTGCAATGTGGTTAGCCTGCCTACTCTGGAGAAACTAATCCTTTCTAAAGAGACAGTTGAGACTCCGTAATTGAAGTAATAATTCTGATCATCGAGCGTTTACCTGTAGGCTTTCTTGATGTCCTCAGCTGTAGCTCCTTTCTCCAGACCTAGCACCTTGTACACACTCTCCCCAGCGGTGGACATCTTCCTTTGGGGACGGGAGGGGTTCGGTTCAGCCATGACTCACCTCTGAAAATCAGAAATATATATAATCACCTACAAATATTGCAGCTTGTCAGCATGTCGCAAGCCAACCTGAAATACTTTGTTTCAGCTTTCCAGCACTGTTGTTTACCAAAGGAGCAGCCTAGCGTGAGTGTGCGATTGTACAGTGCATCCAGTCAGTACACATGATAGGGTTTCAGAGGTGTACATAGCGCTGGAGGGGCCAAATGATGCATGTGGACTCGTGCTTTAGGCTAGAATGTATTCAGACGACCTCAATCAACACTTTAAATTTAATTTTATGAAGACGTTTCAGCTCCTACAACATGACAATCACTGCAACCACGATAAGAAGCAAAGCCATCGCTACAAGACACGAGCAAGACTTCTTCCTATTCCTCCTCCTGTTAACAAAGACCAGGATTATACTGTTAATTCCTATTAGAAACCAATTGCACTGCAGTTGTAGAGGGGGGGCTTTCTAATGAGCCTACAGCACTGACTGAACAGCACAATGAGCAAGATTTTAATAAGCACAAGACATTCTTCTACACGGTGTTGTTAAGTGCAACCAATCCTGACAAGTGAGCTGTGTGCTCTACCAACAAGTTAATTATGCTGTTGTCATTTTACAGGTCAGGTAATGTCAATAAGTCCGACACACTGAGTGTCAGACAGCCACACACACTGAATAAGTTAAGTCAAAGTTTTTTCCCATTACAACTAGAGCAGGGTCCGCAATTGTTTCATCTGAGACTGAACAGTAGCCTGACGGTAGCTTGTCAAGGCATATACATGTTTATTAATCTTGTTTTTCATTGATTTATTAATAATTTAGTCTATTAAATGTCAAACAAGTTGTTTTTTCTGACTTTTCAGTCCAACCAACTACAGCCTAAATTACCAAACATAAAACACATAGAACATTAATCAGCCACAATTTTGATAATGTAATTGTTTTGTCAATCAACAAATGTTCCAACATACATGATTGTAGCACAAAATGTCATCCTTTCATTGCACTGAAAGATGACTTCAATCAGTCAAGGTTTTTAATGAGTTGTTGACAGAGGACGAGAGAAACATCCGAGGGAGGATGTGAGAAAACAACTTGCTTTTAGTCTGCAAGCATTTGTGTACGCTGATCTGTTAACAGCAAAATAAGGTTCATCTTTGCACAACGTAGGGTATTTTGTCTTCTCCATCTTGTGTGCTTTTACGGTTTTACAGCTCTACACTTCAGAGTAACGCCCAGCTTAGAGAAGTCCAACTGAAGACCTCATCCCGGAGCTGCAGGCTAATAAAAACAAGAGAGTGTAAGGTTCAGACCCGACCGCATTTGACTGCCCCAGACGTGAGGTATGGAGCTGGACGTCTCAGGTTTAGGCGTACAAATAGAATAAGTATACTTACATGTGTAAAATCACCATTGTTTCAGAACTGGATGTAATGACTTAGTTATATTCAATAGCTTGGAATTACTGTGTCACAATTACAATATACAGAGGGATTTCTACTAAACTACTGGCTGCTGTACAAACACACACACACACACACACACACACACACACACACACACACACACACACACACACACACACACACACACACATAATGCTGTGCGGGTCGTTGACTAAAGAAGATTACATTTTGCTGATCTCACAGATTACCCGTCCGAGTCCATGTCAGAGCGGGCCAATGTCCTAGTCACACTCTGGCTAGACAGGCCTACACACAAATACCACAACAAACTCAACTGAAAGGAAAAAAAAAAGTGTCCACAGATCTATATTTTGCTGTGTCTAGGGATGGAAAGTGCACAGACAGAGGGAATCATACTGTACAGGCTGCTAATATACTGCACAGACACCTTAAACTCCATTAAACATAGAAAAATAAAAGCACAGGAAATCCAGGGAACCCCTAAAAGTGAAGAAATAAACATAAAAAGAAGTAAAATACGACTCCAAACTACCAAGATTTCTGCTCACACAGGATTAATATTATCAGACATGTGTTTTCTAACATATGCTAGGCAATTTGCTTTGGATTTGTTTGCTTTAGATATTACAAAGTGAGCAGATTTGCACTGGATTAAAAACTCAGACGACCTTTTGCAATTATACAAGTCACACAGCGACCCCTGCTAATGCTAGAGCTGTGAGAACGGGGCTTTTAAAGCGAGCCGTTATGAAGTAATCTGCTCTCTTTGTCATAATGTTAACACACATATTCATGTTATTAAGTGAGGGGAAACAGTAAAATAATCCATCCGCTGTTTCGTTTATTTGATTCTGAGAGATATTGTTTAAGATATTAGTAACTGCAGTTGGTTTGGAAGAGGAGGGAGTGGGTTTAGGGTTATTTTTTGATTAATTGGTCGACTATTTTTTCAATTAATCAATTAAATGTCCAGTGTGTAACATGGAAAAGGAAAATTATAGTCATAGTTATGTTTTCATTGGTGTATAATCGTGTTTTTGTTGGGTCCTCGCAGCCGCCGTAGTTTCTCCTGTACGCTTTGAAGACGAGCGGTATTCAGTTGCTTGCAATCTGCAAGTTCCTCACCAGATGCTACTAAATCCAAACACACTGGTCTTTTAAACATTTAGTCTGTAAAATTAAGAGCTGTTCTGTAGACAACGTCTTCAAATGGACTGCCAAAAGCACAATAAACAATATTTTTAATTATACAAAATGAGGAAAGCGCCAAATGTTCACATTTAGGAATAGATAATAACTAATTTAGATCAAGTTATTAGAATTTTCTATCTATTAATTAATTAATCGACTAATTCAGCCCCACATTGGTTACACTGAATATTGTTACCTGAATCCATTAACACCTGTTGTGGGATGTGAGTCCTAATAGTTATATTATTAACTTAAGAGGTTATCAGGGGTGTAAATGTGTTAAGGAAGGAGAAAGAAAAGATCACATTAAGTTTCACAGTGGTTACAGACGTTCATCCAGAAATACTGTGACATAACATCAAGCTACAAGCTGAACTTCCGATATGAACTTGGTACATGTTGTCAAACTCCGTTGTAAAAACTTTATTAGCTTATAAATTGACGCCATTTAATGACAGCAGGCAAAGCAAACACCCACAAACAGTGCTTCCCTTTGTTCATATCCAGTTTGCTAAAATAAAATCCCCATCCTGAGGGCCTCTTTCGAAAGGAACTTCTCCACCATGCAGTGAATACCATGCTTGCTTACTCACTTTGGTGCTTTATGGTTGAATAAAATATTATCTGTAGTGCTGCACCAGTGCAAGAGGAAGCAGCTTTGCCTCCATTGTCTCTCATCCGATTACTAATAGTAAGAGCCTCCTGTTGGGAAAACAAAAAAATAAGCTTCACACTGCTTACATGCATTTATAAAAAGATGGTGGCTGTAAGTTAGCCCTGTTTTATTCTCCGACAAGTAGATCCAGGTCACTTTTTCTGCTTAATAGCAGCTACAGATATTGATATCACCTCACATTTGAGCGCATTCACATGAGGGGTGCACGGTCTGTAACTATATCACAGTGACATATATTTTAAAAATAGCAACAGTACTAGTTGAAAAAAAAAAAAGAATAGAATAAATAGGGTGGAAATTATTCTGATGCAAGAAAATGCATTATAATAAAATAAATTAATTCAGTAAATATGGCAAAAGTAACATAATCTTTAACAGTATTATTACAGATTGCACATTAAAACATGCTCATCACTTCCCCACAATTCAAACATTTTCCATTCACAAAATTAACCATGCACCTGCTACAGCTGAGAAGATTTTGATGACCAATTCAATCATTTTTCACTATTTTCTGATGTTTTAAAGATGATGAGTTCATTAATAGAGAAAATAATCTGCAGATGAATCGATAGTGACAATAACTGTTATTTGGAGCCTTTGCAGCACATTTCAAATCAACTGACCTATGAAAGTATCTGTGTCTACAACAATAAATTATGGCATGTTATCGAAAACAAAAATCTGGTCGGGCTCTCGATTATAATGAATCCCGCAAAGAGGACATCAAACAGGACATCAAAGAGGACATTATTTTCCTCAGCCATGGAAACACTGCAGGCCCAGATGGCACACGGCTGCTGAAGCCAAGAAAGCTGATGTAAATACTCCAAATTCTCCAAAAACATGCTGCACAAACCATTGGGCGGTCTGGCAGGAGGGTGCGGGTCCATTAAAAGAGGTCTAAACACACTTGCTTTGTACAAAAAAAAAGAAAACCCTTTAAGACCACCGAGCCGCTGCCAGCAGAGGTCTGCACTGATCAAACTGCCACCCTGCAGCTCACAAGCGGAGCGATCGATTGAGTATCCCTGAGCCGGGACTATTAGGTTAATTAGCTAACTGCAGTCGTTTGTGGTGCAGACTGTAAAAACTGCCCTGCCTGTATGTATGTATGCAAAGGGGTTCTCATTTATCACATTAACAGGAGCGATGGTATGAAAATGAATCGTAACACAAGACCAAGCCACAAAAACTACAGAGAGAGAAAGAGAGAAAGAGGGAGAGAGAAGAGAGAGAGAGAGAGAGAGAGAGAGAGAAAGAGGGAGACACAGAATCTTTTGTCTTCCTTTCCAAAACATTTGACTGTGACTCTTTTGGACGCCAAGTTTAATGAAGTGCATCTAACTTTAGCCACTATTGAGCATGTTTTTTAGCTGAAAGGCTGTCAGCTGGGACATAAAAGCAGAAAGTACCTGTAAAATATATATATATATATATATATATATATATATATATATATATATATATATATTATTTATGTGTGTATTTAGGGTTAGATTGAAAGACTGAGACAGTGCTGGCCTTTTTTTTAAATTTCATTTAGACAGGTTCACAGTTGTAAAGCTGATACATACATTGGTATGTTTGTTATATTCTTAATTAATCGTGATTTATATATACACACACACATTAATGTTTTATACATTAAAATGAAACAGTGCGTCACACTCAAACTTTAAGCTTGCTCAATTGCAAATAATGCAAACAAATCAAAAGGAAAAATTAAAAAAAATAAAATAAATCGCACCGAAGACAGAAAAAACTGAATTAGGAGAGAGGAACAGTCGTCACAAATACTGACTGAAACACACATAAGATATTTCCTGCATCACTCTTACAATGAATCATATGACGGACAGCTCAGAACTGCTTAGAAGATGAGATAATTAGTTTATTAAATTTAAGTCAAATTATCTGCATTAGCAATGGTATGACTGTAGATAAATACATTATAAGCCATTTCCAAGCCAATATCAACCAACATATTTGTGGGCACGGACACAAAACCACTTATTCTACTACTCAGGTCCATATTTAGAAACTTAAATTATCATTTTAAAAAAGGCTATTATTAGAACAGAACATTAAAGCAAACTCTACAGACACCAACGTGCTGTTTTTTCTGTTCCAGCTCAACAGCTTTTCCCTTTTGTTCTTTGCTCGAGACAAAAAGGGGCTTGTCAAAAAATCCACAAATTAGGAAAATCATGCGAGGACCGAGGGCAACAACTCCCCATGAAAAATTCCTCACGGTGAAGACACTGAAGATAGACTTTAACACTGCTCGTCTTAAAATAGCTCTCGGTAAAAATAATGATGATATCGTTCTAAAAAAGGTGTGCGACATGTTAAAACAGCCACGGCCAAGCACCCCAAAGTTCCTGATGTCTGCACTGTACCCAAACAACACCTTATATATAACTGCCCAATATGACTAGGAGGAACTGTGAGTATTGTGAGGAGAGCTTCAACATTAGGAGCGATGTTGACACCAGAGCAAATAAGCAGAAAATAAGCTCCAAATGTTAAAAAAAATATATATGTTCAGTCCAGATTTACATGAGTCAAATGTCTTACAAAAGGTGGGAAGAGCTGAATGAGTGAAGACCAACATAAGTCAAATTTATGACACTGAAACACGTCAACCACCAGTATGAGACTAAATATAATGAGAATATAGTGAGATGTAGAGCTCCACTACAATACTGGCTTACTGTACATATATATATTGTTTCTGTGTGTGAAGTGTGACAGACGATAAATAAACAGGAAATGGTAGTACAGCAATGCCAAATATATGTTCAGTACAGGTTTACACAAAAAAAAAATCCCCCTTTCATGTCTCAAATTTATGAAACTGAAACAAGTCGACCACCAGTGTGAGACTAAACACGATAAATAAACAGGAAAGGGAAGTACAGCAATGCCAAATATACGTTTGGGGTCTTTTAAACTTATGTAGTTATTCCACCAGAGAGCAAAGGACCCAGCATCAGCTTCAAAAATCTAGAGTAATACCTTTCTCTTTCTGGTAATATGATGAAGAAGTTGCACTGGCCATACACGCTGCATGTGTTATATGTCTGTTAACAACCATCAGTGTGTACGGAGAACTTTATCAGCTATAAGCCAACAATCAAACAGAAGCTGTGGTGGATTTGTGTCAGAGGAATAATACAGCAAATAAAAAAAACACCCGTTTTAATGCCCCGAGTTGAGGCTGTGTAGAAATCCTTCCACCATCACTGGGATTGGCAGACTGTAACCCCCCCCCCCCCCACCACAAACCCCAATCGAACTGCAATTCTGCATTTTGTTTATGGTCAAAAAGGTGTTGAGTCAAAAGGAAGAAATGCACCAGTCCAGCTTTGACAATGAAGGAAGAACAACCGTCTGCAGGAAAAGCTTTGGGTTGATTACAACATCAGAAACAGTTCGCCTCGTGTTCATATATCCACATACTGAAAATAAAGTGTATAAACTGAAGTAAGTAGGTGTATACAGATGTTTGCAAAACATCCTAAATCTCCTACATGGCAGACGATGGAAAAACTGGCATCCCTTGACCTCTGTGCTTTTATTGTTTTGCCAGTAGAAGCAATAAAAGTAGAAGAAACAGAAAATCCCAAATACCTTTTATAACCTAAATGATCAATATCTATCTTTATTATTATTATTATTATAACTTATTGGAGGAAGAGCATCCTGTGGGACTTGATTCAGTGCAACAACACAACAAAAAGCCTCTATTGTCATCATTAGGTCATTAGATCAGGCGTGAGTGTACACATACTACAGATGTTAGTCATCGCGGTCCCTGTTGGACAACGCATCACCGAGTAAACCCACGACCCCTGAATACGTGACATTTTATGGATTCTAACAGTACGGTAAACACAATAACGGCAGGAAGTGTGTGTAAAACTGGTGGTTTAGACGTATTTTGAGCAGATTATTTCCTATAATTATTGGTTTTCTGATGGTTTTTAGGTTATTTTTATAGACTTTATTTATTAGACTTGAAGCTGAGACAGCGTATATATATTTAACGTTTTCTTACACCACTTAAAAAGCAAGGAAGGCCTCCCCCCCCCCCCTGTGTGAAGCTTTGGGGCTTAGTTAACCCCCCAGGTTTGGGAATCACAGACCTCAACAGACAGGTGACTTGATAAAGTTATGGACACTTGATGTGGGATAAAAACTGGGCTGGTTTTTTTGGGATAACGGTCCGGGTATGACGGTACAAGGAATGCCTCGTGATTGTCGTCTGTTTGTCCTTGTGGAGCTCTAATCCTTTGCTAATCTCCCTGCACATGGAGAAATACTTTCTATTTTACAGTCCGGCATTCATAAATAAAAATGTTTCAGGTAAAGATTAATTGCACTTATCCACCATCCACCACCTTGTTCCTGTCATAAGTTATTCCTCCTCTGGCTTCTTTCTTAAATCATCAAAAGAAACTGCCATGTTGTGTGTTGACAGGTGACTTTTAGGCCATTAGCTGACCTGAAACTGTTAGAAAACAGCAAACATGTGACATTTAAAAACACAAAAAAGTGTTTTATCTGAGGCAAGAATTCATGAATAAACGTATTAAAATGTCAGATAGTACTCTTTGGCTCGTTTCATTGAGCTACTTGCTAGCAAGAAGTAGCCCTCCTACTGCTGTAGCGTGAAGACAAAGATACACCAAACTGCGTTTACAATTCAAGCGTTTTAATGCAGCCATGCGTGTAGGCGCAACATACAGGCAAGGATGCAAATTGTAACTTTTGACTCAAGGTTTTGTGTGCATAAACTACGATTCGGCACACATCAAACACACGCAGGCAGCATCTTCTTTCAACAGGAGCACAAATCCCCAGCAGCAGTCGTTCACAACTGCTCGCTGCCACCGCCCTCCAATTGTGTAGCGTTACACTCATGAAAATACGTTTAAAAAAGGTTTTTAAGCAACATATCCGACATGAAAGTGCATCTTAACGTTTTTATAAAACATCCAGACTGATTATATAGCTCCTTAGTAGCAAAGTCCCACCCCCTTTTGTTGGGAAGCCTCTCAACCTTAAACTGCCATATTTTTGAATGGACTTCGGCGTACGTGACCACGACAGCTATGCACGGACAGCTAACAGCCATGCTAGCTAATTTAGGGGGAAAATGCCGGGAAAAAAAACCCCACAAAAAAACCGCCTTTACCTTGTTTAAACGGAACAATGTCTGTCTCCGTAAGGTTAGCTGGATCATAGAGGCATCCGGTCTGATGTCTTAACTCTCGGTTTAAAGGCTCATTTTATCCCCCCGGTGGCGGAGAAGCGAAAGTCTGCTTGTGGCCGCCGGGTCGCTTCTTCTTCGTGTATCCCACCGCCCCCCCCCCCTCCTGTGCCAGAGGACGGGCGCTGTGATTGGCTGACGGCCTCCTTCCAGGGAATGAAGACGGACGGCGTGCTGCTTTCAAGGGTTTCGTCGAAAAATCCAACTTTTAAGCACTTAAGCTGATAATGAAATGAGATGTTTTTGTTAGTTTTCACAATTTAAAAGAGCGAAATTAGGTCGTGTGAGGCGGCGGAAGAATACAGAGGGGGAGAGAAGCGCACGCAGGCGCTGTAATGACAGTTTTTTAAAGTGTTTTATTCATGAAAAGTTGCATATTTTAAGGGCTTTAAATGGGAAATTAGCCTTTGTGTCTGCACATAAACAGAAATATAAGTTTAAATAAAGGATAAAAAGCAGTTAAACAGATGATTTCCATAGGATGTCAGACAATAACATGAAAACACGGGGAATTAAAAGCCTTGAGGTATATCCAATCTGGTCCTTAAACATCTCAGCAGCTCCAGTGTCACACAGGAACACACATTTATTATATATTCATTTGTTCTTGTCATTTTTATCTAATAATGGGGAAATATTTTAAACTTTGCTGAGTCATCCACGCACCCTTGTGAATGAGATTTAATTTAGAGTTTTCTGACAGTTAGTGAATGCAGCATTTATTGTAACCCCACTTCTTTTTCTTTTTTTAAAATCATCACATGCTTTGACTATTGGACTCCTCTTCCTTTACCATCAATGCAAATAAGTGTTTAAACTGTGTTATTAACAGTGTATTGCTCCGTTTTATTGCTAACTATTTAACAGTTATATAAAAAAAAGTCCAACAACCAACAGCAGTCCATCAACATCTTTATTATTTCTTTAATTTTTTACAAAATATTAACTCAAAGACAACCTACTAGCTTTTTCTGGAGAGCTGCATTTCACAGACTTCATCATTGGATAGAGTTAGCTCAGAACAAATTGAGTAAATAAATAAACACTGAGTTAAGGTTATTTTTTAAGGTAAAAAATAAATTTAATTTTGTGTTATTTTTGTACTTTTTTTACCGTTTGGCTGTCAAACAGATTATTTTTTAAATCAGAGATTCAGCTCTGATATCTGGAAACACAATCCCTGCGATTAGTGGACAAAAGCATTTAAAAAAGAATAAAATCTTTATCTAAAAACTGCTAGATGTGGTCAATTATTTGGCGTCTCCACACCATGACCGAGGGCTGATGAGCCATAATAGTTAAATTACAGGCTCAAATGAATTACGTGTTAATAAGCAAACAAAAAAAAGAGTTAAGATTGTCTTAATAAATCAGGAGAAAAATGTTACACAGCTTTATTTACTTTATTCTCCATTAGATCTGAGCATCTTAGACTCGTTTCAGTGGAGAAGTAAAGGGAGATCATAACAGTTACTGGATGTGTGCCACATATTTTGCATTGCTTCATGTGGTGAATATTAATGACAATGTCAAATGCAAAAGGGAAAACTGTTTTATTATTTATTTTCTCCACATAATACAAAGTCATTCACCAACATTTAAATGACAATAATACCCATCTGGCAAGAAAAAAAATTAAAATAAGGAGAGAACGTTTTCTTCTAAACTGCTACGGTGCAAGAAACCACTAACAGTTACAGCAATCACCCCTAAAACCACCAAAGACAATGGAAATATCAGTCTTCAGCTACATGTTGAAAGAAAGGGGAATGTTAAAGAAGGTTTTTCATACAGTAACTCAACTGCCCCCATTACTGGTCAGAATAGAGCAAACCCTCACAGTCGTTTTCTCCCTTTTAATATCCGGTCCCTTTAAATGTACCTACAGTCGAGTGAGGAAACAGCTGTGCAGCAGCTTAGTTACAGTGGTTGCACATTTGACCCAGCTACCAAGACACTTATTTTACTAACATCACACATCACAGTGCCGACAATGCTGATGATTTTAATGCCCACCTCCCTTTATTCTTCCAAAAGCTCCTCCAGTCGGCTCACCGACGCACAAATACTGATGGTCTGTTAACCGTCACAAACAATCTCATTCAAATACAGCATCTAAATCATTTCTAGTGAAGAAGCAGTGTATAGGAAAAATGTTAATTTTGCTGTAATGAAATACAGTTTTCTTGCAGGTGAGATATGGATGAAAAGAGAAACAAGTCGTGGTCTATCAAACTGAAGAAGAGCAGCATCGTGTTACAGTGTAATATAACTTTAGAACATATGACTCAGTCTTATTGTTGTATTTAACTCTACTACCTCCCCTACTAGGACTGGATATAAGAAGCCCACAGATTTCAGGAAAGGCAAGGGCAGTGTCTAACACTTATTACTCTAAATAATTTGTGCTACAAATATGCAGAACGTGGATCTATCTGCCCAGTACGGTGGCCAGCAGGGCCATTCGGATGTACATGCCGTTCTCCGCCTGCCGGAAATATGCCGCCCTCGGGTCTGTGTCCACCTCCGCACTGAGAGAGAAAACACAAAGGAAACACAAGAGAAAGTGAAATAGAGGTTAAGTTTGAGCTCATGAATGATGCACATGACTTTAATACTGCTCTCTGTAGTAGAACAGTCAATAAAAGTACATTTCAAATGGACCACAAATAAAAATCTGCTCTGGGAGAGTTGATTTCAAGTACAAATATCTCTATATCAGCATGAAATTATATTTCCAATCTACCAAAAATCCTTCCCATGACTACAGCTGCAACAATTAGTAGATTCATTGATTAGCTGATTAAAAACTATTTACGTCATTTACTAAAGCAAAAATGCTAAAATGTCCCCAGTTCTAACTTCTCAAATGTGAGGATTCATTGCTTTTCTCTGTTTTATATCATTGTAAACTGAATATCTTCGGGTTTAGGACTTATGGTCTGACAGAAGAAGCAATATGAAGACGTCACCCAGAGTTCTGGGAACTTCTGACGATCGTTAATAGAGAAAATAATCAGCAGCAGTAATAAAAATGATGCAGTCCTAGATGAGACCACTGCTGTGTTTGTCTTGTTTCAGAGGGAAAAACACTATAAAACTCTATCAAATTCACCTTTTACACAAGAATCCCTGCAGCTCTGAAAAATCAACTTGTTGGCAAAACAATCTCCCCACAGCGACGAGAGAGACCTTGTGGGGAGATTGTTTTGTCGACTGCTGTTTCCGAGGCCGAGCTCAAACTCGCAGTCTCGACTATTAAAAGTTTGAATCCATAATTCTGTCATCACTGGGAAAAAGCTATCTGAAACATCCCTTATTGTCCAATAAAATGATTTTCAAAACCTCCAAGACGAGTTTCAGCTAGTTGAGTGAGAATGTCTAATTGTGCTGATCGGATCTCACCTGATTTCATTGACTCTGGGCAGCGGATGCATCACTACCATCTTCTTTTTGGCTACAGTCATGATGTGAGGGGTGAGGATGAACTGGCCGAAACACTGAGAAAGAAAGAAAGAAAGAAAGAAACAAACAGTCACAAAGCTGATTCATATTCATATATGATTCATAGTCACCTGCTTCTACATTCAGAACTCTGAGCTTATTATCATTTTTTGAACTCTTATTTCTTCAAATGTCAGTGTGCAATTTTCCACTTTGTTTAAGGTCTGAAAGACACAGTTAAAGGGAAACAAACACTATAAAATGGGACCAAGATCAGTAGTACCAACTAAAAAAAAAGTAGATTTAGGATTTGAAAAGCGGACTTACTCTTCCAGGATGTAATTTTACATTTATTTAACAATGTCTTATGTCTATTTTTCTGCTTTAATCTGAAAAGACAAAGTGAAAGCAGCTGATAAAATTAAACATGAGTTCACTTACAGCCTTGTACTCCTCCTCAGATGCAAACCTCTCCTTCTGGATCCTCGTCATGTAGAGGACGTCGGTGTCAGGCAGAGCTTCCTCAATACTGTCAAACTCCTCCTGCAAACATGTAAAAAATGCACCAAGATAAGAGGTAAGATAAGTACAAACGTATAAAAATACAATAAAGAATTATAAAATATCAAAAGGATATAGTAGAAAAATGTAAGACTAAACTTATGTAGTTTGGTCGAACTCAGATAACTCAGATGATTGCTGTCACACTGCATTTATGTCTGAAGTACTGTTAATAAGTCCCCACCTGTTTGATGCCCTTTGAGGCCACGTAGCTGATGATCTCTGCTGGCATGTGGAGGTTCTTGGGAGCCACGTAGCGCAGCGTGATGCGGTACTGGGTCAGCAGTTTGGCGAGGGAATGAACCGTGCGACCGTGCTTCAGATCCCCGACCATAGTTATCTGACAGAAAACACGAATGAAAACATAAAAATATAAAAGAGTTCACCGACGTTGTTTGAACCAAAGTAAAACTAATGTGGGTTGAAGTGGCAGCTGGACTAACATCAAACTAAAAGCTAAAAGTTGGAGGACTGTGGAATACTACAAATTAAAAAGGATCAGGATTTAAATGTTTGTTTTAGTCTAAAATGGTCTTAGGATCCCTCACCGTCATGCCGTTGACCGTCCCCAGCTCCTCTCTGATGGTGAAGACGTCCAGCAGGGCCTGGGTTGGATGCTCCCCGACGCCGTCTCCAGCATTGATCACAGGCTTACGGCAATGACGTGATGCACTCTGAAAGAGGGAGACGAGTTACGTGAAGGTTTAAAAAGAATTGAAGATCTTCGAGAGAGAACGTCGCTGAAGCTGTGTGATTAAATGTACCAAACTCTATCACACACACACACTTTAACACTGGCTAACATATTGTTAACAGATTGGATTTTTTAAACTTTAAACACCAGTTGAATACTTACACATATACTCTAAAGATATTAAATATTTAAAGCCACCATGTCTACACAATATGCCCTTTTCCATACAACCACTAGGGGGCACCAAAGGTTATTTATTTTTATTTTTTTCTACACAAACAGGCTTTAAATTAAACTAAATTTAAAATGTACTGAATTAAGGTATTAGCAGGGACTTTTAAGCTTGATTTAATGTTGTAGTCTTCAGATCCAGAGGGACAACAATCTTGAGTTTGGGTCCAAATTATAAAAAGACTGTAAGTCTTCAGGGTTTTTGGTTCAGCTAGTAGACAGTCTGTGGATCTGAGAGCTTTACCAGAGTCATACATTGGGAGCATTTCCATGATATAACCAGATGGGAGTACATCAATAGATTTATAGACACAGATCTAAATAATCTGTCCTAAAACTAACTAGGGGCCAGCACAAGAACTTAGGAACAGATCAGATCAGGCCCTTTTATTTTAGAAAAGCCTTCACAAAAAACCCTTAACCCACCTCTACAGCTCCAGGCGTTGGGTGTCGGAGCACCAGGACGTCGGCGTAGCAGCTCATGGTCTGGACGGAGTCGGCCAGAGATTCTCCTTTTTGCGTCGACGAGGTGGATTCGCTGAAGTGGACGACAGAGCCGCCCAGACGCTGCATGGCCGCCGCGAAGGAGCTGCTGGTGCGAGTGCTGACCTCGTAGAACATGGACGCCATCACCTTACCCTGGGGAGTAAAGAACAGGGACCTATTGTTTGAGCTGGGCTTGAGACAGACAAGCACTTAAACCCAAAACCAAAATGTTGTTTAGGGCCACCAAACCCTTAATGCTTGCTCTGTTTGTTGCAGTCTCACACACATTCACAGGGACAAACAGACTTAAAAACTCTTATAATTCAACAATAAGCAGTAAGATGAACTCCTCTGGAGACCTACCTTCAGGATGTCCAGACTTCGTTCCTTCTGAACCAGCAAACGCAGAGTGTGGGCAACATTAAAAAGATGAGAGATCTGAAACAAACAAATAAATACATATTAAAAAAATGAAATAATATGCATGAAAAGTCCAAAAAGTTATTTCATATTGTTAGTTGATACAGGGCAGCTCATCAGGTAGCTTGTGACTTTGGTGTACCTGCTCTTTGCTGAACTGTCTGACGGACAGGATGTGCTGGCCCACCAGTGCGTGCAGCAGAGGAGAGGTCTGGAAGTGAGACGCCTGTCCAGCAGGTATCAGTCCTGGTCCTGACTGAGGGGACAGCAGCCTGGACAGGGGAGGAGGGTGGCTGTAACCGTCACCGGCGCCGGTTGGAGGGACCATAAACATCTCTGCAGGGAGCACAGTGCAGTGACACAAAGTACAATGCATCAGTGAAATACAGGAGTACAGAATAATACAGTTTATACAACTGTGGATGTCCCACAGCATTATGGGAGTTGTAGTACCTGGTTGGAGTCCGGGATCAGAGGAGCGGTGGATGCGAGGGGGCAGCAGGTAGCGGCTCTCTCCTGCAGATCGTCGGGGGCTGGGTGCTCTGGTCCGGACCGGGCCTTCCCGGGGAGGAGTAGGACGTGGGTGCTCCGGAGTCTAAACCAACAGAACATAACAGGAAACATGAAATCTTACAACGAATGAAAACAACGTCCACCCATTAAACAGTGGCTTTGTGTACATTTGGAGTACACAAGCAGGCTTAAGACTAGCAGTATAGATACATTACAATATATGCTTCAGTTTGTATTACTGTTATCTTTGTTTGTATTATTATTATGGATCCATTTTAAATACCCTGGGACTTTCTTTAACAGTTTCAGGAGGAGGGATCGAAGCAGACGGCCAGGTCTTCACATCTTCACCGTAACCTGGAGGTACCAACACCTGCGAGGGAAAGAACTACAGCTTTAAAACCATCACATTACATAACAGTACAAATCTTTTATTACTTTTATTGATGTAGGTTGTACATGTACTAGTAAACATTATTTATTCATTATTGAACATGTATGTGTGCGATTGCTGACCTGGCCATCGATGTAGGCCACCTCTCCTCGCAGGACCACGCGCCGGACTTTACCCTTCACCTTCATGCCCTGGAAAGGTGTCCACTTTGACTTGGTGAACTGCATGGTCTGAGGAATAACCCACTCCTGCTCCAAGTCCACCTGAAAGGCACAAAGTGTGAGCATTATTGGTCAGATTCTGTATGAAGCATAGGTTCTTACGAAACCAAACACAGGTTCTTTTCGACTGCTGACTCAAGTAATCGAGTTTGTCTGTGTACCTCCACGTAGGTGTTCTCCTGGACAGGCAGGTTGAAGATCTTGCGTGGGTTGTCATAAAGACGTCTGATGATATCATCCAGAGTAAGACGTCCATCACCCACAGCGGTCAGCAGCAATGGCAGCATCGTTTCCAGGCCGGGGTAACCCGGAGGAGGACGCTCGCTGTTCTTCTCCTCTACAGAGTGGGGAGCTAACAACACAACACAAATCACTTCAGGACTAAAAAAATGATCGATCGAACCTTCGCTTTAACTAATGGATTCATTATCAGACTGGTTTCTGAGGTTCTGTGTGGCTGCTGACCGTGGTCTGTGGCGAAGCAGTCAATGATGTCCAGGTTTTCCCACAGGGCCTCCATGTCCTCGTGTGTTCCCAGCATGGGTCGGACTTGCGCTCGTCCGTCGCCGATCTCTGCCACGTTTTCCTCGCAAAGGAAGAGGTGATGAGGCGCCACCTCACATGTGACCTGAATGCCCTTCTGCTTCGCTGCTCTGATGATCAGGATCTGAAAAACAAGGAGGTAAGAAGATTAATAATACAAAAACCTTAACCATTTTTACTTCACCATTTAATATATATATATTTCTATAAAAGTTGTTTAACAAAGTGTAAAATAAAAATAATAAACAGTGTTTTACCTCCTCCTTCTTGGCCACGTGGCAGATGTGGACTGGTCGCTGGTAGAGCTGAGCCACCATGAGGATTGCAGCCACCGTCTGCTTCTCAGCGTGAGCAACGATGGGCATCTGCTTGGGCCACTTCTCAAAGTGCTTCATTCAAAAACCAGACAGTTATAGTTTAGTTTAGTGTGCACAGTGGGACATAGAGGCAAAAGTCTTCCACTGGTCTCCTGCAAGCATTAGTCAACACCAGTGAAGTGTCCTAATGGTGATTAGATGGAAAGAACACAATAAATAAATAAACTAACCAAGGAATTAAAAAGTATTTACACACAACATAATATAATAATCAGTTCTAATCAAACTCGACTACAGTTGGTTTGTTAAAAGGAAGAGAGTTTTAAAAACACACTGCGCCTCAGCCCACCTCCATCCAGAGAGAGACGTTGTCCATCTTGAGGGTGGAGTACGTGTCGTTCAGGTACATCTTCAGGCCGGCGGCCTGGCTAGCGATGGACGGCAGGACGGCGGCGTTGTCTGAAGCGGCGCCCACATACAGGGCGTAGTCGCACCGGCAGCCCGCTTTGGCCAGCTGATGATACAACATAGCACAGGATTTATTTATTTGATTTTACTTCAGTAACTCAAAACTTCTGTATTTACCAGGACCGGGCAGATGAGTCCTGATTAACCTGACAGAAACAAACAGGAAAGATCTGAGCGTACCTTCTGTACCAGCGCCAGAGTGCTGGCGTCGGTGATGGCAGGGGAAGTATTGGGCATCGCACACACCATGGTCACTCCTCCCGCCAGAGCAGCTGCCGTACCGGAGGAGAAGTCCTCCTTGTGTGTGGCTCCAGGCTCCCGTAGGTGAACATGCACATCGATCAGACCTAAGAATCAATCACAGAACACAAATATTCTATTTATTACTCAATTGATCACATGCGGGATAGAACTTTTACACTGGATATAAAAGTTACCTGGTTATTCATATCCCCGTTTACATACGTTTATATTCACAAAACAGACACTGGAGATTTAAACAATCTAGTAATGATCAGGATATTAGAGTGCATAAGAACACACACAGGGATTAGATGGTGAATTGAATGGTAGTTGTTCCATTCAATACCAGTATTGGAGGATTTGGGGATTTTTGTCTGTGTACCAATCCAATACTGTTTAATTTATTAGCCCCAATGTTATTTATTAATTCACAATTTTCAGCCTGGCAATATAAGTTAATTAAAAGCTGCACAGCTTCGTACTTTAAAAGGTTATCTATTGTAGTGCTGTCTAATTAGTTTCCCTGCTACAAATGACTTGACATTGTGAAAGTCCAAGCACCCACAATCAGAACAGAGCAACACTTCAGTCGATTAAGAGTCGCCTCTGCTGCTCGCAGTGACTCACCAGGCAGACGGACCAGCGTCTGGGATGTCATGCTGTCAACGTGAGTCTTCACTGGTGGAGTCCTACCGATCTGACGAAGAGCCTGAAAACACACGGATTCATTACGTTGCCGACTGTAGGTGTATGTATGTTTTCAAGCAGCTTTTGCAGGACTAATAATCAAAAACACAAACTTATTTCTGACCTGCACAAACAGCTTGGTGCACTTGATGTCGATGATGAGCGGGACAGAGTAGTCGATGGCCATGCGTCTCGTCCTGTAGCCTTTGGTGACGAAGGAGGAGAGCCTGCGACCGCCGCTGTTCCTCATGGAGAGGTTGATGACCAGGTCGAAGTGGTTTTCCTCCAAGTAGTTCATGATGCTGCGCTGCTTCTCTTTATTGGGACACTCGCTGTCGTCCTCCTCGAACGGCCAGTCCACCGCTGTCACCTGAAACAGGAAGTTAGACCAAAAAAAAAAAAGCTCAGAAGAGACACAATATTTTGGTGTAATGTAGTACAACACTGGCAATCAGAAATAAGCCTTTTTTAACAGCAACTAGCATCAAGTATACATCATTCTGCTGTTGAGTCTGGGTATCATCTTCGACCAGCATATGACATTTGACCTTCATGTCACAAACTGGTCCAGTCCCTGTTTCCTGCAGCTACGAAATAGAGCAAAAATCAAAAGTTTCCTGTCCTCCAGTGATCTGGAACAATTAATTCACACCTTCATTTTCTCCCGTCTAGATTACTGTAACTCTACACGTGCCTCAGTCAGGCTTCCTTAAATCGTTTACAGTTAGTACAAAATGCAGCCGCCAGACTTTTAACCAGAACCAGTCGCCGGTCCCACATTACTCCTGTCCTTGCATCCCTTCATTGGCTTCCTGTAAAATTCAGAATCAACTATAAGATCTTACTGATTACACATAAGGCACTTCATGACCTTGCCCCCAGTTACATTTCAGATCTCCTTGTTCCTCATTCCACTCCTCGGCCACTCCGCTCCTCAAATCTCGGCCTTTTATCCGTTCCACGCTCTAACTGTAAATCTAAAGGTGACCGTGCCTTCGCTGTTCTAGCCCCAACATTGTGGAATAGTCTTCCCCAATCACTTAGATTCACTGAATCTGTGGACTGTTTTAAGCGGCTGCTCAAAACCCTCCTCTACAGTCCTTTTTATAGATCTCCCTGTTTGTTTTCTCTTCTGTCGTGTCTCTTTTAATTTATCCCTCCCTTTTGTTTTATCTTCCTTTGTTTGTTTTTACATGCTCTCTATGTTTGTGTTTGTAATGTTTTATTTATTTGTTGTTTGGAAAGCACTTTGGATCTCTGTGTCACAAAACTTTCCAAAAACCTAGCAGACATGTACATTGCAGGACAAAAACTAAAAAACTGAGGTTTGTTAAACCAGAGATCCTCAGTTTTACCCCTTCAGTACTAATGTGCATTATTACACACGTGTCAATACAATAAATCTCGATTACCTGACTTACCAGCATACTTTTCTGCTATTAAGTGTCAACTGTTTGTGTAATGAAACCTATATTTTCAGTTACCTTGACTCCATGTTCTGTGTAGAAATCTGCGGTACCCAGACTGGCGTACAGGTCATAACCCATAGACTCCAGAGCCTGCACGGTGGGCAGCAGCTCGCTCTTGTTCTGTAATCGCACAAAACATCAGAAAACAAAACGGTAAGATCAATAATATCATTTTAATTGAAAGAGTTGGATTAATACAAATAATGGATCACTCTTTTTTTAAATCTGAATATAATAATCTATCAAGCTTCATACTTCTTACTAGAGTCTGGTTAAAAAGGTAATTAATTTACTTTAAATGTAATATTTATTGTATATATTATTATATACATAAAGAATTCTTAACTTTCTTGCAGTCGACTATTCAAGATTAATACTCAATTTCATGTTTTACTGTTAGTTATTGTGTTATATATTTGCCTTTGATTTATGATGTTGGGTGTAATGGTGATACTTTAACTGTTTTAATTACTATAGATATGGACCCAAGGAAGAGTAGTTGTTGCCAAGGAAACAGCTAATGTTGATTCATATAAACCATAAGCAATAACAGTTCAAATAAATTCAGTGGTTGAGTCTTGTTAGGAATTTATTTGAGTAGAAATTGTTTATTTTCTGGTTCGAAGATGAAGCCCTTAAGCATTCTTATCGAGGCCATACTATCATGTAACAGATTTCCACATGGCTCGATGGCCTTAAGAACCATCTGTGAATCGCAGTGCAGGACTGCAAATGTACTGTAATGTCCCACTGTTGGTGCATTCTCCAGCGTTTCAGCTGCCAGCTGGATCAGCTGAATACAACATTCACATCTGCCAAATCACCAACTCTTGGCTCGGAGAAATTCATCAGTAAATCCCAGATTTAAAGAGTGTTTAATATTTATGTCAGTCACGTCCTGCGAGTACCTTAAAGCTGCCAATGGAGAGCAGAATGTTCTTTTTGGGGATCTTGAAGCCCGTGGAGAGCATGGCTTTGAGGTAAGCCTCATATCTGTTCTCCCCGAAACAGGCCACCTCACCAGTGCTGGTCATCTCCACCCCGAGCACCACGTCAGCCCCGGCCAGCCGAGAGAATGAAAACTGAGGAACCTGCAGGACATGTGTCATATGGTTAAGGAGGACTACACGACACACAGCAATTGAGGCTTTCTCAAATTTAAGTGAAAAAAAAGTTTCTATAAAAGTCGCTATAGATCCCTAACAAGTGAAAAACACTTGGGTTGAATTGGCTTAGTTACCTTGACTCCTACAATCCCTTTTCCCCTCATTAGGCCCAACGGCTCCACGTCCTCCCCAACAATGGCCTGAGTTGCCAGGGCAACCATGTCCACGCCCAGGGTCTTGGATATGAAGGGGAAGGAGCGGGAGACTCGGACGTTGCACTCGATCACCTTCAGTTGGTCGTCCTGGTGGAAAAAGCACAACATCACAGTGTTAGATAGCTGATATGAACAGGGGGGAAAACAAATTACTTTTACTTTATGTTTCTTTTTCTTTTTGTGACCTCTTGTTTTTAAATTTCAGATTAGACCAAATATATAAACAAAAAAAAGGTATCATTAGTTTCTGACTCTGAAACTAATAATGGAAGTGGGAAAAACTGTCAATTTCCCCCAAACTACTGTATCTCTAATCAAATCACACATTTACACTATTCTATGTCATCTCCTTTTGATAGATAATATAATAAATAATGTAATATTTTTTATTCACTGAGCCTCCCCTGAAACTCTTGGGAGCCTCCGACTTAAAACAAAATCTGTGGTAAACATTTTAGGTCCGTTTCTGGGTCTGATTCTCACCTTGGCAATCAGCTGCAGGTTGAAAGGTCCGGTGACCTGCAGCTCCTGGCCGATGGCGTGGACGATCATCTTGATCCTCTCCATCGTCTTCTGATTGAGATCCTGGGGTGGCGTCACCAGTGTGGCATCCCCAGAGTGAACGCCGGCGTTCTCCACGTGTTCGCACACCGCGATGGCCATCACTACCCCGTCACAGGCTACGGCGTCCACGTCTATCTCCTGGAAAATATATTGCAGACATGTTGAACTCCACTGTCACACAGAGCCTTTCGGAGCTCAACTTCAAACTGCTGCAAGTCTTTTTCTCTAACCTTGGCCTCCTGTATGAATTTGGAGATGACAACAGGGTATTCCTTGGACACAGCTACGGCGCTACTCAGGTATTTCTCGAGGTCGCTGTCAGTGTAGGCAACGTTCATGGCCGCTCCGCTGAGAACGTAGGAGGGACGAACCAGGCAGGGATAACCCACAGTCTCACAAAACTTCATAGCAGACTGCAGAGAACAAAGAAATGGAAGATAGATGTGAGGATTAAGAAATATTTTGTTAAAAACACAAACTTGTCTTCCCAAATCAAACGCAGAAAAAGATCACAAACGAAACGATACATAACAATCTTTTCACTCTCCAAAAGGTTTTCTGTCAATATTTGGCATCAGAATCATTGATTTTTTTATACATTTTCAAACACATTCTGGTATAAACACAGTCGGTTGTACCTCAGTGTCGGAGAGCTCCTTCCACTGTGGCTGGCTGATTCCGATGGTGTCCAGCATTCTGGAGAACTTGAACCTGTTCTCGGCAGAGTCGATGAACTCGGGGGAGGTTCCCAAGATGCGGCACTGCTGGCGGTGCAGCGACATGGCGATGTTGTTGGGCAGCTGGCCTCCCATAGAGAGGATCACTCCCTCTGGGTTTTCCCTCTCATAGATATCCATCACCACCTGAGATATGTGCAGGACACTTATTAACCTCAAAAGTATTATTAGTAAAACTATTATAAAGCTCATAATAGGCTTTTTATTGAGTGTGTGTCTCCACAAGGCCTTAATTCTGCTCTATGGCTGCAGTCTGTATTGTTATTGTAACAGAACCATGAACTGTGTCCCAAACAATTTCTATTAAGTTAAAACTCATTATTAATGTTTAGTTTATTAGTTAGTGGACAAAACGCTTACCTCGAAGGAGATCTCATCGAAGTAGAGGCGGTCACACATGTCGTAGTCTGTGCTGACGGTCTCTGGGTTGTAGTTCACCATGATGGTCTTATAACCCATCTGCAATACAACATTGTTTAAAAAGCCACATGCAGGTTATGCGTCATATTATTTTCATAACATTTTATTTAACACACAAAATACAGACAACACACAGGAGATACATAAACAATAAAAATCAATACTGCCGCATGACTTCAATTAAGAAGATTTTTAAACTGTAGATGAAATAGACATTTTAAACAGAGAGGTGGAGTTGATTAAGAAGACGTGTTAGCAAATGGAATAAAAGTTAATTCAAAACCCTTTTTTAAATGTATTTTAACTTTAATCACAATTTTATAGACAACTTTTTATATTCAAAAAAGTTTAAAAACTCCCCTTTACTTCCATTTCAGTCATTAACGTGCAAAAACATCGAGCTTAAACTTAAATCAACAATCTGCAGTGTTATGAGATCGTGGAGGACTTACCTTCCTGAGCTCTGTGATGCATCCGACTGCACACCAATCAAATTCCACGCTGCTGCCGATGCGGTAAACCCCTGAGCCGATCACCATGACGTGCTGATCGTTGAAGTGCAGGTCGTTCTCGGTGCCGTGGTAGGTTAAGTACAGGTAGTTTGTGTGGGCGGGCCATTCGGCCGCTACCGTGTCAATCTGCTTCACTACAGGTATGATGGACCAATCGTGACGCAGCTTTCTCACCACGAGCTCTGTGCTGTAGGAGGGACACAGAAACACAAAGGGAAATAAGGCTTGACAATAGGAGGAGAAAACAAACTTCAGACCATCAATTGAGTGTGAAAACAAACTGATGTAATGTAAATATAAATATCATTTTGTAGTCTTTGCTGTTTCATATCACTCCAAGAGAAGTGCAAATTATATATAGAAACGCAAGAGTAGGTTAGAAATCATTGTAAATAAAAAAGGAAGCCTTTACATAAATCAGTGTTTCAGTTCGCCAGACCAGGAGCAGGAAATTCATTCTCCAGCATTTTCTCTCTCTCTGGTGTTGAAATTAATTTGTGATGCCAGCACACTGCAACGGCTAAAAATAATCAGGTAATGTGACCGCAGGCCCATATTGTCTTTCCCACTCACCTCTGCACAGCTAGTGCTATCTGCTTGTCTGAGAAGCCCAGCTGCTTGGCCTTTCGCATCACCTCTGGTGGCATGGCACTCTCATCCTGGTGGGAAGAACAAAGTTAGCAAGAAAAATCAAGAAGAAACTGCCGCTGATGTTTAAAATGATTGAATCATTCTTACCTGGTTGTACGTCTCCATCAGTCGCTCGTGGTCGGTTATGTTCTTCATCTTGTGCAGGAACCAGCGGTCGATCTTGGTGAGCTCGTACAGCTGGTCCACCGTGTAACCGGCTCTGAAGGCCGACGCCAAAACAAAGATGCGCTTATCTGTAGGAGTCTGCAACTCCTGGTGAGCAGAGAGGGGCAACAGAGCAAGGCATGATAACTGAGATACATAACTGGGCAAGTAATTTAACAACTGACATTTGACACAGTAACATTCAATGAAAGATTTCTCTCAGTAAGGACCCAGTAAAGCTTGCATCAACAAGGTATCATTACAAGGTGTTAACTACCTTACAGTGTACAGCATACTGGCACATTAGCACCATCTTCTGGTTCAGTTTAAAACCTAACAGCAGCTGTGATGCTGCACCACGTTAATGCTACCAGTCACTTGTGATTTTGTGGCTTTTTCTTATGGGTGTGGCACATTTCCCGCCATAAATGTCAGATTTTAGGGCATTCTTCACTGCAGTCTTTGTTAGAAATTTTAAGAACAAGTCAACAGTCGTCAACAAAAGGCTTTTGAACATTTTCTGGTCACTTATAACGTACGCCAAGGCTCATTCAGGATGTGTTTTAAAGTGCAGGTATGAGAAAAAACATGTTTAAATAATGCTTTTCTCTAAAAGGCAAACATATGTATTAAACAGGGTCTCTTCACACACACTTCCTACCTCACCATACCGGTATGACTCACTGGTGACGACTGAATGGGTGATTTAATATTATGTAGATAATGGACTCTGAACAACTCACAGCAGGGTCAAGGACATGAGGACTACATGTATGCAGCAGTGGCAGTTTAACAGTGACTTACAATACTCCAGTTCCAACTTACAAACATAAAAAACAAATCAAAAAAGTTGGGTACAAACTTTTAATTACCTTTTCAGAGACGGGCTTGATGGTGTGGTCAAAGCCAACACAGTTCTCATCCACCATCCTCAGAGCTTTCTGGAAGGCCTCCTCAAAGCTACGGCCAATAGCCATCACCTCGCCTGTCAAGAAATGTACGGGTGAAGATCTGCTTCTTGCCACTGTTGCCTCTGAGCTAATGCAGTTTTATAAATGGCAGGCTATGGTTAAGACTTCTCTTCCTACCAACACTCTTCATGGAGCTGCCAATCTTGGTGGAAACCCTGAGGAACTTGCTCAGATCCCAGCGAGGCACCTTCACAACACAGTAATCCAAGCTGGGCTCAAAGTTCGCTGTAGTCGAGTTGGTAACGGAGTTCCTGCAGAAAATCCATTGACAGGTTTTTCTTACTGAATCACACCATTACAAAAATGTTTATGGGATTTAAGCTCCCAGACTCAGTAGCTCATTGCAGGGATGGCTATCATCATAAGTTTTTGTATACTGCTGATACAATTCCAAATTTTTTCTGGATATTAACACATACTTCTGTACAGGAGGTAAAGTTTGAGGACATTGCACGTTCAATATTTACGTTTCATCTGTTATCCTTAAAGTGAGAGGACGTACTTGAGTTGTGGCAGCGGGATCCCCAGGCCAAGTTTAGCAGCTACATAGGCCAGAGGATAACCTGTCGCCTTGCTGGCCAGGGCCGAACTCCGTGACAGACGGGCATTCACCTCAATGATGTAGTACTGCAAAACATCAAAACACAGAGGTTATAACAGAATCTGTAAGTGTTGGTACTTCTATCCGGGTGGGAACTAGTATGGACACCGTTCATACCTGTTCAGACTCAGGGTTAAGAGCGTACTGGATGTTACACTCTCCCACGATGCCGAGGTGCCTGATGACTTTGATGGCCGTGTTCCTCAGCATGTTGTATTCGTGGTCGTTAAGCGTCTGACTGGGCGCCACAACGATGGATTCTCCGGTATGGATGCCCAGAGGGTCAATATTCTCCATATTACACACCTGAACAGGAAGAACTAATCAAGTCTCACGTACAATAAGATATCAATGCTACGTTAAATGCAATTACTTTTGACACAATGGTGTAGCAAACTACCATTTTAAAGTTCAGGAATATTACATTTAACCTTTAAAAAGTGCTGCTTCGTTGTTTGTCCGTCTGTTCTTTACTCACAGTGATACAGTTGTCGTAAGCATCGCGGACCACCTCGTACTCGATCTCCTTCCAGCCTTTCAGGGATTTGTCCACCAGTACCTGGGAGGTGTGGGCGAAGGCTGATGTCACCAGAGAGGTTAGCTCCTCTCTATTGTTGGCGAAGCCCGAGCCCAGACCACCGAGAGCGAACGCCGACCGAACCAGAACAGGGTAGCCTAGACGTTCTGCAGCTGCCACTGCCTGTAATGAAGTTTAAGAGTTTAAGATACATTCAGACACATAAAAGAGAAAAATATATGGCTAATGAACCTGGGCAGCTTTGTTTTCCCTCACCTGCTCTACAGACAGCGCTGCTTCACTGGGAGCGACATGCTCATTGATCTCTTCCATTTTCTCCACAAAGATCTTCCGGTCTTCAGTCATCTCGATGGAGGCCACCGGCGTTCCCAGAACCTTAACTTTATACTTCTCCAGGACGCCCAGCTTGGTCAGCTCCACGCCGCAGTTCAGAGCGGTCTGACCGCCAAAGGTCAGCAGCACGCCGTCGGGACGTTCATTCTTTATCACCTGAGAGTGGAAAAAGTGGGGAGACACTCAACATTGATACCACGGGGGAAACAAATATTGTAAGAACCTGAATGTGTTAATAAAATGTGAAAATTGTCTTTGAAATGTTACTCCTGATCAGCTTTGACACCCAGAAACATCTGTGTGTCAGATTAAACCTAATTAGAAAAGCTCTACAAGTCAATAAAAACTTTTTATTGTAGTACTGACTACTGATTTACTTTCATTTACTTTCCAGGACCCTGTCTAGGAGTTTTATAACCCCGGTATGTACACATATTGTCTCTTATCAGTCAGCACATTGAGTGAAGGGAGTTTATCCGTACCTGGGTGACATACTCCGCTGTGATCGGCAGGAAGTAGACTTTGTCAGCCAGGCCCTTGGAGGTCTGGACGGTGGCAATGTTGGGGTTGATCAGCACAGTCTGGATATTCTCTTCCTTGAGAGCCTTAATAGCCTGGAAAACAGAACAAATTAACATCAGCAAGTAATAATGGGCTTCTTCAACAATAAAATCTGGTGGTCAGCTTTAAAATCTTAAAGGAAGTGGAGTGAAAGGTGGCTAGAGTCATGTTCTTTGTAGTAACTTTATGGTTATATGTTGCTCATACAGCATTACTGAAGTATTTTGCAGTCAAACAGTTGCACTAAACCCCCAGAAGTCCAGCATGATTAACCTCCCCTCACACTCCTCATTTACCCTGCACCCGAAAGAGTATCTGCACTCCTCTTGCCAGAAGGTAGACCACACAGACCTGAGAGCCGGAGTAGTCGAACTCCCCAGCCTGGCCAATGGACAGTCCTCCAGAGCCCAGGATGAGGACCTTCCTGGGTCGGAGCACCTCTTCAGGCTTTGTGAAACCCGGGTAGGTAAGGTGGTCCAGTAGACGCTGCTTCACTGGAAAACAAAAAAAAAAAACACACGAAAAGCATTTTCATTTAGTTTCCATTCAAGGAATTTATGTAATGTCTCTTTTTCTATTAAAACACGTCATCTGGCCTGAGAAATAATGTGTTTTACCCAAAAAGGTGAAGTAAAAACACTGAAATTAGTACCAGATTTGGTAGCGTTGCCCTCTTTGTGGTCTTTCACGGTGTCAAGGAAGACATCAAACAGGCCGACCAGGTCTGTGGGTCCAGCCATGTGCTCTGGGTGGAACTGAACACTGAAGAAATGCATCACAAAAGAATTTAAATCACATTGTTTTATTCACATCAACTAAATTCTGGCATTTCTGGTGTGCGTTATCAAGTCCTCAGGAGTGACTGAGCCTGTTACCTGAACAGGGGTTGCGTGTTGTGTACGATGCCCTCGTTGGTATGATCATTGGCGTTGGTGAAGAGGACGTCCCAGTCCTTCGGCAGGGTGTCGGGGTCGACGGCGAACCCGTGGTTTTGACTGGTGATGAAGCAGCGCTCTGTTCCCTTGTGGATGCATGGCTGGTTGTGGCCACGGTTCCCGTACCTGAGAGACAGGAGAAATAAGATAGTTGGGGCTGGACAGACATGTTGATAATGTGCTTTTATACAAAAATAGTATCTGATCTAGTTGGTGTTGTTCACCCTTAATCCTAATTGTTACACACTGGACCTTTAATGTAATCCAGCTACATTTAGATGGGGCTTTGGACTTCCAGGTAAAGAGAAAACATGTACTGTAACACTGACACAACTACAGTTTCTTACAAGGACATGGATATTTCCCCCTGTGAACTATCTGTATTTTGAATTTCCCTGGAATCCCACAATCCAACAATCCCCTTGTCTGTTCGAGATGCCAGCCACATTCCAGCAGGGTAACAGAAACATTCGCTGCCCATTGTGACCTTCACGTCGGGCCTGATAAAGCTCCCCTCAGTGGAGTCTCAGGGGAAAGAAAACCTCCCTAACCCCCGCAGATGTGGCTGTGGAGCGCAGTACAGCAAAGGAGAGCCGACCGCCTCGTCTTGCATGCTACGGCTTGTTTGTTTAGTCTTTTTCATAACAATGACGATCAGGCCGACAACCTCACTGCTCATTCAGGAGCAGCCCAGACTGCTGAGAACAGCAAAAACCTGCAGTTCACATCACTACTCTCCCAAAGAAAGTGTGTGTGGGCATGGACGTCTGTGTTTCTAGCGAGTGTATAAAAAGAGGTTTTTGAAGAGGTTCCCTGGTTCAGGTCACTGAGGGCGCATTTCTGTCTTTGTCCTGTTCCAAAAGTCTCCTATAAGCCTGCTCCAGATGGGAGGGTATATAAATTACATCAAATTGAACACTTTGCACATTTAAAAGGCATTTTTGTGTCAATAGAAAACCAATTTATTGACTGATTTCAGCACTCTGTGAAATGAAAATGAGATGAAAGAGATGAGAATTAAACTGTTGAACCCTGAATGTGAATGATAAAACTGTAATCGGTTAATAGCCATTAAGATTTTGATCAATCAAGAATACAAAATACACAACACAAGAAAGTCGGAGTGAGAATCTGCAGTTTTAAACCTTTTGAATGTACATTACTTTGGTGCAGGTGCTCAAGTTTGCGGTACTAACTTCATCTTGTAGGTCTTCGATCCGATGACTAAAGAGAGCAGCTGGTGTCCGAGGCAAATGCCGAAAACCGGCTTGGGGCGTTCGACGCAGACCACCTTCCTCACGTTGCTGATGGTGGTCTGACAGAACTGGGGATCCCCGGGGCCGTTACTGATGAACAAACCATCAAAATCTACAAAAAAGGACAACAAAATGCTGGTTTTACCACTGAAGAATTCAGATGAGGGATAATTTAAAAAGGAAAAAACCTCCCATAGGTGTTCAATTCATCAATGACCCCTTGTGTTCTGAATGAAAGCATACGTATTTGTGGTGTTTCTCATTCTTTCAGGTTGTTCCTTTTATTTGTGAACTGTCTGGAGACTAATTTCCGGTACTTTATTGTCTAACTAAACTCCTTTATCACAAAGACATTGGCTGAACATTAATGAGAAAACCTTTCTGCTACTTGTACTCGTCCTACTTCTTTTAACATAAGCACAGTTTTCCTTGAAACAAACACAAGCATAGTCCCACATTTTGCTTATACGTTCTCCAAAAAAAAGGTAAAAACCTGCCATAATTATCGCTGACATCTTTCAAACCACCTCAAACAAACTGATCCCTGAGTGTTGTGCCCCAGTCAAACAGTTTTCTGCTCTACGTCTGGGAGTGTGTGACGGACCTGTGCTGTCCAACGGGTGGTCCCAGGGAACGACAGTCACACGAGCTCCTCTCTGAGCCAGGCAGCGGATCTGGTTGTATTTGATGCCGCAGTCCACCACCGTGATTCGCAGACTACCGCTGGGGTTGAACACTCTGGGCTCCTGGAGAAGTAATAAACGAGGTGAAACAAATAGGACTGTTTGCTGTATTGTTTACATGTATTCAGACAGAAATAATCGAATTAATCTTTACTTCTAACCTGTGCGGGCTAGTTCCTAGTTTAGTTATGAGGTCTAATATCAAGCATTGATATCTTGGTAAGAAATTAACATAAAGTCTAAATAATCTTAATAAATTCAGGATTTTTTATTTTTAAAAAAAGGTTATTAAGCATGTGGGTGGGTTACCTTCATGGAGACCTCCTGGACCAGGTTCCTCTTGTCCGGGTTATCAAAGGGGATACTGTCCTCAGGAGTCCCGTCCACGACCAGCTTCCCCAACATGGTGCCCTTCTCTCGGATCTTTTTGGTGAGACGGCGAGTGTCGATGCCTGGAGAACAATCAATAATAATAATAATAATAAATCATAATAAAATAAATAAAGCTTGCAAGTATCTGATAGTTTTATACATTTTTATATATCAGGTGCCAAATTGTGATTTAGCAGCCATTTCAAATTCAAATGTAAAGATTTAACTTATTCCCCATTAACATTATTATTATGAGTTTATTTAAAGTTAGATTTTCTGACCTTGTAATCCGGGAATGCCTTGCTCTTTGAGCCACTGGTCCAGTGACTTGACTGAACTCCAGTGACTGGGACTCTCCGACAGCTCTCCGATGATCAGAGCCGCAGCGTGGATCTTCGACGACTCAAACCACTGACAACAAAAACACAATAAAAACACGTCACAAAGGAATATTATCTTTCATTAAATCTTAATTCAAGGCCTCTACTGCTATACAACAAACGGTTTAAGTTTGCCCACCTTGCTCAGTCCAAAGTCTCCGTCTTCGTCCTTTGGTACGCCATAGTTACCGACCAGAGGGTAAGTGAGGGTGAGCAGCTGGCAGCGGTAGGATGGGTCAGTGAGAGCCTCGGGGTAGCCCACCATGCCCGTCTGAAACACTGAACATACCATATATTCATCAGTACATGGCCCAGTCTTTAACAACAGCTGGATTTTTTGTTATTATAACAAGTATTTATAAGTCACTGATATCAATATTCAGCGTTCAGGTGCTGGAGTAAACAATTTGCTTGACATAAACTTCACTAAAAGCAGTAACTGTTGACTTTTGAAGTGTTGATTCAGGTTTATTGTCACCTTAAATGACTCCCACCACTGATCTACCGGTGGTTACGTAATAAAACTGGCTTTGGATTATGTCATCCAGATGTGAGGTGCTCCACTAAACCCACCAGCAGAGATACATTCCATTCTACTGTGTGTACTTCGTCCCGCCAAACCACGCTCAAAATCCCATCACTTTTACTGCTGCCTTGCTCAACGGCGCCAGTAAACGCACCACAGAGCAAAGTCTGCCTTTGAATAAAAATCAATAGTGCCTAATCTTTAATTCGGCACTATTGCCACACGTTGATTTGCGTTTATTACAACACAGCTCAACTTTTTTTAAAAAGCTAGTTAGTGCCATACCTCCATTTCTAGCTATACATTCATCCAAAAACAATGAGGAAAACAAACCAGGTTTGGTAAAGAGGCGAGCACAGTTATAAAGATGTTGGGTGATTTATCTATATAAGAAAGATCATGTGGCACATGCGCAACTGACAACGTTAGTTCCCCCCCCCCCCACCTATAATTGACAGATATCTGAATGGAGTTTGGTTGGGAACACGCTTTTACAACTCCAAGAGCATCGTGGCACATTTAAATGAAGTTTAACTCACCAACTTCTCCCGACACTGACACATCTGCCCCGAACAGGAGGCCCCTGAACGCCGTCCCGTCCTCTAGGATCAACGCTGCCATCTTTTTGTTTGTTTGTTTGTTTGTTTGTTTGTTTTGTTTTGTTTAAAGTCACGAAGAGCTAATGCTAACTGCAGTAGACTGATTCAGTAGTAGTGATGAACCTCCGGTCTCCACGTGAAACTCACGCCGCGCGGAGAGGGAGGAGGAGGAGGAGGAGGAGGGGTGATGAAGATGAGACTTAGCGGGGGGGAATAACTACCAGATTTGTCCCCCGCCCTCTCGCCGTACCGAGCAGATCTCTGTCAGCCTTTATCGATCCGGACGGAACGATGTGGTTAAAAAAATAAAAGCGAGTTTTAATGAGGTGTTTTCCCGGTTTTAGTCGGACCCGCAGCCCGGCCGGTAAGTTTACGCAGTGACACACCGCACTTCCGCCGACAGATTTCAAAATAAAAGCCACACTTTTTTTAGTTATATATATATATATATATGTGTGTGTGTGTGTGTGTGTGTGTGTGTGTGTGTGTGTGTGTGTGTGTGTGTGTGTGTGTGTGGTATTATAGCAGCTGACTTTAATGATCATTGAGAATAGGTGTTTTAAAAATGTATTAAAAGCTATATTGTTTATGCTGCTTTACGCTGACGATGAAACTTAAAGTCATCCCATAATACCAAAGTCATGTGAAGTGGGCCAATGTTTGTGCAGTAGATTACATTTGACTAAATAAACCAGTTTTGCTCATTTAAGCTGATAACATGTTCACAATAGAGCATTTAAATGCCTGGTGAGTGCTTTTGGTAATTTGGTGAACTCATTAGAGCTTTTAATTCATTTTATTACGTCAACATATTAAATAAAAACTGTAATGGCATGGCCGGTTATTCAGTTTGAAATATAAAATAAAATAAAAAAATGTGTGTATCATTAATCGTATTCAATAAATATTTACAGTAGCACTCATTTTGTGCATTATAAGCTCATTTAAACCATTTTGATAAACATTACATAATTTCTAAATGGGGGCATCATAATCAATTTTAATATTTTGCTCTGTGTGAACCTTTTGTGGATCAATGAGCAGTTTTAATCATTCATACTTTCACTTTTGCAAACAAGGTGTAAAGTGATGTCATGCCATGTTTTTGATCATGTGCCACGTGGGTGGGTGGGTGGGTGGGGGGGGTTTAATTTGAAAGCAGAATCGCTTCTTTCCGGTCCAATCAAGAAACTTAACTTCACGTTTGGCGTAAATGACGTCATCACGCTGGGGGGGGTCCTGCAGCAGCAACTTCTACAACAGCTGGAGTTCAGTTTGAATCCTGTGAGGTGGCAGTGTTGGTCAAAGTGTCTGCAGCATGGAGTTTGTCTAGTGTGATCAGTAGGATCAATAAAGTGATTGATTTATATTTTATATCAAATTATCTGACTCTGAGGAAGTAACTGGTAACTACAGCTGTCAAATAAATACACAGAGAGTGCAATAGTGGCTCAATTGTTTGAAATGTACATTATAAATACACGACCACAAACGTAGCGGACACGGAAGGGGATGTAGCTCAGTGGTAGAGCGCATGCTTTGCATGTATGAGGCCCCGGGTTCAATCCCCGGCATCTCCAGTGGTTCTTTTTCTCCCCACGACCACAAACCTTATATATATTAAAATAGTGATTAACCAACCGTTCAAAAAGGCAAATATTATATTTATATTTTGTACTTTTGTGTTTGTTTGTTTGTTAATATGTAACTCGCTATAATCGTGACGCAGATCACCAGCTTTGGAAACACGAAGCCTACAAAACGCTTTATAAAGACTGGATCCCAGATTCAGCTCACACACACACACACACACACACACAGACTTTAGTCTTGAATCTACATACATATATTGCTGTATTGTCAATGATAGCTAATAAGATATTAATTAAAAACGGACCCGTTACAACTACACGTGGCGTCTTTAAGGAAAAAAACGCCACTAGCAGCCCCAGTTATAGTCACGATATCCAGCGTCACCTCGAATAGCCTTAATACTGTCACTTGTTTTTAATCTTTGGACTAAAATACATTTTGTCGACACAAAACAACGCAATGGACTCATTCTTGAGAGCAGCTGACATTTCCCACAGTTGTAAACGCACCACGGAGCCCCGCCCCCCGCCCTCAGCGGTAACTAAGGAGATCACGGAGCCCCGCCCCCTCAGCGGTAACTAAGGAGATCACGGAGCCCCGCCCCCTCAGCGGTAACTAAGGAGATCCCAGTTCTGTTTACTACAAAGATGTCCTCCTTGCTAGCTGCTATCTTGGCGCTGCTCAACTAAAAAAATGGCCTTAATCATCTAAAGATTCCTTAATCTCCACACTAACAACATTCTTCCCGGTACGAGCTTCCTAAAGACTTCCGAAAAATGCAACTGAAGCATCTGAAGACGCTGTTAACCCCGCAGGTGAGTTCAGGGACAGGTTAGCTTTAACGATGCTAACTGTGTATAAAGAGTGTGACTGTGTAACTGATACCAAATGAGATCAATCTGGAGCAGTTACAATCTTCGTCATGAGCCCCTGTCGTTACAGAACGGGGTTTAAGGTTTGGTGAAGAGGCTTCAGCTGGTTTTCACCTCGGTGCTGTTCTTGTTTTTCTCGGTCTTCTTCAGGAGGGTGCGGCCAAAGTGACCTGTCTCACCTGGGCACCGAATAACACCAAGTTCGCTGTTTGCACTGTGGACAGAGTGGTGCTGCTGTACGATGAGCAGGGAGAGAGGAGAGACAAGTTCTCCACCAAACCCCTGGACTCCAAGGTGAGACTGGAAGGGGGCAGTGTGAGTGGAAAGGAGAGCAAAAGAGGATTTAAAAACAGCTCACACACACAAGAAAATGAGACAACTACTGAGGTACAACCTCGCTTATGACTCTGTCGTTAGAAAAAGGATCAAACTATAGATTAATGGCAGTAAAAACACACAGATATTTACTGTACAGGTGTGCATAATGAACCTGCGTTGTTGTTGTTGTTGTATTAATAATCCTGATTTTATTTGTAAAGCTCTTCTCAAGCTTGAGCTCAAAATGCTTTCCAGATTAAAAGATATGCAACAACAGAAATTACAGTAAGAAACCGAGAAAGTAAAAGCGCTCAGATATACATATAAAAGAAAGACAATAAAGCACAATTACACATTATTATCACACGAAAAAAAATCTAAACTGCACCAGCCTTCTTTCTTGAAAGGGATTACGTCGAATACTTTAAGTAAAATTATCTTAATTTTAGTTAAAGTTAAAAAAGACATTCTTGATCAAGTAGCTTTAGTAATTTAAAGTGACTTAATTCTGTCATTTTTATTTGTTCTGTGAAAACACAACACCCGGTAAAAGCTGCTTAATCGAGAAGTTTGTGTTACTTAAAGTTAAAATAATAAATAAATAACTTTATCAGGAGAGGTTACCAGTGCAGGTTGTGTGTGTGTGTAATAATAAAATGTGTGTAATCTTTTGTCAGTATGGAAAACAGAGCTACGTTGTCAACGACATGGCGTTCTCACCGGACTCCACCAAAATCGCCATCGGCCAGTCGGACAACATCATCTTTGTGTACAGAATCGGAGAGGATTGGTAATGTCCCGCGGCCCGTCTCTCCCGTATTAAAACCTCATCCTGTTATCTGCGTCTATGCGTGAAAAACTGATTGTTGTCAATGTTATTTTCTCTCCCAGGGGCGACAAGAAAGCCATTTGCAACAAATTCGTTCAGACGGTAAGTTAAACACAAGCAGACACTTTGTTTAGCTGTGTTGGATATACCACTGTATGTATTGTTTGTTTAATACACAAGATATTTGGCCATTTCACAGATGTTTTAGTGGATTTGAGGACATATAAGGCTGAAAAGGGATCAAGTGTTTCATGAAGATTATGTTACAAAGAAATCTGCATATTCTGTCTAGTTGTAGCTGCTGTTTTAGAGAAGGAAGTTTCAGTTTCTAACTTTCTAAACATCCTCGTAACGCTTTGATTCTCTGTATTGCAGAGTGCTGTGACTTGCTTGCTTTGGCCTGCAGAGCATGCAATTGTTTATGGATTAGTGGATGGCAAGGTAAGTCTGCAGCATGTTCTCACCTCCCATCTGGAGTCATTATGTTAATGGTACAGGTTATATATATTTCCTTTAGGTGTTATAACTGGTAGGAGTATTACAGGAGTATCAGCAGGAGTGATTGAAGTACTGGGGCAATTCTGTAATATGGAAATAGAAACAGAACAGTTTCAATAACTGCTGTCAGCCTTAATGCAGAAATATCAGCATTTAAAAGCAGTTTTTTGGTCAAAAGATAGATTAAATTGTGTATGTTTAAATCATTTTAATGTTCTTTTGTTCCCGTAGGTTCGACTGGCCAACACTCAGACCAACAAGTCATCAACCATCTATGGCACCGAGTCCTGTGTTGTGTCACTGGCATCCAAGTAAATGCATATTCATATGTAATTATGACCCACAGTTAGTGTAAGGGGCTGACTGGACTGTCTCAAAATGTCAAGCCACAAATGATGTACTTGTTTATTGTTTTCTTCTGTGGTGCACTCAGTCAGTGTTATTTGTTCTGTGTCAGTGTCTCTGGTAAAGGTATCCTCTCTGGCCACGCCGATGGGACAGTGGTGCGTTACTTCTTCGATGACGAAGGTTCAGGGGATTCTCAGGTACCCACATCCTCACCGATCCTATTATGTACATTTTCCTGTCTTACATTTTAATTAATTACATGCTGTATTTATCACACACTCTGACACACAGGGTAAGCTGTTCATGCACCCGTGCCCACCCTACGCTCTGGCCTGGGGTGCAAACGGCATCATGGTGGGCGGCTGCGACAAGAAGGTGGTGGCCTACAGCAGAGAGGGTCACGTCCTGCAGACCTTCGACTACACCCGCGACCGGACGGAGAGGGAGTTCACCGTGGCCGCCACCAGCCCCGGCGGGCAGTCTGTTGTGTTTGGCAGTTACGACCGGTCAGTATATGTTCTCTCAGTTGATATACAGACAGTACGGTGGTACCTGTCAGCTCATCACTGTGTTAATGTGAGTAAATTTAATGTAAGCAAGTGCTTTTTAGTACCTCAGAAGTTGTTCCTCTTCCTGATGTCTCACCAAGGTTGCGGGTGTTTAACTGGGCTCCCAGGAGAAGTGTGTGGGATGAAGCCAAGCCTAAAGAGATTCTCAACCTCTACACCATCACCAGCTTGGCCTGGAAGAAAGACGGATCTCGTCTCTGTGCTGTAAATACTTTATCCGTCGCATTATTTTAATCCAGAGTGTGACTTTTAAGTGTTGTTTTGCCTTTTCCTCTTTACTTCGTCTGTGGAGATTTGCAGCAATGTGCGTACATGGAGTATTCTGGTCCCTCACATAAGCTTGGTTTTAGACTTAAAGGTCTATTGTGTAACATGTAGGTATAATTTAGGTATAATTACCTGAAAATCACCTGAAAATGTATTTATTGTGTCTGTGTGTTCTGTGTTCTCAGGGAACTCTGTGTGGAGGAGTGGAGCTGTTTGATTGCTGCTTGCGGAGAGCCATCTATAAAAACAAGTTTGAGATGACCTACGTCGGCCTGAGCCAGGTACAGACAGACGCAACCACAAAAATAGAAAAAATGAATCAAGTTATTTGTCTTGACCACAAAAAGGCAGTATCTGTAATTGCACAGACAATAAGTAGAACTACCAGCCCTCACTTTGTTTTCCTTCCACTTGCCAATTACCAAACTGAAAATATAAAGTTACAATAATTCAGATTTAATTAATTTAAGTGCAAAAAAACAATCCAGTAGCTCAGTTTCCTAATTAAGAAAGAGACAGCGTAAATTAAGATTTTGGAAACAATTATCCAGCACTTGTTTAGCTACGGTATCTTCTCATTCTCTAATTAATTGATGCATTTCAAAGGAATTTTCAATTAAACATATGAACGGTCTTCGGACCAAATTCAGAATGAAAATGAGCCGTATGTCTCACAGGCGTGTGAATTAAAGTGGTTTCCAACAATGTTTTGTGTGACGGTCGTGTGATTACTTAATTAATATGTTAATATGTTGTTTGTATATCTGGAGTGTTGTAACGAAAATAATTTCCCCCTGGGATTATTAAAGTATTTCTAATTCTGATTCTGATTACAGCAACAAGTTCCTTATCTCCTGGAAAAGCTTATATTTTATTTTATTATTTGTAATAAAAATAACTTAAGAACTGTGACAATCCCACAGAATAATAATGCTGGAGAAACACAACTGATATAAATGTGCAAAAATGGCCTTTGAACTCAATCTAGGATTTTCTGATTAACAAAATAAAATGAATTAAAGCATGAGTTGAGTTTGCGACTGGTTTAAAAAAATAAAGATACAAATTAAAATTGATTATGGTGATGATTATTATTATAATTGAGAAATTCATCCTAGCAGCTAATGAGACAGCTTGATAATTACATTTGTAATTATGTAATCAAGAATTCAACAGCGTTTTCTTTCTTTCCTGTTTGGAGTGAGTCTGCCGGCTGATCCATAGCATGTAAATACACTTAAGACCATCGTCAATGTAGTTTTATTGTGCTGATTGTGCCTTATTATCTGCAAAATAGGAATCAAAAAGTATTCATTTCATGTGTCTTATTCTCTCTTTTTTGGCCCTTTTATCCACTTTTTTTTCTTCCTCCTCCTCTAGGTGATAGTGAAGAACCTCTCCACAGGAACGCGGGTGGTCCTGAAGTCCTATTACGGTTATGAGATAGAAGAAGTGAAGATCATGGGCAAAGATCGCTACCTGGTGGCTCACACCTCCGATACGCTTCTGCTGGGCGACCTGCTCACAAATAAACTGAGTGAGGTAGGACTTAAAGGGTCACCTCACCGAAATCACAAAAAAACAAACGTATATTCTCACTTTCTTTCAGTGATATCTAGTGTGGAGTTTATCTGCTGAGGTTTTGAATACGGATGTTCAAAGAAATTCCACATTAGACTAGTACAACTTGTCTGAAAGTAAGAAATCAAACAGAAAACTGTCCAAATGGACCACAATTTAAATCGATAAGTTTGTGTGTGATCAGAATCAGAATCAGAGTTTACAGCCTACATTTTCGTACAAACACTTCCAATCTGCGTTGTTTTTTTTCTTTGTCGTGTTGTTTTGTTTTGCTGTTGTCTTTATGTTCCTTTAGGTGTACGAGTATGTATCCCTTTGCCCTTGTGTAATTGACATTCAAGAAAATATAAATTATAATTATTATTATTATAACCAACTAGTATTCCTGGTGCCAACTAGAGAGCATTGACTAGATAACTAATCGTGCACATCTCTAGTTATGATATATCTGCCTCTGACATGTCTGCCTCCATCCTAAAAGCATTGAAAAATGTCATTTGGAAAAACGTGCCTTTGACGAAACCGTGTCCCAATTACTCTGAATAATCAGAGACTTCACTATGAACAAGTTCTGCAGTAGGTCCATTGAAAACAAGTTTGTGTCAGATCACACATACATGGTTTCCTTGTTTTTTCTGTCTCACAATAAATGGAAGTCGACTGTTCACTATGTATAATTTGCAGTAAGTGTTGCTCTAATGTTTAAATTGAAGCCTTTACTCTGCTGCCTCTCTCTTTAGGTGCCATGGCCCGGTTCTGGAGGAAATGAAAAGTTCTTCTTTGAAAATGAAACGGTGAGTACACGCAGTGTGTTTTTTGGCAACGTGAAGGTAATTATTAAGAAGGCAGTTGTGAGGGACATCTACCTGTTACGACACTACTTGCTATGGAGAGAAAGAACTGTGTAATATAATTATACTTCCGTTACAGCAGGAGTGTTACAGGTGTCGTCATGTCTTGTGTCTTACATTATATGGCTACCAGCTCCCATAACACTGCTCCCATTATAATTCACCCTACTGTGTTTTTATTGTATTTCAGGTGTGTATGATTTTTAATGCTGGGCGAGCTGAGCCTGGTGGAATACAGCAACAATGACATCCTGGGATCAGTCAGAACAGAATTTATGAACCCTCACCTCATCAGGTAGGTCTTATTAAGTTGGTTCAGTAACACCTCAACAGGTTTGTCTCGATCCAAAGAACCAACTGATTTGTATATATTGAGAGAATTGCTCATTTTACTGATCCATTGAATGTCAGAAGTGTTAAAATGCCAAATGAAGCTATTTTAACAGCCTAAATAACAAATGTGCAGTAAAAGGTTTCAGCAATGACTCAAATTACCTGACACAACTTTACAGGAATAATAAACCCCCAAATTGAATAAAGTCACAATTTAGCATTTTATAATAGCCATTTCTAAATATGTATTTACCAATTTCGTGTTGTTAAAACATAATTTACCTATTACTACTGTCTTTCTGACACAAGATATTATCTGCAACACTACAATTGGAAGGAGACTGTTAATTAAATACAATAAATGTTAATTTAAAAAAGTCTTTTATCCTCTGTATCATTTTTAATCTAAGTATAAACACCTAAAAATGCCAATTTAGCATAAACAGAGTTCCAATAAACTGCTCACACTTATGTCTTTGAATAAGTTTGACCGCCCTAATCATTCCTAATAAGCAGTTTCCCGCTCTGTCCATTAGATGGGTGTATTGAGCTGTGCAGAGACCCCAGATATCATTAAAGTGAGGCTTCAAGAGAGTCAGCGAGACTAGTCAGCAGGCAGCATCCATGTTAAAATATTCAGCCCTGTCAAAAGTGTCAGGACTGACAGTTCCCGGGTGACTGACTAATGGCCGACTGCTGTTGAGGCCAGCAGGTTTTCAGGATGCTCTGACTGCTCCTCGCCTCTGGCTGGACACTGTAGCATGACAACATCATGATCAGGGGTGTCCTGGGAATTCAAGTGTGATGAACAGCAGCTGAATTATCACGCTGAGCTGATGTCGGATTTAAAAACGTACATGTTGAAATGTTAAGTTCTGTTACTGTGACCAGTATTCTTTTACTAAAAGTGTGTTTGTGTGTGTGTGTGTGTGTGTGTGTGTGTGTGTTTTTGTTCGTGTAGCGTCCGACTCAATGAGAGGAAGCAGAGGGGAGTCGAAGACAACAAGAAGCTTGCATATCTGGTTGATATAAAGACCATTGCTATTGGTAAGACTGTGTGTTTGTGAAAGGAGAATTTGTGGATGGGAACATGACTATTGTAGCCTATTGTCTAATTAAAATTCTGAGTTAAGGTTTAACCTCCTGTAGTTTTCAGCTAAAATGTCTGATTTCTAATAATTTGTACTGATATTCAATCTTAAAGGTCCACTATTCTCTGACATAACATACTTAAAAACAAAGCTTTGGTGGTTTTACTGCTTTAAAGGTGCAGTGTGTGACGTTTAGGAGGATCTACTGGCAGATTTCATTGGTTTTATAATCACCTGAAAATAAGAATTTTGTTACCTTTTAAAATAAGCCGTTATTCTAAGGCGGGTCCTCTTCTGGCGGAGTCCGCCATGTTGAACCACCATGTGTCTACAGTAGCCCAGAAAGAAGAAGAATCGTGTTATGGCTGTTTGTGTTTTTCACGAGTTTCGTGGCCACCGTAGTTTCTCCTACATACTTCCTTAAATACCAAATGTGGTTTTAAATCTGCAATGGGTGACAAGTTTTTAATTCCACGCCAAGAATAGCTTGGTGAGTAACTTTGCAGTACCTGACCAAGTAATAGTGAGTCATCGGTTTCATCTACATCTGTTGCAGATTAACACGTTCATTTTGCACCGTGGGATTGTGAAATGTCTTTTAATTGGAGAACAGCTTCAGTCTGCAGCTTTTTGAGCACTGTAGGATTCTGATGATGCTGCCATTATCATTATTATAGACTGTATTATGATTACTCGCCATGATAATATTAAACTCCTGAACTGTCTACAACTATAATAATTGCAATCACATCAATTGAATTGTATCATTTCCATTGAGTGGACCACACTGACTGGATCGTATTACATTTTAATTAAAAAGTTGATGTACGTCTGATATATCTCCAGACTAATAATATCACCTTGATCCCAGTGCAGGTAAGTTTTTAAAGTAAAGAAACTGCTCACTCTGCCTGATGGAATCAATAATGATTATATAATGACTGGCTGGTTTCTAATCTTGAACTAAAGGCCAATTTTAGCCAGATACATTGTCACGTTAGCAGTCTGACTGCTGCTCAGTTAAGCTGTTTTTTTTTTACCTTCCCACCCCAGTGGACTTGGCCGGCGGCTACAATCTGGGAACCATCAGCCACGACTCCAAGATTGACTGGCTGGAGCTCAACGAGACCGGACGCAAACTGCTGTTCAGGGACAAGAAGCTACGGGTGAGAGTGAAACCTCAGCACCCTGAGGGATTGTAAGAGAGGAGAAACAACGGGAGAGAGGCCTAAAGGCAGAGAGGACAAATGATAGACAAGATGATGATTAGTAAAGTAGTAAAGTAAAGTAGAGGAATCTGCACCTCGTTTTGGGCCATGTCTAAAGTTATAGCCATGTCCATCACCCAAAATGTCTCTTGTCGCTTATTGTAGAGCCGTGTTGGTCGTCCAAGTGATGTGAAAGGAATTCAGAATAAATGTGGATGCACTTCACCACTGGGGTTAGAGAACTTTATTGCCAACCCATTCATATACAGGCACAGAGTGGGGACGAGATGTTGTTTCTGTGGGGCATTTAAAGGTTATATATGCAAGATTTTAACATTAATATATAACAGCAACAACTATTTGGCACGTGCATTAGTTAGTGTTTTCTCATCTACGTCGCTGAAGTAAGGATTTATTTCGTCCAAACCAGAGTTGGTGATTGTTGGAACAGTGGAAATACTAACAAAGATGGTTTTGTTGATTTCGTTTCACTTTGAGTGAAGTTACGATATTCTGTGAGGTGTTTTTTGTCCATGGAGTCTGTTTAAACAACAAGGATCTTACTCTTTATCTGGTCTGGTGAACCGCCCATTTGTTTCGGTCTAAGACGCTGGTTAGTGCGACAACTAGTGGCCACAAATGTCGTGTATAGAACCTTTAACATTTAAGCTGTGTGAAGAAGGTTGACGACGTAAGGTGCCAAAAGATAACAAGTGCAAAGAAATGATTGTTTATGTCCTGTAGTGCAGGACCAGGAGCCATGTAATATGCCTAAAGAAGTAACATGACCCAAAAATTGTCAACTATCATTCACCCAAAAATAGATAAATGTTTGTCTAGCGAAAATAGTTTTTTATCCCGTTAATTATGTTTCAACTCCGACAATACCCCCGGGTTGGGTTATGTTAAAATGGACCTAACTAAAGTTTTCAATTAAATAACTACATTTGTTACTCACATACATTGGTTGAATACTTAAAATCATAAAAGCTCCCTCACTTTATTCTTCGTTGTTCTGAAATGACCAAATACAGAGATGGAAAAAGAAATAACACTTTTCTAATAACGAAGAAATGTCAAGCAGATTAAAACCACCTCACCTGTGTTGTAGCCGAAACTGTTCAAACCCAACACAAAATCTTTTCTGGTGTTTTTTTTTCTTTTAAGTTTGAGCACACAGTAATAACGGAAAAGGCACAGCGTTGTGATTTTCGGCGATGCTCTTCATTTGTTTTCCTCCATTGATTTCAGTGGAGAAACGTACAATTCGCTTTCTCCACCCCAATACCAAATTAAAACAAACATTTATAAAAGCTCTCAGTTTTGTTCTGTTCTGTGCTCGGCGGTGCTGAGATTCACAGTCTGCGGGATGAGAGTGGCAGGGAGCTGTTGTCAGTTGTTGCCCCGGGGTAATGAAACAGTTTGATGTTCAAGCCCTGGGGGAGGGAGAGGGGGAGACATGGAGAACTCTGGTAATTGGAAATCCCTGAGTGGCTTCACATTTTTTTTGCTGCACTTGCATTGGCACATAAAGACATTTAAAGATTTTTTTAAATATAAATTAGTTTTTTTTTTCCCCAGGTACAAATGTAGAATGTTTTCAGCATGTGCAGAATTAACTTTACTGGGACAGGTTGTGAAATATTTATGTATGGGCACAAGTGACTTTGGTAAGAACTCCAATATGCAAAGGATGGAAAGTTTGAGGGTAATTAAAACCAGAAAAATCTCAAATCTGTCTCCCTGTTTTTAAACGCTGTAAAGTTTCGTGGTTCTCTTCAGATAGAAATCCTTACTTTAAACTGTTTCTTCTCCATGAAACCTAGTTAAAACTATATATTTTTTATTTGATCCACATGCTAGTAAATGCTCCTATTCATGTCACTACTCAGAAATTGTACCTTTAATTCAGTACTGATGGCGCATAAAGATTAGATGTGCAGCACCATGCCATCGGCCTATTGAACGGATATAGAAATGCAACTGAACATACTCAACAGACTGAAAAAGATTTATATTATTTCACATTTTGGGTTATTCACGTTCATAGCACGTATTCATTGCACTTCCCATCAGTAAGAAATCATAAAAAGTCAAGTTGTGTAACAAATGTTTCTTTAATTGAAACTTGCTTTCAAGTGAACTTATCAACAGGCTGCTCTTCCTCATTGCATTAAAACTTGGCCAGCTGAGCCCCAGGGTGAAACTATAGCTGGAGCATTATTAAAAATGGTGGTGGTGGTGGTCGGGGGGGGATATTAAGGTAGCTGATTACAACAGCGGGCCGTCTCTCATACACTCCCCATACATATTAAGTGCTTGGGGAGCCACTGTAGCTTATAGAATATACATAATCTCAGCTCATCAGAGTAGAATAGATTGCTACTGTGAGTATTCATATGGAGCTGGTGGAAGCTAATCAACTTTGTTTGAGCCAAATGAGTTAAGCAATGTAAACTTCAACTTTCAGAGAGAGGGAATTGGTAAATGTATATAATAATCTCTGGGTTTACTACTAAACAAAATCAGCCTACATTAACAAGAAGAAACATAGTCGAATACTTCCATCTTGATATAGTTATCTTTCTATAATATTTTTGGACATTTTTGCACGTTTTCTTGCCGAGAAAATTGTTTGTTTGTTGGATTGTTTCGTCAGTGGACTGTGCTGCAGGAGGAGTTTCAGTCAGACCTGTAGCAAACACTGTCACTACTGCAGCAACAGCAGCTCATCAGCTCAAAATGGGACAATCTCGATTTTAGCTAAAGCTTAAATCAACTTAAATGAATGAATCATCTTTAATTAGTTAATCTATGCATCAATTGTATGCCACTTATCTGGGTCTGAGTGGCAAATTAGTTGTATCATTGGACATTATTGCCGCATACTGCCGGGAAGTACTGAAAAAACAAGCTATAGAATATAAATAATTGTAGACCATATTGCCCCCAGCCATTCTTAAATTTAACTCTATAAAGGGGAAACAGCTCGTCTGACTGTATCCAACAACATCAGCTGTTTGTACAGACATAACAAACAAGAAATGTTATTTAGTAAGCTTTAGAGGGGCTGGTAAGAGGATTTTCAGGCCAGGCTAGCTGTTTCCCCCTGTTTCCAGTCTTTGTGCTAAGCTAAGCTAACTGACTCCTGCTTCATATTGAATAGACAAATACAGAATGAGATTGGTATCGATCTTCTCATCTAACTCTCAGCAGGAAAACAAATTCCCCTGATAACTTCAGACCAACGTTGATGATGAAATTAAATTATGAAAGTGAGATTTTCTTTATCTCCCTCTCCTTCCCCCTCAGCTCCATCTGTATGATATAGAGAGCGGCGTGAAGGCCACGGTGCTGAGTTTCTGCTCCTATGTCCAATGGGTGCCGGGCAGTGACGTGGTGGTCGCCCAAAACAGAGGAAACCTCTGCATCTGGTACAGTATCGACAGCCCAGAGAGCATCACCATGTTCCCAATCAAGGTGAGTCTTTGTCCTCTTTGATTGTGTGAGTCAGGTTACATATGTACATGACTTAAAGGGTTATTAAGTATATGATTTCACAGTTAAACAGGTTATCTGTCAGATAATAATTAGGTAATTAATTGGTAGATAGGTAGATAATTGTTTTTCACAGGCTGAGTAGTTCTCCTTATGTTGAGTAAACTGACATCAATGTGCAAAATCGATGGATTTCCCCTCAAATAAAAGCAAGAGTTTCCACCTCTGGCCCATTCATTGCAGTTATTCCACTAGGTTTGCAGGTTTTTTAAAAATAGTTTCCTGTTTTTATACCCAAACCACTTGCTTTACTTTTACTTTCCTCAAGCGCTGTGTCTCCTTGTGAAGCCGACTGAGCGAGTGTTTTTAATGCTGCTGTCCTGGAGCAGTTACTTGCTCTCGGCAAACACAAGTTTTTAAAAACTTGCTTGTGGAACACTCACTGATGTTCTTATTAATAATAAAAAACGAGAGAGCAGAGAGAGCCAGACGGTCTAATGTGCTGACAAATAACAGATAGATAATGGATAAATTATTGCTGCTGTCCACATTATGTGTGGCCCATGTTTTTCATCTGTATACAGATTCTTAACTTAAACATACTACAAGGAGTTTTTAAGTGGTTATGAAACAGTCTCCGTTTAATACTGATGCCTCTATTTGATCCACATAAACAAACAAGACTGTCAGAGAGAAGATTGGCTGTTTCTATATAGTTTAACTCAGCACTGCAACGTCTGCCACCGGGTCAGATTTGGTCTGATTCCCCTCAAATTAAGATAAAACGAGGTGGTAGAAACACTGCCACGTTCAAAATGAAGTGTCTTGTTGCTGCTTTAAGTAAAAGTAGTAATACCACACTGTAAAAACACAGTACAAGTAAAAGTTCTGCATTCAGAATGTTACTTAGCCAAAAGTAATGTCATCAAAATGTAAATGTTATATAACTATAAACTACTACATATATTGATTATTATTGCTGATACGTAAAGGTGTAAGCAACATTTTACTGTTGTAGTTGGTTGAGGTGGAACTAATTTTAACTATGTTATAGTCCGTTGGGTAGTTCATTCAGTGCATGATGATCATATCTTCTGTATGTCAAATCTTTACCTGTAAAGTAATTGGTACTATAGCTGTTGTAGAGTTCAATACGTACAAAAGTACAATATTTCCCTCTGAACTGTAATGAAATAAAAGTATAAAGTGATGGAAATAATACCTCAAATTTTAGCTCAAGTGCAGTAAATGTACTCGGGTTTATTCCACCACTGGAGCATCTCTAATTCAGGTTTAACCTCTCTTTGTCAGGGAGACATCGTGGATCTAGAAAGGGCTGATGGGAAGACAGATGTGATCGTGACGGAGGGTGTCAACACTGTGACGTACACACTGGACGAAGGCCTCATCGAGTTTGGTACCGCCGTGGACGACGGGGATTACGACAGGTGAGCGTAGCCTCTCGCAGATTGGCCCGTCACTGTCATTATCGTCGAGTTGAACATCCATCCGGCCTTCCGACTACTCGCTGCTTTTCTGGGTCGGAGTCACAGTGACAGCAGGGCGAGAAAGAACAGGCCAGATGTCCTTTTATCCAGCAGCTTCCTCCAGCTCTTCTCGAGGGTTTCCTCAGAGCTCCAAGGCCAGCTGGGAGATATAATCTGTGCGTCGTGATTTGAGCACCTCCAAAATGATGCCTCCTTATCAGATGCTGTGACTGACCTCTCTCAGTGTGGAGGAGCAGCAGCTGAACTCTTCACTGTGGCTCTGAACTGCCACCTTTCAGAGGGTGTTGGTGACTCGTACTTGTCTTTCTGATAAGAGGGTTGACTGTGGTTGAGACAGCGTATCTGGAAGCTGTGAAAAAGCTTTTAATTTAGTATTAAAAAGTCTTAAATTTAGTTTTCAAAAGTCTATTTTTCTCTCGCCCAGGCAGCAGTGTCAGTGGAAATATTTTTGTATCTGATTGGAGTCTGTTGGGAGACGATTTACATCTATAAACTAAAAGTTGGATTATTTCTACAGTCCACTGTGCTGCAAGCGGCTGTTCAGTTCTTTTGTATTATGTCATACCGAAAGCAAACACCGTTGCTTACTTAAATTAATTAGTTATTTATTTAGTTATAATTTCAATAAATCCATCCATCCATTAAATTGATTAATCCGCCCAGCCATTTTCTGCTGCTTAGCCAGGTCCAGGACACATATCATTTGATTACATATGTATATATTTTGTTTTATTTATATATTATCATATATATTGAAAAAAGTGTTGGTTTTCCATCACACTTTCACACTTTTGCACAAGTTGCAGAGGTATGGAAAAGTAAAAGTAAATTTAACTTTGTGGACCCCACAGAAAGCCTGCGAGAGGACGAAGGATTACAGATAAAGCGAGAGCGTTGATTGTGACTCAATTGTCTCTTTACAGGGTTTCTATTCTTTAAAATTCTGTCGATGCCACAAAAACACTTTGCCGCTACCTCGAGGGCAAAGTGTCAAACCTGCCACTGACTGTTGAATAAAACCAAGTGTCTCCAACATTTACACAACCCTGCTGCTGTTCTCATACTGCCTCTGCAACACACAATACCAGTGACACTGTTTGTTGTGTCATATTGTGCATTATGGTCTGAATTGCTTCCTGATTGTAAATTACTGTATTTACTTCTCTGTGTGTGTGTGTGTGTGTGTGTGTGTGTGTGTGTGTGTGTGTGTGTGTGTGTGTGTGTGTGTGTGTGTGTGTGTGTGTGTGTGTGTGTGTATTTTATGTGCTGACAGAGCCACAGCATTCCTTGAGACTCTGGAGATGTCACCAGAGACTGAAGCCATGTGGAAGACGCTCAGCAAGCTGGCTCTAGAGGCTCACCAGCTGCACATCGCGGAAAGGTCAGCGAGACACACACACACACACACACACACACACACACACACACACACACACGCACACACACACACATACGCAAAACCTTGCAAGCTAATATTTGTGTCTCTGAAATAATTACATTCTGTATCAGTCATCATTGTAACTGAGACTTACCTTTGTGACTGAAGAGGAAACATCAAGGACACCCTGGTCACCTAGAGTGAAAAAGCACACTTTTGGACATACACACACTCACACACTCACACACACACACACACACACACTCACTGTAGATGACTGTGTGTCCCAGCATGACTTCCCTCTCTAACTTCATTAATCATCAAAGATTTCTAATTTTCTATCATAAGCATTTTTCTCTCTCTCTGTCTCTCTGTCTCTCTCTCTCTCTCTCTCTCTCTCTCTCCTTCTATCTTTTATTTCTCTGTGTTTTGAGAAAACTTTTCAAATTTGAATTCTCTGTCATTAATAATGCATATGCTGTTCGTTAGGCATCGGCTTGATTTGCATAAATCATGAAATCGGGGAAAGAAACGGTTTTGTCTGGAGTGGGTAATGTTAATGAGGGAGGGAAGCGAGAAAGAGTCAGACAGAAGGAGGGGTTTTTTTTTTTCTTCTTTTTAACTTTTTTTTTCTTTCATGACTTGTTCATTAATCTGATGCAACTGTTCAGAGGGAGTTGGTAATAAAGTGGCCAAATGCTAAGATGTGCTTTTTCATTTCTTAGCCCCTCAGACTGCAGTGTATCTAAAGGCTAATTAGACAAAAGCTCTAATTTATCTCCGTGAACAGATATTCAGAGCTTTGACCAGCCGCTGTTACCTTCTAACTTCGTCTCAACTTAATATTTCTTGTCTTTGTGTTTCCTTCTTTTTGTGTACTCGCTCACTCTTTCTTTCCCGTTTTCTTTTCCAGGTGTTTCGCTGCGTTAGGGGACGTCTCGACTGTACGTTTCCTCCACCAAACGAACCAGATTGCCGACAAAGTTTCACAGGAAATGGTGTGTTTCATGTCAGCACAGATACAACAGTACAGTACATCTGCACACTGACCATTAAAGAGTATTGAGGGCGGTGCTGGTTAGCGATGCTCTGATACTATTTTCCTTTCTGATACCTGAACTTTGTGTATCGGCCGATTCTGTGCACCGATCCGATACATGTGCATTGAAAGAAAAATATATATTCATTATTTTTTAACATGGGTATACTACTAAGCCTGTATGATTGTTAGCATTGTTGTATGGCCCAATTCAGGTTAAACCCTAACATCAGAGTAGGTCATGAATCAAGAATGGCAAACGGGACACTACTGGAAGTAGCAGGGTCCCGTTTTGGGGCTAATAAATTACGGGGCGATACCCAGTACCACATTTTAGGCAGTATTGGAGGAATACTCTGGTGCTAATATTGTTGGATTAACTACACTGATACTCATCAGCTGTAAATTTGGATGTTTTGACACCACAAAATCTGAATAATTATTATATATTTGCTTTAAAGATTTATGCTTCTCGTGGCTGAAATGAAGTGAAATGAATGAATGTGTGTGTGTGTGTGTCTGTTTTGACCAGGGAGGAGATGGAACTGCCTTTTTCCAAGTCCAAGCCCATGTGGCCATGCTGGATAAGAACTTTAAACTGGCTGAGATGCACTACATGGAGCAGGTTGGTGACTCACCCCGTTCTCCCTCATACAACCAAACCTTGTGTAGACACTCGCTTACAGAAGCTTTATTCTGTTTGTCACAATGCAACATTTTAAATCAGCCTTTTCACTCTATAGTATGTAGAACTGAACCACACGTCCCGGCATTTGAACGGTCTTCATTATCTTCTTTCTATCTGTATATCTACGCCGGTAACCATATCTGTAATTATATAATCCTTCTGCAGAATGCCATTGATGAAGCTATAGAGATGTACCAGGAGCTCCACATGTGGGACGACTGCATTGCAGTGGCTGAAGCCAAGGTAATAATGAACAGACCAAATTTTTGCCTAACCCCTTTGCATTTTATCCCGAGGGAGCTTTTGTTCTCGCTGTCTGTTGTTGCATACTGTAACCTTTTCTGTGGTGCAGCCATTTAGCCAGGGTTGTCTGGGTCTCAACAGTTAGATAAATCTTGAATAGGCGACTTTCTCCCTCATTTCCGTGCAACGATTCTTATTGGACTCAATAGATCCCCCAGCGTGATCAAGGACGAGTCTCATTACACAATGAGCACATGCTGCATCATTAGTCAGGCAAATTACTGACTTGAATGTGGGAACTGTAAAGTGGCCTTTTGTAAGTCCTCTGTTGGACAGATGTCTTTTTCTGTTCAAGGAGTGAGTAACTCCTTACTAACTGATCAAAATGAATCATGCATGGGATCGTTTTAAACTCAGCTTTAAGAGGGATCCGTCATGTAGTCATGAATGATTCTTCTTTATGCTTTGTGTCGTGTACTTCTTTAAAGGCCCATCTTAGAGCGGGCACTGCAAGCTAGAGTATGCTATAAATACTGTAGTGGCATTGTCCCAGGTGTGTCCCTATAAAAATAAACCTGAAATAAAAAAAGAAACATTTAGCAATTTGACAACAACACAAACAAACAAATTCAACTTTTGGTGCTATTCACAAAAACACAGTGTGTGTATCCTTGAGGTCTAACAAACGTGTCAGGTGAATTTCCTTCCTCTAAAACATTTGCAAAGCCGATTGTGAAGTTTTTTTAAATCCTCCATTGTGGACGTTCATCTTGGCGCTCTGCAGCATATCTTGGCGTGTTACCGCCACGTGTTGATCAGCGGAATATAGTGTGAAACTATTACTAGGAAACTACTGTATATGCATGTACAAGAGAAACAAAACAGGGAAAAAACAGCTTAATTGTGCTTCTAGAGGTCTAAAACTCAACAAGGAACCTTTAACTGCAACTGATTAAAATAAGGTTTCAACTAATGATTAATCTGTTGTTTATATCTTCTTGGAGCCCAAGCTAACATCTTCAAACTGCTTATTTCCAATTAACAGTCCAAATCCAAATATATTCAATGAACAATTATACTATAAAACATTGAAAATCAAAGTGAAAATCCTTCATTTAAAGATTAATAGATTATTTAAATATTTTTTATTAATTATTAATATAAATTTGAACCTACGTCTAACTTAGAAACAACCCCACTCTCTATAAATGACCGTAGGGCCACCCGGAGCTGGACAGCCTGCGTGCGAACTATTACCAGTGGTTAACGGAGACGGGTCAGGACGAGAAGGCCGGTGAGGTGAAGGAGAACGAGGGAGACTTCCAGGGCGCCATCAACCTCTACCTGAAGGCCGGACTACCAGCTAAAGCCGCCCGGCTGGCCATCGGCCACCCGGAGATCACCAACAACAGCGACACTGTCAGCCGCATCGCCGCCAGTCTCATCAAGGGAGAGTTTTATGAGAGGGTGAGTGTCTTTATGGTGCATTCTCTGGCTCTTGTTTATTGTGGAACTGATCACAGCTGGTACAGGTAACCTATAATGGTAAATCTCCTCCATTCCTCCTTTACTTTAACTGTTTTTCAGACACCTCATCTCCCTCTCTTCTCCGAACAGATGCCAGGAGAGGAGAGCTATCAACATTTTTCTTTGTTTATTCAGTTTTACACTCTGTCTCCCTCCATCTGTCTGTTATTTCCCTGTGTCTCTTACTGTAGCTGTTTGTCTGAGAACTCAATTCTTCTCCTCTAGCCATCTGTGTTTACGTAACAGGTGGGAAAGAGGGAACGAAACCTCAGATCCGATTTTGTTGCTGTATCCTGATGGTGTTTTTTAGGTGTTTTTGAAGGTCGAAACGGATGCTGGCAACGTGTGATTTTTAACTTGCTGTAGCCAATATGTCCTGTTCACATTCAGTATATTTTGTGTACTTTGCAAAGATTGTGTGTTGTGCAGTTTGTTGTTGACGGGTTAGAAAAGCCACTGAATTAACATTTAAACCAGCGGAAAAGAAAACTCTTTGCTGAAACAACTTTTAAAGAAGCTGGGGTGGGTTTTTTCTGGACAAGCATCCTGATAAAAGAAGTAGTAAAAGGAAGAAATAGTTAGATAAGTAGAAATGATGATGGAGAGGAACCACTGCAGAGGTACATAATGGAGAAAAATGAGAAATAAATGTCCCAAAATGGATACTACAGATTCATGCAGATTATTGTGCTTTGGAAAAAGTATTCCTCTGGTCAAGTATCTCATACAGGATTTGTGCTTATAGGTAGGTTATAGGTTGTTTGTTGAAATATCACACTACAGAGGAATACACTGTTCCCAACCACTAACAGTCGTAAGGCATGTCCACATGCTTTTGTCCATTTAGGTAACATTCCCAACAACCCTGAACAACCCTGACTCAGCATATTGGATTTTCCTAATGTGTGAATTTGTCTTAATGCACTGATATTTTCTGCGTCCTCTGACCAGGCAGGAGATCTGTACGAGAGGATCAGAAACAACCAGAGAGCTTTGGAGTGCTTCTGCAAAGGAGGAGCCTTCAGGAAAGGTAAATCAGCGACATGGAGATGACACTTAACCTGTATTATAGATAAAAATGTGTCCGTTTGGTGATTTTAAATTACGCTAGCTTCACATGACTTTAGGGGATGCAGTGTTGGTTGATTGGTGGGTCAATCTACCACTTATATCTCCAAGAGGATGAGCCTGTGCTTTTTCTTCCAGCGCCAGCAGAGGTTGACATTTGTGGTTCTGAGTGAAATGTCTCAACAGCTGTTGGATGGATTTCCATTAAATTTGCTACACACATTCAAGCCCCCCATCAGGATAAATTACAATTACTTTGGTGGTTCTCTGATTTTTCATGTAGTAGAACCACAGAACCAATAACTCAGCTTTACTTTGTGTTATTGCTAATTAGTAAAAGTGTGGACTCTAGTCACATGACTCTAGATGGTGGACAACAGGTGGATGTATGTGGTTGAGTTAAGTGTAGGTATACAGTAGATTTTATCAAGTTTCTCCTTCCTGCTTCCTGTAGCGGTGGAGCTGGCTCGCCTCGCCTTCCCTGCCGAGGTGGTGAAACTGGAGGAGTCCTGGGGAGACTACCTCGTCCAGCAGAAACAGATGGACGCCGCCATCAACCACTTCATTGAAGCAGGGTATGTAGAGTAGAGGAGTGAAGAGAGACAAAGATTTGGGCAGATGGAGAGGAGGAAAGAGGACACGTAATAAAACAATCCAACAGAGATGGCCAATAGTTCTTTAAATCGTTACCAGCACCATAACAGAGGGATGAGAAGAGATATCTTTTAAACATTATTTTAATTTCCCAAAAATACCAAGTAAAGGCAGGTAATCAGCGCCCAGATTTTTATTCTTTCCAGGTTGAAAAAGCATTTGAAACTGAATTTTGACTGTAGGAAGCTAAAACTCACCACAATAACAAAGGTTTTAAAAATACTACTTCCACTTCATAATTGCTTCTGCCAGTAAAGTTTCAATCTGCACCAAAGTCCTTACAAAATAATTCGTTTTTACTTAAATCCTAACCAAAGTTAATTTACTTTGAATGTGGCTGTCAGTCCATTTTGTCCTTCTGTCAACCAAGATTTGGTGGAGCGACATCGTTAGTGTCTACACACATAATCTACATTTCAGAGTCGATGCTTATTTCATGATATTTTAGGGAAACACTCGCATACAAACATACTAAAGTCAGTTTGTTGTTTCCCCATCTCAGCTGCTCACTTAAAGCCATCGAGGCGGCCATCGCAGCTCGTCAGTGGAAGAAAGCCGTCCACATCCTGGAGTTACAGGAGGATTCATCAGCAGGGAAATACTACGTGAAGATAGCTCAGTACTACGCCGCCATGCAGGACTATGAGGTGAGAGAGGAGGGACGGTGTTCTCGAGGGGAGTTAAATATGGAAGAAAAAAGGAGAAGAAGGAGAAGAAATGTTAAGGGGAGGGGGTTTAGACAGTTGACCCATGACCTCCCTTTGATAATAGCTACACATGGTATCTTCGTGCATTGATGTGTTTTAAAATAACCAGTTAAATGTTCTCTGTAACCAAAGTAACAGGCCTTTGTTTACTGGGAGGCAACAGATATTTATTATACCTGTGGTAGTTTAACAGATCAGCTCAGTTGATCACAGTGCGGTTTAACAGTGGCTCTCAAACCTTTTTGGTATCAGGGACCCTTCAAACACAATCATTATTATAATCAGTTACAATGACCCTTAAAGGAATGATAACAGCAGGTTGAACAAAACCTTCACTATAATTTCAAAAATTATTGTGTCCTATATTTTTAAATAACACGAATATGGTAGGATGTTTTTTAAAATAACACAGTAGAATTCACTGTAGATAAGCAAATATACACAGTATCGGTATACCACTGCAACCCTAGTAATGATGAACCAACTGGGAATTATTATTACATCAGCTCTGCAGTTCCAGTCAGCTCTATGGAGAGATTCAGCATCTTTCAGCTCATTGTTTTGGTTTTATGGCCCTCAACTTTTCTGTTTTGGTTCCAGCAGCAGGGGCAGCTGTTTACTGTAAAGAAAGTTCTGATGACCAATTGTACACTACATGAACACTGTGGAGCATTTAGCTGCCAAAGAGCCAGATATCTGTCTCAGGTGTAGAAAAACAGAGCTGAAAGGGAGTGAAAGTTGGATTCTGTTCGTCTGTGTGACGTCTCATGTGTCCGCTGGATCTTTAAATTGGCCACAGATTTCTAAGATTTTTAATAATATGTCCATAAATGGTGAGTATGTTATTCACTATGAATTATATTATATACTTACCTCATAGAAATTCTCTATGTGGCAGCCTTAAAGCCGGTACATTTGGCTTTGTGGTTAGGTGAGCACCGGAGGTTTTTCTCCTTGAACACCACAGCAGACAGTGAGATGGAGGCAGCCAGAGGGAAAAGGTGACATTTTGCCACCGGCAGTTACTTCCTGCACATCGCTCAGGGATACATACTGTCACCCATAACACACCCGTATACACACACACACACACGTGCACACACACACACACACACACAAACACACACACACACAACCTTGCACACGTACACAAACTTTAGTTCAGTCTCCATGGAGCCGTGTGGGCTGTGATTGCTCGAGGGTGCTTTGGCAATAATGACAAGTTGGACTGTTGTAACAATAGTTGCCTAAATACCAGAAATACAGGGCTGCTGAAAAGGAGAAGAGAAATCCGGTGTAAATACAAAGAAGAGAGAAAAAGAAGAGAGAGATGATGATGGTGAAGCGCAGCGTGCTCTGCTTATTCTGATGAGCTCAGCTGAGCCAAACAGCCTCCACAGACTGCCAGCCTCTGAAAATAGCAGGCCATTTCAGTCTGTTTGCTCTGTGGGCATATTCACAGAAAGTAATTAAGATAACAAGCTCTTTGCTTTCCAACTTGTGGAAGTTGCAGGAAAAGTATAATTCAGTGCAAACTCAAACAATGAAGGAGGCCCACACCTGTGATTTCAATGCAGAAATTATCAGGGGAAAAAAAACAATGACTAAACGTTTTTTTTTTAATCAGAGCGGACGATTAACCGGCACATACATTTGCATTGATGCCAGTGTTAGTTCAGGTTCAATGGAATATAGCTTTTGGCTTTATGTAGGAAAAATCTATTCAAATTGAAGTAGCGGATGCTTTCCTTTTCCTTCTCTACAATCTCTCACTCCAGCAGCTCACATTACTCTGTATGAGGTTATTAGTGCTGAACAAGTGTTTTTGTGTTCTCTTTACCCCGCAGGAACGCCATTTTTATATATTAATGTGCCGTGTATATGCCAGTTGAGAAGTGTGCGCTCCAAAATAATGTGAAATATGCGCTTTTATGTAGAGGACTGATGATGTTCAGATTATATTTGATGTTTTCTGTATGTATGTTTGTGTGTAATTTGTGTGTTGTAGGTGGCAGAGCAACTGTTTGTGAAAGGAGGTCATATCAAAGATGCTATAGACATGTACACCACAGCAGGACGCTGGGAGGAGGCTCATAAGGTTGGTATGGAGGCAAACTACAGAAAGAAGTGTGAAAAATATAGAGAGATAGATTAATATGCATTTTTGTGGCAAATTAAACTTTCCCCTAATATAATACTAGACGAGCTGAAGGCTCCGTTTTTTATTTATTCCCTTTTTCCTAATCTTGTCTAACCAGCATAGTCTCAGTTATAAACATAGTAATGCACATTTGATCCCAAAGTACGTCACACTGAATGATAATCAGCACTACATTCGATTACTTTTTAAAAAGAAAAATACCAACCTCGGAAACAGAGAAATTAAATTAAGCCATTGTGATTGTTTGCAGTTGGCGGTGAAGTGTATGACAGAGGAGGAAGTTATGGCTCTGTACATCAGCAGAGCTCAGGAGCTGGAGAGAGATGGGAAATTCAAGGAGGCTGAGCGGTAAATGGAGATCACTTTATTTATAGTAATTTGTCGCATCACTGGCTCTTGGAAGCATGGAAAATGGAGTGAGGCGAACTAACATGACTGTGTTTGAAGTCATCTCTCACCTAAATTACAGCTAGAAAAAATGATAAAAACAGTATTTGACTGTTGACAGGTGGTTATTTCAGAGCCTGTTTTGACTCGGCTGTCTGCTCATTTCTCTCTAGACTGATTTAAGTCTTGTTAAAAGTCCTCTCTTACTTTTTGGACTTAAGGAAAACAATTACTAATGGTTGCCTGGGTGTGCGTAGGTTGTTTGCCACGGTGAAGCAGCCTGACCTCGCCATAACCATGTACAAGAAGAACCGGATGTTCGATGATGTCATCCGCCTGGTGGCCAAACATCATCCCGACTTGCTGTCAGAGACCCACCTGCACCTGGCCAAGGTAAGGCTATGCAGTTAATCCCGCCCTCAAAGCTTTAATTGGTCGACCAGGCCGTCAATAGGCACCACATCAGTGATTAAGAGGTCAGGAACGGGGCTATACATTAAAGGCTCATCATTTGAATATTTAGATTACATCTAATTATTTTCAAATACATTTTCAGACAGTTTACTTACAGACATCAACATCCTAGTGGCTGACATAAGATGTGGTGAGTGGCAGAAGGACTGAAGAAGTGTCATTACTACACTGTTCAGCATCTTTATCAGCAAAGACGTGCTAAATTTTGCCCTAGAGTCTGAGTTGCCCCTCTGGAGGGGAACATTTATTTTTGCTACTTGGGCTGCACAAATACTCAAGCATCATTCAATATTGGCTTCTGTAATGCCATCACATAAACCAAATGATCTTTTTCACAGCAAATAGTAGGTAAACACCAGGTGTTACCGATGGTACTAATTAAGGTTCCGTTCCATTTAGTGTAGCAGAGCTTTCCCAGTGAGCCGACATGCACTGTAGGCTCGTTCGAGACGAGCCAGGCCTGCACAGAATCAATGGCCGGCAATCGCAGCGCAGTGCATGCTGGTCAGATATGTGTCGGACTTGATGCCAGTGTACTCTGACGTCATGCATACGTGGGCAACAATAACCGCACAAGATCGAGGCGGCCGCAGTTGTTTGCGAAACACCTGGCTGCGGCCTGATTGAAGAGCTTAGTTTGACCACAAACGTCACGTTGTGTGAAAAAGATTGTAATATTTAATGCTCATTGTAGGCTATTAGTTTCATGTTATGCAATGAAGGTTTAATCTTTTAACAAATGTATCTTGTGGGGTTGATAATAATAACAGTAAAGTTAAATATAGACCCTAACATTGTCTGCAAAGTACAGGTAGCTTACAGTTCTGTGACTTCCTGTATATTTATTTGTTGAAGGCTGAATGGAACAGAGCTTTAATTAGTATAATTGGAAACACCTCGGTTTACCTACTATTTCATGTTGAAATGTGAAAAATATCTATCTTAGCTGGCTGGCCACCCCTTGCACATCCTATTTTCATCAGCAATATTCAGACAGCAGTCGACGAGGTTTCCCACCTGAAACGCTCTCACAGGCGCAGATAACGCTCCAGTTATAACTTGGTGTGATTTCGTTATGATGGCAGGAAGCGAGACCGTTCTGTGTTGCTTATGTAACGGCAGACAAACGAGTGTGTTCACAGTTTTGTGGTTGTCCGATTATCTTGTGAGAATTGCCCCGCGGTGCTTTGAACACAATTATTTGGGAACGTCTTTAAAAGGAGAATTTGGTCTGAATTCTTAAAGTTTTAAAGCTCATGCCCATGAATTAGTTTTGTCCTGATATGGTCGCTCTGAGACTTTAAGTCTCCAGAGAGTTTCGGCAAAGAAGATTCTGAAGAATTCCAATGAAGTTTCATCATTAAGTGGTTTTACTTGCTTTTGTCAGCAGTTTTCCCTTTTTGCTGTCTCAAACTGAGAAAAAGGATTGCATAAGGGACATTAATTGTACTTTAATGATCATATTCTAACTCAAACACTCATGTGCTTTAATCAGTTTTCTATAGATGATCAATGCTGGATCGTACTGTTCTGTGAGTCCTTTCTGTACCTGATATATGTGTTATGTTAAATATGTATGACCTAAATGTTTCTTGTAGGAGTTGGAGGCTGAATCCAGATTCTCAGAGGCAGAGTACCACTTCATGGAGGCTGAAGAGTGGAAATCTGCGGTCCACATGTACAGAGTCAATGATATGTGGGAGGATGCATACAGGGTAGATACAGCCACTTTTGTTTTGTTTGCTTTGCAAGCTGTTAATCCCATTAAATTTGCAAGATATTAAGTGTGTTCTCCAAATGTGTGAACTGTAGTTGTACATTTTTAAAGCCTGAAACATCATTCGACACAACAAAATTACAGTCATTCTCTATCCACCTTTGACTTGTTGCTGGGGAAAAGTAAATAACACCACTGACAGCTGTTCAAGAGACCCCTGTACTTAATATTACGAATAAATATCACAAAATACAAACAGTAAAGTGAAGTTAGACACACAGTTACTTCTCAGTGACTTAAAAGATGTTGAATGTTGGTTAAACGTATGTGTTTAAAGGACTTTTCCAACACCTAAAGATTGCTTTAATCACATAAAAGACACATAATTTAAACTTTTACAATCGCTATACTGTACTAATTTCTGTAGAAAATATTATTTTACCTGAATTGATGAGTCTAAATTGTATTTACCTTTTAAATTATCAATATTTGACATTTCTCACCAGTGTGGTGCTTAATTTTATTAGTTTAATAGCAAACACTTAACTTTATAGCGTTTATAAGAAGTATACAGACATTTTAAAAAATGGTTTATAATACTCTATTAATGTAATCGAATGCAGATTTAAGTGTTTATTAAAGTGTTCATCAACAACTATAACACTCATAAGTGGAGGCTGCTATAAAAAAAAGATGAATGATAATACATCCAATAATAATATAATATATATAAAATGTCTTTTAGGGAGAAGTAATATAATAATTGCTGACAAAGACTGTACATTAATATACATATATTATATAAAATATGCTCTTATAGCTGTGTATAACTACATTTTAGTGTTATAAACAATTTATTATATGTTTATGTACTGCTTATAGACGCTTAATTGGAGGATGTAAAGCAAATTATTATTGTTTACTGACTTATAGACTTGTGTGTAGGCAAGTGTGTGCTTCCCTGTTGACAATGTTTATCGCTGCTGTTGTGTTGTGAGCAACTTTATAGCTTCTATCAGATGTATTTCTCTGGGATTATCTGCAACAAGGGAAACTGCTGCAGGACTCCTACAGAGATATTTATTCACACATATATTTCTATGTGTGTCAGGTGGCTAAGAACCATGGAGGTGCTGGAGCCCAGAAGCAGGTGGCCTACCTGTGGGCCAGGAGCCTGGGAGGAGAGGCGGCCGTCAAGCTGCTCAACAAGTTCGGCCTCCTGGAATACGCCATCGAGTCTGCTTTAGATAACTTGTGAGCTGCACCACAACACTTGAATGCAACATACACTGCAATTAATTTACTCACATCTTCAGTCAAATGTGACCTGTGTCTTTTATTGTGTTGGCGAGGAGCTCCCAGCGTTTAACTGTTTACTTGGGATGCGATCTAATACGCTCTTGTGTTTAATTTGTCCATGCTTTTGTTGAATTGATTTGTTGAATCTGTGGTTATTTCTTTAACTGTCTAGGCATCCAAAAATCATCTTCAGTTCTTTAAGAGTTGAAAACAAACTCTCCGCAGGGGTCTAGTTCAGCCTGAAATCTGATATTTCTGTAAGAAACATACCCACCCACGCAGCCATGGGACTGTTTATTTTGATTGAGGTGTTTATGTGGAGCAGTTTTATTCTGTTTGTGCTTTTAAAACTGACTATAATCTGAACATTAGGCTTCATGTGAACGTAGATAATAAATCACTGAAAAGAAGTGTGAACCGCTGTGAAGTTTCTGGGCTAAATGCAGTATATGAAGAGGGCTCTTTGGACCAAAACACAAACCATCCACCCATCCAAGCAAATATTTATCCTGCAGTCAGTTATTGTATTGACTTCCTCTTTATTTGCTCCACAGCTCATTTGACTTCGCCTTTGATTTGGCTCGACTTTCCTGCAAGGAAAAGATTCCTGAGATCCACTTCAAACATGCCATGTACCTGGAGGATGAGGTAAATCTGTCACCGTCCTGCTGCACAAAGTTACCAGTAATCTGCTGTTCATACTGCTACATAATATACATCAATAAAACCACAGTGGTTGTTTTATTTGACCTCTATAAAGTCATCTCAAGAAGCTATGAATAGTTGTAGCGGTAGTCTCAAAGGAACACCCAGATTGGGTCTTATCTTCACACTTCTCTCCATCAGCTTTGAATGGTCAAAACTTTTAGCTTGTTAAGCTTGTAAAAATATGAATTTTCCTTAAGTTGGCTTACATTCTCATATGTGACTGGTATCTGAATGTAAGTAAATTCAGCATTTTCATCAGATTTTACAAAAGTCCAACTCAGTCCTGTGAATATATAATATAGATAAGTTGACAATAATTTGATTTCTGCTCATATTCCCTGTCTACTACTAGATTTCTAGTACAGTAACTTGTTGTAATCGTGATGTTCTGTCACCGTTTCATCTTCAGGGAAAGTTTCCTGAGGCCGAGGTTGAGTTCATCAAAGCAGGAAAACCCAAAGAAGCCGTGTTCATGTGAGTCCTGGAGCTCACACATGTAGCTCAGTGTTACTGTCATTAGGGGTAGATTTATATCAACCATATATATATATATATATGGGGGAAATGTGCTTGACATGTGTTTTTCCTTTTTCTGTTACTCTATACAACATCTTGGAGAGAAATACTAAACTTCATATTCAAATATTTGATGGATTTAGTCACTATTTATTTATTATTTTAACAAATTAAGATTTTACATAGAAAGCATACGAGGAGCCTTTGAAATATGTAGCTTTGTTTAAAATTAAACAACTATTGCACAATTAGAGCTGAAGCGGTTAGGTGACAGAAAATCAGTTAAGAAACCATTTTGATAATCGTAAGTAATTTTTCTTGAAAAGTTGCGTCAATTTGGGCTCTGGGAAATTCTGATGGATTTCTCACTGTTTTCTGAAATGTTACACTATTAATCAATTGATTAATTGAGAAAAGAATCAGCAGATTAATCAACCAAGAAAATTAATAATAATTCATTGCAGCCTTTTATAAATAGTTAGAAATCAGCCCAACAAGCCCAACAGTAAAATCCTGCTTTTACATAAATCCATGAGTAATAATGAGAAATAATAGTCTAACAGTCACAGGGGAAAACTTTCAGCTAGAAGTATTTTTACTTTTGATACTTAAAGTACATTTTCCTGTTTTGTTGTTTGTGTGTTTGTGTGTTTGTGTGTGTGTGTGTGTGTGTGTGTGTGTGTGTGTGTGTGTGTGCGCTCCAGGTACGTCCACAACAAGGACTGGGCCAGCGCACAGCGGGTGGCTGAGGGCCACGATCCAGAGAGTGTGTCTGAGGTTCTGGTCGGCCAAGCCAAGTTCTGCTTTGAACAGAAAGATTTCCAGAAGGCTGAAGCCTTCCTGCTCCGAGCCCAGAGACCCGAACTTGCTGTCAAATATTACAAAGTAACTATAAGAGCCAAACTGCCTTCAGAAAAAAAAAAACAAGAAAATTGTTTCTAAACATTCTAGGCAAAAATAAATTATTTATTTTACTGAAACTTTATAAATCACAGACTTTCACCATCCTCCTTATTTATTCTGTATTTGTTTGTCTGTTTGTGTTTATCAGGATGCAGACATGTGGAGTGATGCCATGCGGATCTGTAAGGAGTATATCCCCAACAAGCTCTCCATACTTCAAGAGGAGTTCGAGAAAGAGACCTCCAAGAAGGGAGTCCGGTGAGATTAAGACCAAAAAAAAATAGAAACTAGTGGACCAGATTTCTTTTAAGGCTCATTTACTTTATTGTAATCCAGAGAGCCTTAAAATGCAGATTTAACTGATCTTCCCTCACATTGCACAGAAAAAAACAGGAAATCTGTGACGCCTTCCTGCTTAAATAAAAACAAAAAACAGTCAGTGAAGTTGTATCTTGTAGCTGCAACAGCAGATACCAAAAGCCTCGAGTCATAATTATAGATCAGAAGTTTGGTATTTGTGTGACATTTTCTGTTGAGGGTTCTCTATTAGATTCTGTTGACCTGTTACGTTATTAAGAAACTCCTTAAAAGCCAGATGGAGACCACAGAAACCCACTATGAACATTTCACGTGCTCTCCCCGTTTACCCAGCAGTATAATCTATGCACAAAGAGTCAGTTTGATGCTTTATTAAAACACAGCTCGTCTGTTATCCCAAATTGAAACTACCGGCGAGGAATAGCTCGTTAGTTAGCCAGCAGACCAGCAGCGTGCAGCTCTTATCCTCCTCCCATCGCTTCTCCCTCTTTAATGACTCGTGGGAGAAAACATCAAAAGTTACCAATGGAAACGAACGAGGAAGAGGGTTAAAGTGAGAAAACACTGAATTATTGCTGCAGAGTTTACAGCTCAGGCTCCAGATAAGTGCAGGGCTTCCCGTTTCTTACAGGCATCTGCAAACCACCGTCGAATGCTAGTTTACTAAGAGGTGCATATCGCTTTAATCTTAATTAAAAAGAAGGTAATGAAAAAGACAGATCAGGAACAAGGAAGAGAAGGAGAAATGAATATCCTGATTTAAAAAGGTTGAATTGTGGGGATGATTCCTGCAATGATTCATGTGCTATGATCATTTGTTTTAGCCAAATGAGCAGGAGAACTGAACCGACAACAGCAACAGTAACACAATACAGCTTAAAAGATACAGTAGTCAGCTTTGTGTTAAAGGTTTCTTCCCCAATAGTCCCAGGAATAAAGAGATAACAGCAACGGGAGCATCAAATCACCTCCAATCTATATCAGTCTCAGTCCATCTAGTCCTCAAAATCAATTAAAATGACTGTTGCCTTATGGCATTTGTATAGTAAATACAAACCCAGTAGAGGCCCATTGAACAAATAAATCACAGAACATCAATTAGGAAAGAATTGTAATTGTTATAACACTAGTAGACCACATACATACAGTTAATATATATGCATATTTGATAGCCATTTGGACCAGTAATTCCAATTTTTATCAATACAAAGAAGATAAATCACAGAAAAGAAACTAATGTGTAATAATACTGGTCCCACAATAACAAGTACTTCCCTTTCTTTCTATTTAATATCTATATTCATGTGATAATAATTTCGATCAATACTTAAAGTCTCCATATCACACATTTCTTGTTCGATCTGTATCTTCTCTCCTTTCGTTGGTGGTTCCTTGTCTACCCATTTCTTCCTTATTGCTTTTTTCACTGACTATAAGTAATACTTTAAAAAGACCAGTTTGTAGGATTTAGTGCCATCTAGTGGTGAAGCTGTAGATTACAACTAACTGAACACTGCTCGCATCTGTATTTGACGACCTGGGAATGATGATAAAATCGGCTACTGATCAGAATGATTTATCCAACGTCGATGGCTGTGTTTGTTTACAGTAAAAACAACATTGTGCATTGAAATACAACAACTTTGCTCATTTGAATGTTTATTTATTATATTATATTTTATTTATTTTATTTATATTTAGTTTTTCCTAATTTCTTCCAAGTTGCACTCTTTAATCTTGGAATAATAAGACAATGTCTCCAAGTATAATAACAGTAAAATTTAATTATTCTGATTTAAATTTTGTGTCAAAGCTAATGTTGCTAATTGGCCCAGATATTGAGAGTCTATCATTCAGGGTTTCCAACTTGTTTAATAATGCTTTGTTTTATATTTGATGATGTGCTAAGTTATCCCTCAAAAGAAGTGAATTTGTGTCCTTCACTGACTCTGTGCGATTGCTTCAGGGGCGTGGAGGGCCTGCTGGAACAGGCCAGGGAGTGGGAGCAGTCAGGTGAATACCCCCGGGCCGTGGAGTGTTACCTGAAGGTGAAGGATGACTCCAACACGGCCCTGATGGAGAAGTGCTGGATGAAGGTAAAAGACAGATTTACAATCAGCACTAATACAGTTATCTTTATCTTAACACTGTATAGTGCTGAGAGGAAGACCGTGGGGGTCCGGGGTAAATCTGAGGGGCTGTCGGATAATTCACAGGACAAATAAGCAAGAAAATTATGTTTATTTTTTTCAGACAATCCTCAAATTTATGTTTATTTTTCTTTACTGGATAATTTTATCTCCTCAGGGCTTTTGGTTAAATTTTTTTATCAAACATGATTACCAACATTCATCTTCTCCACTGTGATTAAGTGCTGTTTTTCTCTGGTTTAATTCATTGTGAGCTCACTTCTGAGACAAAAAATGTAATCTGAAATCGTGTACGGGGAATTTTGATGGGTGTTTTTCACAGTTTTTTGGCATTTGGTATTCTCAGTGATTTATTGATTGATCAAAAAAATAATTGAAAATGAAAATAATTGTCTTTTTGTAACAAATTACTAGAATAAAGTAGTTATTCTCTAAAGTTTTAGCAAACAACTAACCAAGCTTTTTGCTTCAATTCCACAAATTAAGATTTTACATAGAAAACATATGAAGGGTTTATAAAATATAATGCTTTGTTATAGATTAAACCATTAACGGTATATACAAATTAGAGCTGAAACGATTAGTTGATCAATCGTTTGGTCAGTTGACAGAAAATCAATTAAGCAATTATTGTGAGAAGCTACAGGAACAGATTCTGGCGACCCCTGTGGACAAAAGCGGTACTGTTTCCACCTCCTTGTTGGTTTTCCTTTATTTAATTATTTTACTATGAAACAAACTTGAACAAAATTCACAACACAACGGGAAAAATTAGAAATACAAAAAGAGGGCACTTCTCTTTCTTTATAACCTTTGATCAGTTCTTGTCAGACCAGCTGAGAGCACAACCCATATTTTCTCTTGTATCCCTTGTTAATGGATCCACTGTCCTGGACCAGCTCCTTGTGACGGCCTTTTTACGTGCAACAATCAGGATTTTGAAACGATAGAAGTCCTTCCTTTGGATTATATCATCGGGTATTAATCCAAGGTACACAATCCAGGGGTCCCGGGGGAATCTGTTTTATCCTTTTTATGGGAAATCTGACCAAATCCGACCCAGTTGCAAGCCTTAGGAATAACTATAAAGTCTCACTAATGGTCTTGTTGGTTTATGTAGGTCATATAGAGGCATCAGTATTAAACTGAGACTGTTTTATAACCAGTTAAAAAAATACTAGGAGTAGGTTTGAGTCATTTTTTCTGCAGTTTTTCTGAAATGTTTCAGTAAACAAGTGAGGCCCAGCCAGTGTCAGGAAGTTCCAAAATGCTGTGCTAAACTCTTTCAAATGCTTGGAGTCAACCACTTTACGTGTTAATGTATTACAGCATGAAGTGAATCCTGTACGGTTAGGTTTTTTTGTTGCCTCAAAAGCAAAATAGTAAACAAATAAATAAAAACGAGGCAGGCTGGGCGCTACAACAGAAACATAAGAGCATTTTATTTTCTCCAATTAGCTGCTTTCCCATTCAGCGTCGTAGTTGATGGATGATAGAATAGATATATAATGGAAGCCACCGTTTCCCCTGATGGCGGAGGAGGGGGGAAAGGTCACCGTGTGGCTAACATGAATAGATCTCGTTCTGGGGGGTGCGCAGCAAATATTGTGTGTTATTGATCGAAGTGCTATAGAGATCAGATCATTTGGAATGTGAATGGTTGTTCGAACGGCGTCGCTAAAAGAAAGGTCACAGGCTCTCAGGGATCAATAGGTGTTTTTCCTTTGGCGCGTTTGATTAACCAGCGCGAGGAGAAGAAAGACAGATGGTTTATTCACATTTGAGAATTGAACGTTTGGTCTCCTGGTGGCGTTCGGGGAAAGGTCACAGGGTCAGCGGGATCAATACGTGGCATCCTCTTGAAAGCCTGAATATGCACATTAGGTTTTATTCCAATTACTTGTTTTCAAAGAAACAGTCCGTTGACGGGCGGAGACGATCACTTAACCTCTACTCCTCTCCAGAGTTAAACATCTGAAAACTACAGTAGCTCTGAATTAACTAACGCTAATTAACTCTGCTGGTGAGTGGAGTAAAAAGGTAACACAGATGTTCACTTTGAGATACATATAAGAGATTAGAGATCAATTAAAGCTTCAATTAAATGATTTGTGATCAACAGAGAAATAATCAAATAATGGTTTTCAGATTTTAAAACGAAACAAAAAAAAGACGTTCTCATTAATAATTATTTTACATTTTGAATGTTTGACTTAATCTGACAAAACAAAGGACATTTGTGATGGGAACTTTTAATTAAGGCATTAAACATTAATGGAAATAATTGTTAGTTGCAGCTCTATTATTAATAATTTAATTAAAGGTTCAGTGTGTAACGTTAAGGCGGGTCTATTGGCAGAAAGGGAATATAATAATCATGTTTTCATTAGTGTATAATCACCCGAAAATAAGAATTGTTGTGGGGGGTTTTTTTGCCTTAGAATGAGCACATTTAACATTTAATTATATTCCAGTGTTTCCTCTATGTTGATTTTGGAGCGGCGGCCCGTCGCTGTTAAATTTCTGCCGCCACGGTATCAGAAATGGGGCAGACGCACAATGTAGTCACGGTTGCCTTTTAAATGATCCTGCCGACATAATGCACCCCCGCTGGCTGCCGCTCACATTGCAATGTAACAACAAGTAGAACTATTCAGAGGTTATTGGGGCTGTCCAGTTTAACTCCACATACTGTTGTGTTGATGTAGCTTATTGTCAAAACGTTCGCTTTCTTCCAAGTCGACTATTAAACTAACAGCTCCACCAAAATCGTCACCGCCGTGGGTCCGTTTTAATTGGACAACGTTCAACTTGTCAGTTCTCAGCTCAACGTCCTGATATCAAACATCTGGAAACATTAAAACGCTAAATATATTTGTTTGTGTCGCAGCGAAGTGTCACTTCTGTTTCATACGTAAAACGTTTGCCGGTGCGAGGGGACGGGGTGTTCGGACGGGCCTGCCGCCGCTGCTAAAAAAAATCCTAGAGGAAACACTGTATTCATATTCACAATTATCTTGACATCTAATGACCCAATAATATTAAAGGATTAAATGAATAACCTTACACCACTTATACTTATGATCTTCATGCGAGTGTGTGTTTTTGTCTGTTTGTGTGTTTCCAGGCAGCAGAGTTGTCCATCAAGTTCCTCGGTGGAGAACGAGCGGTGGAGGTGGTCCACGTGGTCGGACCACGACTCACACAGCTGAGGAAGTACAACGCTGTGGGTGGCACACACACACACACACACACACACACACACACACACACACACACATCGTATCTATCAAATTGGTCTTGTTTTAACCTGCTGATGGAGGGGGGGACATAATACAAGTGTTTTTTTTAAACTTTGTGCTCACATGCTTCAGGCTGCTGAGCTCTACCTGAATATGGATCTCATCAAAGAGGCAATCGATGTCTTTATCGAGGGTGAGGAGTGGAACAAAGCCAAGAGAGTCGCCAAGGAGCTGGAGCCAAGGTTTAAAGACACACGTTAACATATACAACACATACACACACTTATATACTGTATATATATATATATATATATATATAACCAAAGTTATTGTTGTTGGCAAAACAACAGCAAAGTCAGAATAAATACTAGAAACACAAAGATGAGGAGACAATAAATAACCTCCTCATTAGTTGAACTAGTTCAATTCACTGCTGTGATTCTTTATAAACACACAAGCTTGAGGAAAAGAGGCATGCTGGGAATTTGCAATGTGATAATTAAACATATTTATAACCTCATAGAAAGGGGGGGGGTTGTCTCCAGTTCAGAATAATTGGAGTTGTCTTTTAAAGTCTTTGCTCTCTATCTCATTGCTCTGATCTTTGGCAGGTACGAGGACTATGTGGACCAGAAATACAAAGAGCACCTGAAGAACCAAGGCAAAGTGGACTCTGTACGTACAATCACTCTGTTCAGACTGGACGTAATGTGGACCATTTTCTTGAGGAAATAGTGCCGTATACTACGTCATCTAATACTGTAATCTATGAGACATCCTGTACTCACTGAAATCCATGTGGACCAGAGGCATCACTATTGAAGAGGAAACGAACCAATCCAAATATGTCTAAAAGAAATAGAATAATTCATCTTTCACCAATTTCAAGGCTGTCGCTGATCAAGAGTTTGTTGTATTTATTTCAGTGATAAAGCAAGATATAAAAGAATCTAATTATATTCAAGTACATACTCTTAAAAGTGTCTGTTAAAACTAAAAAGCTGTTTTTGTGTGTGTGTGTGTGTGTGTGTGTGTGGTCAGCTGGTGGGTGTGGATGTCATCGCAGCTCTGGACATGTACGCAGAGAGAGGCCAGTGGGAGAAATGTCTGGATACAGCATCTAAACAGGTACTGAATACACAATTATACAAATATTAGTCCTGTTTTTGTTCTTGTTCGTGTTTTAGTGTAAAACCAGCGTTCCTCGTTCTCCATTTTGTGTGTTGTTTTAGAACTTTAAGATCCTCCATAAGTACGTCGCTCTGTACGCTACACACCTGATCAAGGAGGAGGAGGCTCTGAAGGCTCTGCAGCTCTACATACAGCACGGAGCGCCGCCTAACCCTCAGGTACCGAATACTTTCAACTACTCATTCATGGAAAACTGCATCACATAATGTACATTTAAAACAGTCCACAACACGTTTTCCAGTGGTAAAAAGTAACTGATTTTGTTTTACTCCCAGAACTTTAACATCTACAAGCGCCTGTTCCTGGATCTGATTAGCCTTCCTGACACTGATGGACCAGAGTCTTACCGAATGTGGGCCGACCTCCGCAGTTTCCTGCTGCAGCTGGTAAATCACCCCAGTATCTAGTTTAGACCGTCAGAGCTGAAAAGCGCCGTCTCTAATGTGGAGTTTAAAGAATTTCCGGCTATTATTCCTCACTTATTGTCATATAATTCCCCTTTTTGTGATGCCTGTGTATGTTTTTTGTTATGTCAGTGTGAGAACCTGTCCAGGTCAGCCGAGGCCAACTCTCCAGCTCATGAAGACTTTGAGCAGATGCTGCTGATCGCTCACTCCTACGCCACTCGATCCGCCGCAAAAGGAGTGGAGCAACTGGTACGCAAAAGGAAACATAGAAACATCGCACGCAGAAAGTTTTATTTTTACCCCCCAAAAAAAACAAACTTGTGACAGATGATTGATCTTTTTAATGTCAGAGCTGAACTCTCTGCGCTTTGCTCTGCAGCCGGTGGCGACAGCCTGACACTTGTTTTATTACTAATTTAAAAATCAAAGCTTCCTCTTCTTCGTGCTGTTTATTTTCAGATCAGCGTAGCAGCCAAGCTGTCGGTGTCTCTGCTGCGGCACACTGAGCTCATTCCTGCAGACAAGGCTTTCTACGAGGCTGGGCTGGCCTGCAGGGTGGGTCCACCAACGAGAGCAGTAGTTTGGATCAGATCTTTGGAGTGTCTGTACTCATTAACTGGGACAAAATGTTGTTTTAAGTGTTGGTCATGACCTAAAAATGTCACCTGATTTGTTACTGGTATATTTTCCAACTGTATGGATTAGATTCTAAGTTGAAAAGCACCAGCCCATTTGTGAAAGACTTTCCTCGATTGAAGTATATCTAAAATCCTTTATTCCAGGACTTCCATGACCAACTGATAAATAAACCTTCTGTACCAGATTCACATGTTCTCTGTTTTTTTTTTAAAGGCTGTTGGCTGGGAGAACATGGCCTTCATCTTCCTCAATCACTTCCTGGATCTGTGTGATGTGAGTAAACTGTAGGACTGTACATGATTGAATGTTAATGTACCTACACTGTACTTAAAGACTTAAAGATACCCTGTCGGTATGTCCGATTGATCAACAAAATCCAGTATTTCTTTATATGGATTTAGGTGTTTGGTTGCAAATGAAAAGGCAGTAAAAAACAATCTGATTATTTCTATTCTGATTGGTTGATTTCTGTCTCCAGGCGATTGACGAGGGGACCCTGGACGCTCTGGACCACTCTGACTTCCTGGACACCGACATTCCCTTTGAGGTTCCAGTTCCCACCAAACTCTGTGTCACCGTAAGACTTCCTTCCACACAACCCCGAACACCCACACTGGACACGCTGCGGTCAGGCTGATGAATGGGGCCAATATTAGTGCTGTGTTATAAATCCGATCTGGTTCAGTTATTAAATGATAAGACCCGACAATATAGAGCAGCGGTAGGCAAAAAGCAGCCTGTGGGCCAAGTTTTCACTTTTATAGCTCACATTAAAACGTTATAATAAATCTATACATGTAAAATAAATGTAAGGATCATTTAAAGTAATATAGAGTATTAACTGCTGTACCTTTGATAGCACAGACTTAAGGACACATTACCTCTGCCCTTGGATACAGTCCTAAAACAAACTTACAAATAAATTTGATTCTAAAAGGAATTGAAATACATAATGAAACAATATTTATTTTAAAAAAAAGATACACAAACAATACTTGCGATATTATAGATAGCAGTGTCATAAACAGGCGCACTGCTAGTATTAGCAAACCCAGCTGACTCGTAACGTTTCCACTGAATCTGAAAGATCGTACAGAACCGAAGACTCGCTGAAATTAGTTGGTTTTTTTAATCACAGTATATTTAACTGTAAAACCTTTATCATGATACGTGTTGTATCGCCTGATTCTTGCCAATACACAGTCCTGATATTCTAATATTTAAGACATATTAACTGCTACATATTGAGTCTTTAAAGTCCTGAAATAGTCTAAAGTTACAGAAACTTGTGGTCTGAACTGTCTGCTGTCTGCACACACACCCTGACGCTGTGTGTTTGTGTGTGTGTGTGTGTGTGTGTGTGTGTGTGTGTGTGTGTGTTACAGGACGCCCAGCGGGAGCAGATCCGTGACTGGGTGCTGATGGTGTCCATGGACAATCGGTTGGAGCAGGTTCTGCCGCGTGACGAGAGGAACTCGTATGAAGCCTCGCTGGTCGCCGCTAACACCGGCCTTCGCTCTCTGCCCTGCATCCTCACCGGTAATACAAACACACACACACACACACACACACACTCAACTATCCTGTTTAATCATCAAATCTGGTGAATTCAAAATTGAGAAGAGATCAGAGGTAAAATATGAAGTGTTTGTGAGGAAATTTGACAGAAAAATAGAAAAAACATTCAATCTTTGTAGAAAAACAACAAATAAATGTACAAAAATACCGTCAAACTTAATCTTTATTTCTTCATTGTGTACTTGTTGATGATAAAAAAGCGCTCTCTGATCAGCCTCGTTGATTAAAATGAATATATTTATCACATTTCTGCCTCCGGGGGAGGAAAACTCCACACAACAGTGACTGCATTTGTAAATATACTTGACAAAAACACTTCCTGTATTCCAGACACACACAAAAACAAAGAGCGGTGTGTTTGGCTCCTCTTAAATATCTTATTGACTTCTCTAAACAAGCATATGTCAAAGAAATTGAGACACCCTGAGGTCACGTTTTAATATTTACAACTGAAAGGTCACAATGCCATCCAGCATTCCTCCTGTTGGGATGTCTTTTTATTGTTTCTTATTGTAATTTATACACCTGTGTATTCAAAACAAAGCATTAATAATATAAAGTGGTTCCTTTTTATATTAAAAAAACTATAAACCTCTTCAACTGTAGAGTTGTAGGAGAGGATTAAGGCAGCTTGAGAGCGAGCTGAGAGTTTGTATTTCTTATATTTTTACTGACTTTACATTTGAAATAGATATATAATATATAATATAACTTCACCAGCAACAGCATATACCATCACTTGGCTGCTAGTGTTGATCTTCCCGGTACATGAGGTGAGTAATTCCCCCTCACTCTGTGGTGTTCCCGCCCTCCAGGCTACCCGGTGCTGAGGAACAAGATCGAGTTCTCGTCTGGGGGGAAAGCGGCCAACAAGGAAGACTGGAACAACTTCCTCATGGCCACAAAGGTGAGAACAGACAGAGAGGCAGGCGGGTTTCTACTCTCACCGGACATAAACTGACTCTGAAGCTGGAATCGGATATTCCCGTTACAGCTTCTGACGTACACAAGAGCAGAGAGAGAGCCGACAACAGACAGAATCAGTGGTGGAAAGTACATTTACTCAAGCACTGCACTGTACTGTAACCACTTTCTGCTCCACTTCAACAGGGAAATATTATAATAAGAATATTTTTTACTTCACTTTGTTTATCTGACAGCTTTAGTTACTTTACTAACTGAGATTATTGCACACAAAACATATAAAGAGCTTCAAAAATATGATGTTTTGTTGTAAATTAAACAAGTACAGTCAAAACTATTAATCAATTAGCAGATTTTAAATGTGTGTACTCAACCAATCAGGTATCTTTCTCGGTTCTGATTAGTCGTTTTCATTCAGACACTGTGGATTCTTGCAGATGAACCACATTAGGACAACTAGAACGAGCCAGAGGAGCCTGACTCATTACACAGATTGTCACATGTCCTGTAAGGATGTAGTGAAAGTTATTTTTATTAAAGTTACCTACTGCAGCTTTAATTAAAGGCTCTGCAGCCGGTTGCAGCAGCTGTGTGTACGTTCAAACTGAGCCTAGTTATAACGTCAATTATTATAAGTTGTGATTTACGCATCACCATGGAGATAAGTTACAACCTAATAGTTAAAGATGCCACTTAGATGTCACAGAATTAAACAGTTTTGCTGCCAAACAACATGATTTCTTTCATGAATTGCAGCCATTTTGAGACACAGTAATCGAGCACAGACCTAATTTATTGATTTGATGCTTCAATATCGATCTAGCTCACTACGATGTGCTACAATGCCAAGTCCCTCGTGCTAGCCAGAAATCTAACCGTAACCATGATCATGGATTGTCCACTAGTAGCTGATTTAGTTCCAAACTAACTAGTAGTTACTGAGCCTCTAGTGTCGACTTTACACCTCGACTCAGGACAGAACTTACACACAGCGGGTGTAACCGAGTCCTCGATACTTCCTCCACCACTGGAAGTTTCTCACACTGTAAACTGTGTCTGAAACTAAAATCATAAATAAAACAACTTAATCCCAATTTCCCACATATTGACGACTCAAGACAATAAACTGACAGACATTATCGATTCATAATAGATTCAGACCTTTGATGCCAATGTTACACACACACACACACACACACACACACACACACACACACACACACACACACACACACACACAGGAAGTTGTCTGATGTCTCACTTACAAACTCATTTCACTGAGTTTCATCATCTCTCTCAACATCAGTGATTTTATGTGAATCAGCACATTATGCGAATATGTGAGTCGACTAAATCGCAGCATCATTATCTCACATCTACACACACACACACACACACACACACACACACACACACACATCTTTTAAGCCTTCCACGTGCAGCAGTGGCGGCGTGTGTTGAATCTGTTTTGTGATTGGTTGTTGTTTGTGTCCACCTGCAGACCACTCACAGTCCGGAGTGTCAGGACGTCCTCAAGTTCATCAGCCAGTGGTGTGGCGGCCTGCCGGCATCTGGATTCTCCTTCCACTGATACACACACACACACACACACACACACACACACACACACACACACACACACACACACACACACTCTTCCATTTTTGCTGCAAGATTTTAATTGTAGACACCCTTTCTCCTTTTCTCTGCTCCGTTACTCAACACTCATTTAGAAAAAACTTTGACTAGCCACCGACTTTTTTCCCCCACAAATGAATTATTTATTAAACTTTTCATTTATATTTTTCTAAATGTAAATTTTATCTCCTTTCTTGGTGGTTTAAATGCTGTTTCGAAGCCTTTTCTGCACTTCCAGTTACAGTATGTAATCCTGTGGAAATTTCTTAATCCCCTTAATCCTCCACTTTATTTTGAATTCATTATGTTTTTGCTCAAATTTAAAGCAGTTTAATCTAAAAATAATTTACAGCCTTAAGATCAGCCACATATTCCAGTATGTGGAACTGGTTAAGACAGTAAACCCACATTAATGTATTGAGATGTTACTCTGGACATGACCTTGGTTTAACCTTCTGACTTTATATAAACTTTTTGGATTGAGGGAGGTTAAATAATTTGACATTTTGAGTATTTTGAGTAGTTTTGGCAAGAATTAGATGAGACGATCAATACCACTCATGTCTGTGCGGTAAATATGAAACTAAAACCACTTAGCTTAACTTAACATAAAGACTGGAAACAGGGACGTAGATATCTCTCCGTCTGAAGGTTAAACAGTCTCGGTGTTGTGGTTTTTCCTGGTGTTAATCTGACGGACTGTTTCAGGAAGTCACTGAGTCAAACCCTGTTCTCAGTTTTTGTGCTAAGCTATGCTAACCGGCTGTACAAAGATGAGCGTGGTGTCGATCTCCTCGTCTAACTCTCTGCAAGAGAGCAAAAGTGTATTTCCTAACATGTTGAACCTTTTAAAATATGATCATTGTCACAGCAAAAAGAATAAAAGATTCTGTAAAGCAAAAGGTTTTAAACTGCATTAGTGGTGCAAACTCTTTACTGAAACCCAGAACATTGGGTCTTATCGGGATCAGTTTATGCACCTGAAGGCATCTGAATGTTTACTTTTATGATCCTGAATACAAGCAGTAAAAATCTTAAAATCTAAATATCTAATAATAAATCTAATACAATAATATTTATATGATATTTACTCCAATCTGCTCTTTCATTGAAGCTGATTTTGTATATTTTTGTCACTGATCTCCTGCTGTGTGTTAGCTCTCAGCCCAAAGCTCAAAGACGTAAATCTTTAAAAACAGCTCACAGTTCTATTGTTTCATTTAACATTTAATAATAATACATTCCTAAAACAGCTGGTCACTGTAGTTTTCAACAAACATCAGTCAAACAGGAGGAAATAGTGCATTTGTTGGGCTCTATTTTCTCTCGCGGATTAACACACATTTGGTGTTTTGTGAATATTTACAGAAGCAGGACTGTGTGTGTGTGTGTGTGTGTGTGTGTGTGTGTGAGTGAGACTGACTCTAATTAATCTACAGTGTGTGTTCATGGTAATGGAGGAACGTGTCACCCAGTGCAACAGCGTGGCTCACTGATGTAGTTTATTTGGACAATAATGGAGCACAGAGGAAGAAGATATACACAAATAACAGCTCAATAGATCAATTTATTGATGGTTTTGGTCTTTTTTTTAAATCGATATAAGTAAAACATAGAATATGGTCACACTTGTTTTGCGTCATTAACATCTGGATGACGGGACACACGACCCTCCCACTGACCTTCCTGTGCTCAAACTATATTTTTGTCCCTCGGCTGGTCAGTTTATCCTGAGCCGTCGCCATGGAAACACATCCCTCCACTCTGCCGTATCACCCATCACTCTCTGTCTCTCTCTCTCTGTCTCTCTTTTTGTCTGTCTGTCTGCCTGTCTTTCTCCTCTTTCTCTCAGGATGGCATCGCTGAATAAAAAGCCAAAGGTTTTCTGCCTGATTCGATGCAGATATATTGTGATACTTTAACGGGTTCGACTGGGACTTTACCGACAGTTAGAAGGACTATTTAATGTGTCTGAAATGAGCTGTTTTATCTCTCTCTCTGTGTGTGTGTGTGTGTGTGTGTGTGTGTGTGTTTTCAGAAGCCGGTATCTCTGGCAATGCCTTTATTGTGTGTTTGATATGGATTGTATTTTTGTTTAATAAAGTTCAAATAAAAGATAGTTTTCAAGCATTTTATTCCTGGTTTATTGTGTCACCACTGTGTTCTTACACATAACTAACTAAATATCCAACACAAGTGAGAGAAGAAGTTTATTTTTATGATTCTTAAAAAAATAAGTATCCATAGAAAGGAATATATTATATTAATAATAACACATTTCTAACCTATTAGCCTTATATAAATATTCATGACCACAATCCTTTCATAACCTCCAATTTAATATGTGTAAAATATTCATAGTTATAAATAAATTAAACAATCTGTAAAACAAGACAAAGGAAGACAAAAAGCAACACAGTGAATCATTTAACGGATTGATTTTATTGCTCTGTTATTGACAGAATATACATACATACATTATCAATACACAACTCTTAACTTCCCTTCTGATCATTCTAGCTTTCCTCCATAATCAATAAAGATGTTATATCAGAAATCAATACAGAGATACAAAGGCTGTGAATAATCATGGAGGGGGGAATATGGCACATTATCACTTATATTTATTATTTATTAAACCAGAGACATGTTATTGTGTTATTGTGTAAAATAATCTACTACATTTTATAGGTACACTTTACAAAAGTAATAATAATAATAATCTTTATTTCTAATCCCACGTTACAAAGTGCTTCACACGAGGCAGCAGATCAACAATCAATAACAAGCAGATCATAAAACCAATTTTAATCTAATAAAACCAACGAAAGGTCAGTCAGTAAAAATCAAAGCAAATAAAATTTGATAAAAGTGACAGTTGATAGAGTAAATGTTCCCACTGATTCATGGAAATTACCAATAAATAATTACCAATAAATGAATTAGATATTAATTCCAGAAAGTGATTGTACAGATGTTTTTAAGAAAAGTCTCTTTATTCCCCCAAAAAACCCAAAACCTTGATTCAGTTTGTAAAGTAAGAGCACAAATAGGATGAACTGAGTACACAAATGATAGATTATAGATTATTTACAGATTTTATCTTTAGGAAAAACATAAAAAAATGATTTAAAAAATCTATTTTTAGGACTTTTTAGGAGCTGAATAACCAGACAAAGTCCTGCCTTGTAAATTCCCTCAGTGTGGTTCTCCACATTAACAAACATTACATCCTACAGCATTATACAGTCTCCTTTCCCAGCAGAGGTACTGTTCCGCCGCAATCAATACTAAAGTCTGTGTTTGGGGAAAATGCATTAGTAAGTGATAACTCAGGAGGTTTCCTGCTCTGACTGGCTCCAAGTCTCCTGAAACCGAACATACTCACCTACCCGGCTCAGCCTGGAATAGACTGAACTCAGCCCACGTACGAGTGTTTTTTTTATATTCACATTACACCTGCAGACAGACATCTGCCACAGGAGAACATGTGAGTGTGAGACAGACATTATGATAAAATACAGTTATTTTATTAGGAAGGAAGAGATTAACATAATCTCAGGAGACACTGGGAGTTTTATTTTGAAGGATTCAACAACTGGGAGTATATTTTGTTGGCTTTTTCTGCACATAAAGAACATAAAGATTCAGTGATGTGTGAGTTTACACTTTGGTAAATCATCATGGAAGCAGAGCAGGCCAGTGTGGACCCATGCAGACCAACAGGAAATGTATCCTCATTCAGTTCCTTTATATTCCATGTTATCATACACACATGCTCACAAGTTTACAGCCTCCTTATGTGAAGCTCATCCTACATATTTTTATATTTCTTTACTCAGATTATCACTCTATATATTATCTGTGTTGTTATATGTTCATTTTTTGGTTCACTTATGTATTTTCAATCTTCAGTAAATCCACATTTTTTTGGTTAAAGTGATTTTGAATATTAAATTGAATGTGGTTGAATCAGTGGTGAGTATATTAAAGCTCTGGCTGTGCTCATACCCTGTTGCTGTATTTCCATTATTACTTCTAATTTAATTTACAGAGCTCGTATAAAAAGCTGAATTAATCAGACGTATCATCGAGGACATTTGCTCGACCTGCGTGTCGGACACTCCTGAGAGTCCGGGCCTCCTTCTTGAAAACAAATGTGAGAGGATTTTTTTTTATTTTGATGAATTAGGAAGAGGGTGATGTAAGTGAAACGCAACAGAAACATAAAGTACGACGCTGGTGATGGAGCGGAGAGGTGAAAGCAGTGTGAATGATGCTCTTTACAGAGTCTGACTGTGCTTTTGTACTGTTTTTGTTTTGTAGTCGAGACTCTGCAGGCAACAACTTCATTTTTTATTTAAAATTTCAGGGATTTTCACATCACGAACAGATAGTACAAAATGTTTTTGTTCTACCTTTATGGAAGTATTAAATATTACTGATATGGGATATTATTAATCAGCCAAACAAGAAAATGAAATTTCAGTTGCAATTTTCCTTTGGGATTAAACTCTACAGTATCTTTATACGCAGAAAGAAACATGACTTTGATGTTGTGTTGGGTTTTGTTAGCTTTAACTGTAGTGCAACGTTATTTTAACTTACATTGAACATTTTAAGTGACATAAACTACATTTTTTTAAGTTGAAAAAGATTCTTGATTGTTTCACTGGTAAATTTAAGTGACATTAACTTAGTTTTGTAGGTTACAGCTAAATATTATTAGGAATTCTGTTTTCATACTAGAAATAAAAATCACAAAATAAAGCCAGCTTCACTCAAAATTACTACTTGATCAAGAAATTGAGTCAGTTTTACTTTAGTTAAATGAACTTACAGTGAAGTACCACAGTGGAAAGTTATTTTTCTAACCTTTTTTGTGTTATTCTCGACATTTTTAATGAATATGTAGGTATCTGTCGCAGTGTTTGTCAAGGTATACATGTACGATGTTAAATAAATGAAACCAGAGGATCAAGAAACTGACGCCTGGTTGCCTGTCAGTGAAGGAAATTCTCCCACAGAAATAGTCTTAATTGTTCTATAATATTCAAACTCACAGAAGCACAAATTAAAAAAGGTTAAATTTATTGGAAAGAGCCAAATTTTAAAGATTTCTTTTGCGATTTCTGTATAGAAGGAAGCGAGCACCATCTAGTGGCCATTAGTGGTACTGCATCGGGCTCTTCCACATTAGCCTGATGCTTCCATACAGGCCGAAATCCTCCATCTTTATTCACAGAAAAGCCAAGTTTTAGTGATTTTTATCTGAGAGTTGTGGCTCTTCAGGCTGCCTCACATCCCCCCCCATTGAACACTCTCCGTTCAGTGCTGATTTTCGGCCGCTCTCTTGGCATTCACCGCGTGCCTTAATTGTATGGACATTTAAATCAAGGTCCGCTGTGAACACGAGGAGAGACGACCCATATTCCTCTGCTTCTCCCTCCCTCCCTGCTTCCACTGTGTCCTTATCTGACTATATCCCTCCCTCTTACTTTTGTCCAATTCAGTTCACTTTTCATGCATTTTCTTCTGCTTCTGCTCCAGTTTGTCTCCATTTTATTTTTTTTATTCCACTCAATCCCCTTCCTGTTCAAATCCTACTTTATTCCTTTTATATATCTCAGTGTTCAGCTTCACTGGGCCCAGTCTCACTTTATCTCCTCACTGTCACAAAAGTCCTCTCAGCCGTCGACTCGTTTGAATTTCAGTGTTCTTTATTGTGTTTTAATATCAAAAGCATCGAGGGACATCGATTATATAGAGAGGAAGAAACCCTATTTATTGCATTTTCATAAAGAATATCATGAACAAACTTCTCTATATTGAGCTGGGGAAATCTCTTATGACACAGGGGGTCATACAGCCTGTACTTACTGACTTATACTTTATGTATAAATGTCAACTGTATACTGACTGTACCATGGAATTACACTGACCCCAGCATAACACTGATTACACTGGATACTGTGAGTACAATAAGTACATTATATTAAAGAATAGAGGCTCAGGACTGTCACATCTCAGCTTCCCCCCCCACTTCATGTGTGTTTTTTCTGCAGTGCTCTGTCTCAGGTGGGTTTAAGGATGCTATAGTGGTTTGTATAGGTGTGTGTGTGTGTGTGTGTGTGTGTGTGTGTGTGTGTGTGTGTGTGTGTGTGTGTGTTTATCCATGTGATAAACTGTCATGGATGTCCTGCTGACCTCCAAACACAAGGCTACATAGAGGGGACAGCTCCTGGGCAAGGACAGAAACCTGACTATACTCCTATACAGTGCTGGCTATATTGACTATTTAAGGATTAATAACAACCAATAAAAGCATTTTATTCTTCTTGCTGTCTCATTTTACAGGTTTAAAAGGACAAATTCATCCAAATTATGATTTTTTCCCCCCTCTTTCATTGCAGCATTTTAAGGATCTGACGAGGTTACACTGTCCAATATCTCACAAGCAAAGAGCTGATATCATATTGCCTGTCAGAGATATATTATTATCTATATCACCCTTTTAATCATGTGACCCCCCCTCTCCCTCCTCCCTCCCCTTTCCTTCCCCTCTCTCTTTCAGATTTATTTTGGGATCCTCTTTGCCTCAGACACTTTGTAACTGGAACGATAATGCAATTTCAACTACAGTAAAAGCTGAGACGCGATTGCTCCCCCAGACTGGATTGTGTCTGACTGTTAAAATCTCTTGCACATTGATTTTCATAGTGAAAATGAGTGGAAACCAATTACGGCTTCCTGGAAAAAAAAAAAAAAATAATGCAGCATGAAGAGAAAAGTGATGTAAGGATGTTTTTTAAAGAATGCCAAACAAAAAAAAAAAAAAAAAAAACCCAGCAGTATGGTCCTTTAAGAAGCACTGCGGACCATTAAAGCATTATCCTCCATTATCCAGCAGCAGCAGCAGCAGCAGCAGCCATAATGCACGTTCTTATACAGCACTGCATTAATGACACAGCTGCAGGGGAGGAAGCTGCTGCTGCAACCCTAACTCCTCATCCCACATGAGTACACAATCCTGTCAGCTCCCAACAACAACAACAACAAAAAAACATCATGTCATGAAGCGTTTTCTTTCTCTATTTTATTTTTTTTTTCATTTTCTTAATTCTGCTTTA